TGTATTGACAGCTGAGATAAACTTTATCTTATTTATTACAATCCTTATCGGGCCATCGAGAATGTGTACACAATTGCCATGACTCTATAAGTATGAAATATCTATTATTCTATTGGCCGGCCTGAAAATGAGCGGGATACACAACGGTTGATGATACTTTGCTTTAATGTTATCGAAAAACTATTTTTCTTCATTATCTCTCGACCATTGTAAAGCATCTTATATTTTATCTGTATTGGTCATGAATTTTCTAAATGTTAATGTAACAAGAGGTTAGAAAAAACCGCACAGTGGTCACATATCAGAGTGAGGGTTCTGGGCGGTAATAAGTCTTGAAATGATTATAACTGTAAGTGATTAAAATTACTCCAGACATTCGCATTCGATTTTTAAATACGAACAAAAAATATTATTATTTTACTGGTAAAGCTGTATTTCTGGATGCTTAACCCATCTGTTTTATATTTTAAATATCCTTAAGTATCAATTGTAGTGCACTATAAGTTAGGACTTTCTAAAAACCATTACTGTTTATGTACAGTTTACATTTAAATTTTTTTACAAACGATAACTGATTAAAAAAAACGGGCGCAGAAATGAACCTTTCACCACTTCCCTTGGGTTCCAAACCCGTTACGATTTACCGAAAAACATAAATAAAAAAAAAACATAGGTATCACTGTAAAATCAATACTCTCTCGGTTTCAGATCCAAGCTAGTAGATTCGAAAACATATTAAAATACATATTTCATTATTCATTTGGCGAAAAACATTGTCATAAATTCATTACAACGGAATGTAACAGGTTAAAGTTTAAATAAAATTATTTCAACTGAAGCACATATTATTATATTCGATGAAATTTCAACCGAAAAAATAAAAAATATTCTGTTTTCGTTGATAAAATCGTTACGGCAGGTGTGTTTAAAACTGATTTATACTCATCACTTTGAATATATATATAATATATATGTGCGTGTGTATTTTTTACTTATGTGTACATGAACTTTTTCATTAATTTTTATTATAATTACACAACCCGGCTTCCTCCCCCCCCCCCACACCAGGAAGGTACGCAACGAAAACTTTCCATTATGTTCATTCACAAAGATAACAAATAAATTAAATAAACACAGTCAGTGCAACGGAGAAAAAGATAAAGCAATTGAGATTAGTTGTTGTAGTTATAATTATTTTTGTAAGTACGACCTCGTACAACGATTTATATCAACACAAAAGTCCATAATATACATTATGATGTATATAGTCACGACTCGTGTGCATTTTTGCAGCTATACCTTATGTGTTGTTTAATATTATATTTGTACATTATAAGCTCGGCTATAAAATAAAACAGAATAATTTGAACTTCAAAATACTTCCACTTAATAAATGTTTGATGGTATAATACCTACATCTATGAATACAAATTGTGTACGAAAACAGAGAAGTAATGTTATAGTAACGCAGCTCCAAAAAGCTAAGCTGTAACATAAAATAATAATGAGCCCAAAAAATATTAAGCCATTATACACAAGGAACAATAATTGTTTAGAAACAAGAGCATTTTCGTGATTCTGGAATTGTATTCTTATTGTAGATCCAAGAAAAGTATCTTTCACTCGAAAGTGCGTTGACCTAATTTTAGATTAATTATAAGTGTCTTAAGACAATTCACTAGAGGTCATTTCAGCAACTCCATTGACTACATTAACTTTATAATTTTCAAACGTTATTTTTTAATATTTCGATTTGATTCGTCCAAATAAAGTTAATTCCTTGACTATAATTATGAAACTTAGTGAAGGCACACTATTATCAAAGGAAGTTCCGTTTAAATTTTAATCAATTTATGACTACGTATCATTTTTCCTTTTTTTTTTTTGTCAACAAGTAAAATTTATTTAGAATTTTATTAAAACATCATTCTTCATTTAAAATGTGCCAATAGCTTCGACAACGTCACGTTTGACAGTTTATTTTATGAATAACAACAATTTCAAAGGTTACTCAAATAAAACCTCAGTTCTTCAAACGGGTGTAAGCTTTCTGCTTTAAAGATTGAAGGACATTGGATCATTGATATTCTGATGAACTTATAATAATACGCCTAGAAAAAAAATTTAATTGATTTTAAATTTAAGACATAATCTAAAAATAAACAAATTGTATTAAGACGAATAAATCATCTGATTTCAAATCAGCAATAATCATAGCCTTGATATTATCAGAAAAAAATAAATGTTATACGTCATAAATGTAATTTATGCGTTTAATTTTTTTAAATAGCTCTACTTAAGATGTCAAATCAAAATATATACTGTGTAATACGCTATAGAATAAATTAGTATTGATTTCAATGATTGCCAAATTTAAGTTAATTTTATTCAACATAATTTTTAATGACTTAAAATGTTTAATAACTTATTAAAATATGATACATCAAATGTGTTTTCGACATAACTACCTTAAGTGCTCTTATCTTCAACACTATACAACATACTTTGCTAAATTATAAGCAATTTGCATAAAAATGTCTTGAGTATGTGGTATCGACGATTTCCGCATATTTTTAGACCTATTGTTCATAAACCTGTCATAATAGAAAAAGATGTAGTTTTATAAAATATTTAATAAAATAATTTTGGACGTAACTAACTCGTTGCGTCTTCGGGTTAAGTACATATTCTCAACGCAATTATTTAATAAGAATATTTCACAATAAACGTTGTAAATATTTTTAAATTTTTACTCGTCACTAACATCTATATTACAGTGAGTTGAAAGGTATTGCGTGGTTTCGGCTAATAAACCTAAACCCCTTCGGTTGTATTGTTTTTTATCGTCTTAGTCTTTACTCCCTCGTCATCCTTTAGAAACTATTTAGCGAACGTTGCACAAACGAAATAAAAAATGTTGCTTTGACTACCGTCTTCCACGTTAGTAATGTATATTTCTAACCATCGTCTGAGCACGAGGTAGTGGTAAGCTTAAACACTTTTTAAGCATAACTTGTACATTTACCCAGACAATAATTTCACTGTACTAACTTTTAACAACCGCGTTAACAAACACAACGCCTAATGATTTTTTCGATTGGTTTTATGTTTGTAATATTCATTACATACATTTTTTTTTTCTTTAAATAATTACAATTACAAAGAGTCCCTATTAATTTCATAGAAAACAAAGATAAAAGAAAGTACAACTCTTACAAGAGTCAATGCAAGAACCTTTATACGAGTACTAACCAACCAAAATATTATACGTCGCAATAACAGCTTCCATAATTCTTTAGGTATATATTAGTTACATGATATATATACAAATAGCTAAGCTTCAAAAAGTATTTGCTTTTTTTTCAAATTTTCCAAAGAAAATCTCAATTGATTGTAATAACCTTTTTTAGAAACAAGTTTTAAGAGTAAATGTCAAATTTTCTATTGGTTTTGCAGTGGACACACTATCAAACCCCGTTATGCATACTATATGTACTTGAATGATGTCTCTCTCAACCTAGGAAATCAATAATCCAACTTTGTAATTTTCCCTTATGAAATGCCTTTATATTTTATGAAGCGCGCTGGAAAGTTTTTGAAACTCACGATTGTACAGCAAATGCGATCCTTGTACAAAATTACATTAAAAGTTTGTCAAACTTTCACTGTTACAGTGACAACGATATTGTTAAATTCGGTTATGCGGCTCATTCAGCCTTATGAAGGAATTGTGATTTTATAATATTGCTAAAATATGACATACTTGTTTGATTTAAAGTATTTCAAGTTAACTGGTTAAATCGTTTTCAAATATTAAATTAACTGTAAGCAGGGTTGATCGAATTAAAAAACATTTTATTGTGATTTTACGACTACAGACTAACGCAGTACTATAAATTATTTAACCCTAAGTCCGTCTGCAAATGGAATAGTGCCACTGAATAACCCCTTCAACCAGGTCGTCACGTTTGGTACTTGTAAATAAAACTTTTACTTATTATATTAGTATCGTGTACACAGATTTTAAAACCGTCCAATAATAATAAAAAATAAAATAAGTTCGTCTGTGGAATTTATCAAAGCATATTATACTGTACATCGGTCACACAGTAAATGTCGTTAGGAAAATGCTCCCAATAAGAAAATTAAACTTATTCTTTGAACCCAGTAATCGGTATTTTATATTTTAAAAAACCAGTAATAAAGCCAGATATATTCGTTGTAAATTTCCTAAGAATAACTGACTCTTTTCATTCAAATAATGTTGACAAAACGATTATAACTTTCACTGTGTGATGCACGCCTCAAGTTCACACACTACATTTAGCACCTGTAGAGTATACCAAAAGGATTAAATTATTTACTTAAAGCTCTTGCGCTCTGTTATACTCTACTGCGCCATAGTGACCAACCAAAGTCGGTACTGAAATTTAAGGGATTATTAAAAATAATATGAATTCCTAAAATGCATGATTATGTAAAACCGGTCTGCAAATTAAAATTTTTTATCGAGTTACACCTATTGGGCTAAATTATTATGCTACTTGATCAACATAGATGAAAATTAAGGATTTTTTAATTATCTAAACTTCATTTATTCTCAATATTTTTTTTTTTTTTTGAAAACAGGAGTATCGTAGAAGAATTATCCTCCTTAAGTGCACTTGCTTCTTCTCGATCTCCGCTTATGTCTATCTGGAAATTAAACGCTCAAACGCTTGAATGAAAAATGAAACAGTTTTTAGTCTAAAATAAGATGCAATAGAGCGTTTAAGATTTTTCTTCAAACGCGTTATGATTTTATGTGACGAATTGTTGAAAATCTATAAAACTTTCACACGAGGTCACTCGAAAACAACGGCAGTTGTATTTTCTAATATTTTCTAAGCGCACACCGGGGCAATTATTTTCTTAACAATTGTAAAATAGCTGATTGATTTAGATCGTTAGGGAAAATTATAATATTTACAGTATTATCTTATAGCTGTTATGGCGCTTACCTTTGCAAATGTTTTGAATGTGTGTCTGTCTTCGATTGCCCCCGCTAAGTTGGTCTCTAATCAATCGACTGTATACAATTTTATACGGTTCGTTTTCAACAATATCCGCTGTTTTAATAAAATTTCAAACAAACTACGTTCATGCACGACAGTGCAAGTTTTTGTGCCAAACCGCGCGATTGTGACCCGACAGACGGACGACGTTGAACTGAACTTACCGAGCATTTACCGACTGGAACGGCAACGGCGTTATGGAGGGAATCGAAAAGGCAACCCCTATACCCGCCCCTTAGTACGTTACTAGTATAAAAAGCAACACATCGACATGGTTTACCGTTCCCCTTCACATTGCGCCCCATACTGAGCGAATGTGATGGAATAATGAAAGAACTTTCGATGACCGCGTGCGTACACCGTACTTGTTAAGTTCACGTGTCTTGTTTAGAGATTAAAAAAAATATATAATAAACATTGTGTGTGTGTGTTTGTGTGCATCTACATAATAGAGCACCTGAATCGATAGCCCAACCCCGACGTTGAATTAATGGTAACGTGAACACGGATATTATTATTTGATCGACAAGCGTTTTCTCGGGTACGCCGCACGGTGGTCTGAGAATGGAATTTAACCGAGCAGTTCAAAATGTTAAAAAAATTTCAATTCTGTTCACTACCTCATTAGTGTATGTTTACGTAAGTAAATATATAATGACAACTTAATAACAATTTCCGAACTTGAGTTATAGCCAGTTAGTTATATTATAGACTTTTGTCTTTGGTATTCGCAAAATAACAGAAAAATTAAAATTGTCTAGTTCACTTGGCACACTTGGTGATCTTATAACACCCGTTTAAAACATTTAACTAAGTTAAAACTTTATATTTACACTTGTAAACGTATACTAATGAGATCCTGAAAATAAATTGATTTTTTGAACACTTTTATAACAGCCTATTTTTGCTAACTAAATTCGACTCTCAGACCATTTTGCGATGATGGTCGTTTAGTAAGACGCCTGGCAAATCAATCTTTTTTTTCTTCTAGAAAACGCTGTTTAAATTAACAATTAGCATATAAAGATATAAGTATGGATTAGTAATTGGCACTAAGCTCGAGAGTTTATGGTTGATTTATGAGATATGATATGAGTATATGACCAATGTTGTGCGCTTAATTATTAAGAGGGGAATCTGGGAACAATAAAATATACCAAACTTATATAAAATATATATTTACTACACCGAACATTTGTTTAGTTTTTTTTTTTTATTTCAGTAAGGTTAACGTTTTTTTGTTGGCGATAACAGGATAATGGAAAGTAAGTCATGTGGCCTGAACCGTTAAAGTTCTGCCTACTGTAGGGACAATATGCTATAGTTATGAATTGTTTAATCACTTGTAATGGAATCAAAAATCTGTTGCTAATGAATGGAATCGCCCTGTGCTAATAGCTATGACCCATACAGATGACATGTTAACAATAATTGTAAGTAATTGACTGCTACTTTAAAATTCGGTTAAATATTTATCAACTTAACAATCGTCGAGTGTTTGTACAACAAAACAGTTTTTTAATATAATGCTTAACCATTAAGTGTGGAACTATTTGAGCCATTCTATCTCTACAAATATGCTTCTCATTATGCTCATGTGCTTTTTTTAATGTCCATTAAACAGTTGTTATATGTCTTGGTAATTATTCTTGATAATTTGTTCCTATTTGTTCTATGTGATTAATCTACCTTTCTCACGAGCAACATGACCTCTGATACATGATACTAGTGGTAATTTCACTAACTTATTCTCTACGCTTCAAATGGGTTCCCCACATTTTAAGTTTATAAAATAATATTTCAAAGCTTTTGCTTTACAAATATTACATTTTTTTTTTTTTTGTAAATTCATTTATATTTTGATACCTGAACGGCATTAAGATGTGTGAGTTAGGAAAATATTCAAAGTTGTTCTCCATTGAGTTGACTACCACTTATTTAAAAATTGTTTTTTTAAGTAATGATTTAAAATAATTTTTTTGGCAGTGCACTAATGAATACATTTAATTTTAAAGAAAACACGATTACGTTAATTTTGAAATTGTATAATGATCAAATTAATGGTCGTTTTATTTCAATCGAGTACTTGTAACGGAACGCGTTAATTTTTAAAAGGAGTTTCTACTGAATATATTATAAATATAACCCGGGTGTACAATTACTAACCGTTTTATAAGTCCTGTAGGATCTACACCACTATCATAACACTATCTATGCGCCGTAAGTTGATTTGAAGGCAAAACACGTAGACGCTGGCGCATTTTGTAATTTGTTGTATGTATTAGGAATACCTAATATATTATGTGATACATATATAGTGCATGATTAGTGATAATAGTCGAATTACTGAGCTGCACCTTTTGCAATAATACGTGTAACGTTTAAAACTAATTTGCGACGAGCTCATAATATCTTTAAGAAGACAGTGACTAGAATTTCAAAAAATAAGCCAGCATAGTGGGGCTGGAGCATAGTAGGGACGAAACAGATTGGGATAGAGAATGTCACAGATCTACAGAAATTATTATAACTGAATTTTACTTTTTACTGTGGCTTTTCTGAATGAATTTGTGATAGATAATATGAGTCGAGTGTCATCATAAAATATTTATACTGCATCGTATGTCCTAAAAAATGTGCAATAAGAACTGTTCAACGAGAAGTGGGTACTATTTTTCACTATCATAATTTAGCATACTAGCTTATAAGCAATTGTCTTTAGTTAGTACCATGTGTTTATAATATTGTTAACTATGAGTTCCTAGCGTTTAATTGACTATTAAACGTAATAAATTGTACTTTATTTTGTTATAAACAATACACTAGTTTCCATTACTGTGTTACTCTAACCCACCACAATATTATACCATGATATTACTATTATAATATCTAGTCTATATTATTTTCTTTTTACAACAGCTATGAATTATAACAACTAACGGCACGACAATAATTTAGGTTTGAGTGAACATAGTCGCAGGTAAACATTGAAGTTTATTTTTATAAATTATAGGTAAGTAACAAAAAATTAAATCATGCTTTAGACATTAGGCTTTAACATATTGCATTAAATGGTGTATTATCAAATCGTTTTCTGCAAAAATGTATAATTTTTCTTTGGCGATTCAAAACTGTCAAAACGAATTGTTATTGTTTAACATATTTTACTGTCATATTTCAATAAAATATTTTTTGTAACTGAGAAAACTGAATTTAGATTGACATAATTAAATACAGTTGGAATACAAAAATGTCCGTTTTTTATTTTTATTATGATATATTAACAATAAAGTAATATTATTAACATGATATATATACTAAACTGCACACTTAAATGTATATAAAAAAAACTTGTGTTAGAGTAGTAAGTATAGAGTTTAGTCTATACTTTTTTCATAATACTCTGTGGGCATGTGTACTACCAAAGGTATTTCTATGAACCTTTACAGGACTTTGAAATGACAAGACTTAACATATTTTAAATTTTTTTCAACTTTTCTAGCTTTTCTTTTTTTTAATAAAATTGTTTAGTTTATTTTGGACATTTTATTTTTATTTAATAAGAGCTTATATAAATAAGAAGTCCCAATTTCAGCATTTTCACTAATGATTTACAAACTAAAGAAAATAATAATTTTTGTCTGTTGTTTTAAATTTGTACTCTATGCTTGTCAATTACATTTTAAATAATGGACTTCTTCAATTTCAAAGCCTCTAAGTTTCCAATTACATATAATTTATTATATATGTAATGAAAATAATAACCGTACAACTCTTAAATCCATAAAAAAACGTCATTGTTAAGATAACATTCACAGTCAAAGTCTCATGATCAGTTAAAAACAGATAAATGTCAACTTATGCTTTTCTAGCTTCGACAAACGGGCAACAAAATGTTTGCTTTACTAAAATTAATACTAGTTTTATAAAGTAAGTAAAATTTTGAAGTAGATTTTTAAATAAAAAACCGACCTTCTTTTCTAAATAATGTCTACAATGTCGGTTAGGGTAAATGTTAAACTGAAAATTATACAGATAATGTAGAACTGCCAACGCTTCCCACGTTGAATCACTATTTAAATTTCATTTGTGTTTATTTTCGTGTACGTCAGTAGCTTAGAGTATGCAACATGTATAGGAGGAGGTGACTTTGAATAACGGATCTTCTAATAGGTTTTTGCATGCTTTTAAGCAGTTTCAAAGCGCGCTTTGATTATAATTATGAATAGCAGTTGCCCGCATAGTATGCAGAAATGACATTACTTCCAGAACACAAACACCCTTATAATTTCTTAAACCCCTCTAGGGGGAGTAAAATATTTCCCCAGCAACAAAATATAAACGACAGAGCACATTTTACGCTTTACATTTAGGTAAATGATTCGATATTTCTATTAAGTTTGAGGGAAATTCCATTTTCCACAAAAGTTCAAAGTGCTCAAGTATACATACTGTATACATCTAACTAATAAACAAGGTACATTTAAATTAAACTTATATCGAAAACCCTTTGATTATATTTACTATTACTATAAATATTATTGACTATTGATTATATTAATATATAACCTCTCTAAGAACATAACAAAACCTTAATAATGTCGTTACACGTATAGAAATCTGAAGCTAAATTGTAGATGTTATAATTTATATTAACATGTTTAAATTGACAAATCAATATCTACATATCTCAATATTGCCAGTAATTGATACAACACCAAATAGTTTTAAATTAAGTGTACATATTTTTTGAAATTGAAAACATTATTCTAATAGGTTATTATGTACATATACAAGTATTTAGATTGTCGTTTTACATAAAGAAATGAGTTTCTCTTTATTTTCATACAAATATCTGAAATTGCTTAGCATTATTATGGTTTGTTAATCAATAAATTATAAATATCAATAAATTATGTAAAAAGGAATAACAAAATAATGCTAATAATGTATTAACCGCGCTATGGGCAACGTTTTCTCAGGTAATATAATTTAAAAAAGAAATAATAACTTATAACAGTATTATAATAGAGTTACGTTTATTAAAAGCGAAGCTCTCCTTTTCCGCTTAACTGACGACAATCCGGATTAGTAATACAGTTTCGATTTTCTTGTAATTTAATCGGACTTCATTAATGTCAACGATATTATAATCAGTTAAATTCATAATATTCAATAAAACAGGTTCCGCATTATTACAGACCAAATACAAATTGATTTTATGATATATCAACACATATTATTGTATGTACATAAAACCGTGTTATAATAATATATTTTAGTTTCCACGCTAAACCAAAAATGTATAGCCGGTTCTTGCACCGGAACTTTTACCGATTTTTAATAACCAATTATTATTTTCCTTTACAATTTACTAGCGAGTGAAAAATATCAAAGTGATTTTCGGAACGATATAAATGTGAAGGAAAGGTTTTATTCCAGCAAACAATTCCTAAATTAAAAAAACAAACATACAGAGCGTGGAATAGGTTGTTCTACGACACTATTTATTGGTGTTTATCAATGAAATTGTGTGTGTCTAAGGATAACATGGATAATTGCACCGTACTTGTTAAGCAATTAAAAAACAATTAGGTAACTTTCCAAATAAAATTATTATGATTGCCCACAGATCCTAACGGTATAACTACAAAGTTATTGGTGTTTGTGTAACGTTTTCATTCTCAATTACCTTTATCGTCCGCAATTAAATTTATCTGTGGACGAATATTCGGATGTCCAAAAACAGACAATATTCTTTTTCAGAACGATTAACTTTTAGACATTTATCCTCTACTCGTTATAAAAAAAATATAATTTGATAAATGTTAAGCTTGTGAAGTTACTAGAGTGTTACCGCAAGAACACCCAAAGATATTACACAGGCACAACTTGTAACCACTCACCAGGTAACTGTTAAGCATCACTCCACTAATTATACATTTTAGCAATTAGATTTCTACTGACCTTATGTCCGAGAAAATTTAACATAACAAGTTTTTTTCTCTTTCGTTTAAACATAACGTTGCGTCTTCCATAGGAATACTTAACCTTGTTAACTTGGAAATAAATAACAATATAAAAAAAATGCATAATTGAAAGATGCCACGTATAATTATTGTGGCTAATTTTATAGTTGTATATTTTATAGTACTAAATCTTGTATGATATCAAAATATTATATAAGTCGATAAATTAATTTCATTCCCGAAAAATAAAATGTATTATTATTATTTTGTAATATATTTTTAAAATAGTTATAATAATAGCCTAACCGCACAACCTTTTTTAAGCTAACTCAATTCAGTATTTTGTTGTGTAAACAAAAAAAGTACTTATCTTAAAAATGGTACAAAAAACAAAATGTTTTTTCTGCTACTTTAAAAAGCTGTTAAGTGTTGTGCAAACGTTTGAAAATATTAGGGTAACTGCCGGGGTGACATGATGTCCAGTTTTTCGTTGACGATAGGTTCCGTCAACATATGAGAGTTTCCTTTTGAGTAAACCCAAACCATAGAAATGTATCTGGTGAAATGCCGGTCAAGTCTAACAATGACTGTACGTTTTCTACAGAAAAAATATGAATCAATCCGAAAGCACTTTAACCGAAAACTTTTCAATAATACTTAACCATACAATATAAAACTTTTTCGCGCCACTTAAAATGTTTACGCAATACTTCTATAAAACATAAGTTACATAATTTGCGATAATAGCTTTGACTGTTCTAGCCTCCTATTGTATACACTATGTTACAGCTATGTTCACAGCATAACGTCACTGACCAAATTATTTTAAATACAAAGAGTAAATCTAATAATACTTAAAATGCCTCCTAGATAACTTTTTATTATAAAACTGTACATCTTTGGTCGCTTAATAAATGTGTCGTCCATTGAAAAAGGGAATGGTCTCGTTGTAATTGAATTTTGAAATAACAAGTTTTTGTAAATTAATGTGTAGGAGAATAATTAATACAAGTATTAATTATTATAGTTATTATATATAAGTATCCAGTGATTTCTAATTTTTTATTTATTGAAGTTACTTATTTGTTTACTCAAATTATTATTTTTATTATTATTTACACAATTTGTATTTCCATAATAACATGTTTTTATACTCGAGTTTTCCCTGTTGTTTTGATATCACTTTTGTTTGTAACAACATCAACAAGGTACTACGTAATTGAAATAAAAATAAATACAGCGATTTAGTTAATAATATATAATAGTCTATATTATATATATATATATATATATATATATATATATATATAAGAAATTAAAAATTATCTACGTAATTTGTTTTGTATTAACTAATTAACATACCTATTAGTATAAATATCGTTTGTAACACTATGCAATTTGTTCAATCTTTACTGAGCTTTTCGCTGTGTAATATTGTGTTATTTATCAATAAACCGTTGAACCAAATCTATTCGTGCAGTTCTCTGTGTTATTTAACAGTTATTTATTCAAACCTTATTTTTCTAACTACTGTACGAGATGTTTTGAAGCCTTTGGCTCACTACAGTTGCTTCTCTTTTATAATGAAAGATATGACTAAATGTGACTCCATAAGGCCAAAATGTGTAAATTTAAAATGTTTGAAGTTACACCACGATTCTACAATGACCTAAATAACGTTTTCCGTTCCCATTACTAGCTCTGTTGATTTTCATCTGTATTCTTTGGACACCTGAACTGAACTGTACTGTGTTTATTTTGTGCTTCTAAAAGGCCGTATTGTTTTATTATCATTACAATATTATTATTTCTGCGGTTACTGTTTTTTATTTTAGATTTCACGTGTAATGGACGTCGACAACAAGCAGGTAGGTAGTAAAAAAAACAAACAACAAAAAAAAGGGGTTAAACCGATTATTATTTTTGCGCCGTTATCGATTTGCTCGCGCCACCACACGGTCACGTAGCAACTCTGAATTGCATTTAGCACGATTTTCCTGTCTCCATAGTGTAACGGCTTTGTTCAAACCGTACCTGTATTCACACCTATTCTGGCGATTTTATTAGGTACAGCAGAGCAACAGTGACGTCACGGTCTACAGTTTATACAATTCGGACGACTACACTTTTTAACCCCTATTCAACTGTGTGGTCCAACGCCAACATCTATGTGCTACACAGACTTTACTTTGGCATAAAAGTGAATTAGATCGAGTCAGACACAAAAAACGACTGAATTATTATCTTAAACAATATGGAATATTGATTCAACGTTTCAGAAAGATAACCGTTTCACTTTTTTTTTTTTTTTAATACATTAATACAAATTTGAAAGAAATAAAATAATGAAATAATCCGCATGAAAAAACCTTAATGCCGGGTTGCATAAACGTCTAATGAACCAATAAATGTTTAGTGGTTCTTTAAACATAACTAATTGGCCTGTCATTGATCAATTAAATTTAAACGGACCATTAAATTTATTAATTATTTATGCTACGTATATATACATATATGAGTGTTGTTTTAACAAAATACAATTTTTTTAATCAGTGCTTCATTTTTTCAAGACTAAGATATAGTATAGTATCGTCGAATGCGTCGTAGCTAATCTGTTTTCCGTGTTTTAAAAATCTTATCATTAGGGTTAAATGATGTATAATTAATACAAATATAATCAAAGATAACTGAAATTTGAGTACGCTATAAAGAGTTGAACCGATCAATTATATACTAACTTCTACGAAGTACAAAATTATTATTTCATGAACTCGACTCACGACGTTAAGATTACGGTTTTTTGTATTTAATTAAATGACGTTCACAATTTCAAGAGTTGTTTACTTTGAAACTTTTACAGTGAACGAGAATACTCGAAAGATAAAATACATTTATGAATACATCATAGTGTTTGTATCTAATTAATATCTAAATCTAATTAGAATAATTTTTAACTAGTCAAGTAGTTCCGAAAAAATCTAATTACAAAAATGTGAGTAATATGTACTACAATAGTACTGTCTATAAAGACCATAAATAATGATATTCGCAATAATGCGCTACAAGACAAAGTTCTTATCTTCTATCCATATTTTTGCAAAATGAATTAAGCATTTTTGCATTTATATTGTATGTATAGTTTTCTATGGACAAAGCTTTTAATGGCATAACAAACAAATTTTAATAATAATAATACCAACATGCGAAGTACATGATTCCGTATTTATATTTCGTGAATAATAATATTACAATATATCAAAAATTTGGAGCTGTTTGTGTTGTGGTTTTTCTCGACTTTCATTCGATTAGAGTAGATTTTATTTCCTTGTCAAGTCCGCAAGCATTAACCGCTTCTGTTATCGATTCTTGAGATTCTGTGTCTGCAAAAACAAAACCAAACACACTTACGTCACTTAGTGTGTACATACTATATAGTAACACTGATAAATATCTTTCTGTCCCTTATCCATAATAAGTGTTGCGATTCAAACCTGAAATGTCGGCTAATTTTTCTTCTTGATCAAACGACGATAATGGCCACAACCTCTTTAGAAAACGTTTTTCCATTAGTAAAGCAGCAGAAGACTTTACTAAAATAAAATAAATAACACACTTTTTTTGTTTTGGTAATCACGATGTAGAATATGAATATACTTTTTTAATGTATTATTTGAAAAGAAAAAAAACTTTAATTTACAAGACTACTGATGTCCTAATGTCCTAATGTCAAATTAAATATTTTATATTTGTAAAGGGTATAAGTAACTTTTAAAATAATGTTACTTTATACCTTTTTGGTTGTGAACACCTCATTTATTAATAGTGAGAAAAATGCAAAGGAACGAATTAGATGGTAAATGATGACATAATGTAGTCATGCTATTAAGACTGAAGGGAGTGGTAAATGATTTAGAAGTCAGTTAAGTAAAGAGATTAAAGTAAACAAAAAATTAAGACCTTAGGTTATCTTTTTAAAAATAAAAGCGAGCACTCGATACTCATGTTGGAAAATGTGTATTTAAATTTGTATTCGATTTAAATAAGGTTGTTTAAATTAATACTGAAAGAGTAACTTTTCCTACCACTTTTGAATGGTATGCATTTAAATTTTTTTTTATCGAAAAAAATCTATAATTCTTTAATAGGTCACAATTTTAAATTAATGAAATGCTTACAAAATTAAAATGATATTTCTGAAAGACTAAGATAAATTGAGTCGTATTAATTCAAATTTAATTTTAGAGAAATATATGTTTTTTAAAATTATAATTAAGATTCCAACAATGTCGGTTATTAGCCTGATTATGCTTAAAAGTTATTGCAAATAGTGAATTAAACATAAGTTTTTAGAATACAATGTGAAATGTTAACAATATAAAATACGTGTTATAATAATTAAATTAATTATATATTTAAGTATGTATTATATTTTATTAAATAACCGTGAAAATAAATCCAAAAGAGAGCTCTTGGTCAATTTAATTTAAACTATTTTAATATTAATGTAATATATTGTAATGTAATTACTATCCATTTCCTGTTTGTTTTCACGATTTCCTAAGTGCTTTACTGGTGTTTTCCGCAACCCGTCTTTACAATGCAACGATTTCCTTAAATCAAATAACAATAATATTATGTTCTTTAAATTTGTCGATGAACCGTTATAAACATTATTTATTGCCTAACGTCGGAATAACATTATCATGATGTTGTATACGTTACATGGATCGAATGTCGTGAATAGTTTTGACTTCTTTTAGTATGTGCTGTTGTAACATTCTTTCCGGTTGGTTTTCGCCAGGCACGATGTTCAGACCCTTTAATTCGGGACGATGAAGGCTGAAGAATGAGTTCCTTTTCTATTTATAAACCCAAACACACACACACACACACACATGTGCACACCAACACATCGATGTAATAAATCACGTATCATCATATTTTAAAGGAGAGCTGTATAAAATTGTTGCCGGGTACTAACATCGCATTTCTCATTTTTGACCTCGACTAGATAATAATATTTTTCTCGCCAATTTTCATCCAACACCCAACTCAATTTATCACACCGGCGACCGGCAATTATATGACGTTTAAGATATGTTAACGATACCCAAAAGAGTCTTCCAAGGTTAAATTATTAATTTGTGTAATATTGTGTTATAAACATCCTTAATCTCAATCTAGTAATATGTTTTCATAGTCGATTATTTTTTTTTTTTTTAAATATTGTCATGTTAAATTAAATATACATATAGGATGTATGCAGGCATTACAATATTCAAATATATCCAAACAATTATCCATAAGGATAGAGAATATCCACCTGCATACAGTTTAATTACTAAAATTAGAATTAATAATTTACTAAAAACATTTAGGAAGGCTCTTGTAAAATTTGGAGAGGTAAACTCGGGGAGGGAGTGGGGGCATTATCTTTAATAAAATATACAACAGTGGTCTTGTTTAGTATAAAAAATGTTTAGTTTATTATTTATTATAAGAAAATAAAGTAAGTAGGTACAGGAAAATGGAATGATTCTAGGAAAAAAAATTTTTCAGGAAAGCAAAAACAAAGTTAGTTTGTGCGTACAAATCTATGTGTCAACCGTTTTTAAAACGCTAAGATGGCCCCACTATAACCACTCTTTCACAAAATGGATTTCAAAATTTAATACTAGCTCCAATGTACCATTGAATGGTATCATTATCTAAAAATTGAAAAAAATGATCTAGTACCCTTCTCCCGTGTGCCCTTCACTTCATTACATTAAAAAGGCAACTCGGTATTTTTGTTTTTAAGAGTAATTTACCTATTTAAATTAAATTAACTAGATTTATATTGTAGAGTTCCTAGAAATCATTTCAAAAGTTTTCATTCAATACATAGCTTAACCACACTCGTTATTAATTTAAATCCATACAATTATAAAATATTGTTTAAGGGTTATTTAGTAATTTTGAAATTAAACAAAATCATTAAATTGTACACATGAACTAAATTTATTAATTACATAATTGAAAATATTAGCTAAGTAAGTATTTTTATTGTATATGATTGCCGGTCATTTATACAAAATTTCATTTTTCATAAAATATACACTAGAATAGTAAAAAAAACAATTGAATTACTTTTAATGGACCATCCTGATGTTTTAAATTTCTGATTGATATAGTGGCTAAGCCGTTCATTATTAACTCTTGATTGATTTTTAATTCCTGTCCGTCGTACAGTGGAACAATTTTCGGGATACCATTGCTATTTAGCCTCTATAATACCATTAACACGTGAAATGAAGTGTCATTCAAATGTGGAGTACTACTTATATAAATGAAATTGAAAGTAGATAGTGTACTACATAACCAATATTCTTAATAAAAGTTATTGATAACATATTTAATCATATTTTAGTCTACATTTACATTACACGAGTCTACAGTTAGTATTTACTTGGCTTTTGTGTAGCACATTGTTTTCGTCTCCCAATGATAAACTATCGTTGTCCTTTTTACCTTTCCGTAATATCTCCATGTTATACAATATTCCGGAAAAAGGCAATTTTGAATTACAAGCTAAAACTTTAAATTTTAATTATTTGATTAATACTAAATAGATACGGTATTATTTTGTTTAAATATATTATATTGTATATGCGTAACTATACACAATTCAACAAATAACACATGTATAAGCATATGTTTTTTAACTACGAAAATAAATTATAACCATTCAAGGTTAAATGTCACACATTCAAGATGGTAAATGACACAAAAAATAAAATAATTTAACATAATCTGTAAAGTGTTGATAATACCGAACATACCAGGAATGACTAAACGACGTTTAAAATACATATAATATATCATGGGTTAACACGAATTTTGAGTTTGGATTAAGAATGCTGGATTTTCATTCCTTAGTAGTCTGAGGATTAAAAAATATGCAATTTTAGTCTAACGCTTTGTTTTTGTAACAATGAAAACTAAAACAATGAAGTCCATTAAAAATATGTCATCGTAGAGATCAAGTACGAATTTTTTTTGTCTGAGAGAAGAATTCCGCTCAACGCGACAATAAGAGTTAAAATAAGACCAACTCTTACTAAAGCTGGCCAATATAATGGTTAACATTTCGATTAACATCGATTAAGTTGCAAGTTAAAATTAATTTAATAAATTATCTAGAATTAATTTATAAAAAAAATAATATTTAGACCCCGTTATTATGTATTATTATTGTGTTGTAAAAATACAGTCTATGTATTTTCCGTGCAAAACCAAATAAGTATTTGGCAATTTTTCTATGTTTCTTGATGTGCACATTTAAAACATAAAAATCGAAACCCAGGCTCGAACCAAAAAATACAAATTTATTAACCGGTGCTAACACAATAACAACACAATAATGACTATGTGTATTTTAATAACACAGGCAATAGTAACACAGAAGTAAAACTAAGAATGTAATGCGGTGCTATAATACATTTATTTATAGGTGACAACTATTTTTAAAGTTATGGGTTTAAAAGTTAGGACGGGAGGGTAAGTGTGGTTGGGAAGTGTGCGCAGATAAAACTAATACTACATTCCACCTTTTATCCTCCCCTAAACTTGAAACTTCATCAACTACAAAAATAATTATCCAAAACTGGTTACGACCAGTCAAAATTTCAAGTAAATTATTTTCAATTTAAAAAGTTAATTAAATATATGCGTTACTATTTAAGTTTCAAAAGTTGCTATCAAAAAAACTACGTTGGTAAGGGGGGGGGGGGTAAAAACAAAACAAATTGTGAAAAATTGAGATCACATTGTATAAAAACATTATGAAAGGAAAAAATTTAATTTCTTATTAAACTCTATGAGATATTGAATGGTTCACGATAAAATTATCACCCTGTATAAGGTCATTGGCCTATAAAAAAAAAAAAAATAGTAGAAGATAATATATATTATTGAACTATCAAATATATATAACTGAAAATAACGTGGCAATGAGTTTAGGCGGTATTATGTAAAAAAATATATTTATTTATTATTTTTCATACGGGATTAGCACATATATTGTCTGTTTTTATTTTATTAGATGAAAAAAAGGTATCTATTTTTAAATACGATTATATAAAAGCGAAGCACTCGAGCACTACGACTCAGTTCTAAATATAATACAATTTGAATGTATTATTAATTGTGGCACCCTCTTGTACAATTTTCTTGAGGACGCCACTGCCCTTGAATGAATTTCTTGACTGTTTTAATGAATTACAAATGGCATCTAGTTTATACTTTATAGTCATTTTTTAACATTGTCATGTAAATTACCACATAAATTGAAAATTCGATTAAGTAATGACTTAACAGACTTATAATTAAATAATTTTCCAAATTATAATACTATTAAAAATAGTTTACTAATAGATAACGACAAGTTTGGTGCAACCCGCTAATAATAATATAATAGTATAACCAGTAAATATTCATCAAAGCTTGCTGACTTTATGGATAGACAGTTTAGCACGATGTATGATGGGTAATCATTACAGTACTTGCCAATTTCACTGTGTTTGGCACTCAATACTAATACTGAGGCCTTGTTTACACTCTTGCGCATTGTACTTACACTTTACAATCGACAAAATCGATTTACTAAACAAAACTGCGTAAACTTGGCTAAACTGCTGAGTAACACTAAAATACTCACCACTCGACTAATTCAGTAATTCAGTCGAATTACTGAAATTGTGTAAACCAGACTTCAGTGCGATTGACAAGTAAGTACTAAGCTCAAGTAAAGGGGGAATATTTATTTATTAATTAATGTAAACGCCCAAGTGCATTCATATTATTATTAGTATTTTTATTATATCATTAATATTATTGTACATAATATTTTATTAAATACAGTATACACAATAGTATTATATAAATGAGCAGTACCTAGTACAACAATACAATTGATTGTATAACAAATCAATAATAATATTAAATAACACCTGTTATAATAATAAACGGGTGCAAAGTATAAATTAGATAGAAATAGGAAATGAAAATCACAATTTTCTGAGAGATAACAGACATTTTGTATGTGAAAACAGAAATGTGTCTAGAGATAAGGCTTTCAAATGCGATTTTCAAAAGAAAAAAATAGTTCCTACTACTATAATTAAGTAAAAAAATGTAAATTATAATTAAATAGAAGTCTAAAAAATAGTCTAGAAATATATTAAACCCAAAAAGTTTGTTTTAAAAAAATAATGATTTTATTTATTTATTTTAAAACTTTAAATTAAAAACTTTTCAACAAGTGTGCATCATTTAGATACATATCTCTACGATTTATAGTTATATTTTTGTGTATAGTTATGATTATACAATTTTGATCTTATGTACTTTTATTAAACTTTTGTACGACTAGAATAACGTTCATTGGGAATATATGAATTATTATGTTCCAATTCCTAACCTTAACAGTTAACTCAACAAAGTGTTACCTTGTAATGTATATGTCTTTTGTACCTGTCTTAAGTCTTTCGATTATACATTATATTAACCATATCGTAACAATTTGAACGTGTTTAGTGTAAAATTCATCTAGTATTAACTTGGGAGTAATATAATTTAATTAACGACATAAATACATTTTGATATTATCTATAGAATAAATTTACAAACACCTCTTTTAGGAATATTAATTATAAATTAAGTTTACTAACAACCAAAATAAACAAAAAAACATTGGAAAGCATGATACCGCTATAAAATTAAAAAGCAAGTTCAAATATAGTGATCAATCTACGCGTGTAAGACGTATTAAGGTTCAATTATTCTTTTAAATAAAAGTAAAATTAAATAATATTATATAAACAAAGTACTTTTAATGTCTTTTGAAGCAGTAAATTATTTTAATAAAAAATATATATGATCAAGAATTTTGTTAATTTAGCATTAGTAATAACCAGTAAATTTACGTCCCTTCGATCTCATATTATATATAACATGCTAAATCGTCTAAACGATAATTATATATTTAGTACGTTTGAGTTATCAATCGAGATCGTATTAAATTTGTAGTTACATTATGTCACAATATTATTATCATTTATCATTCAGTAGCTGGTGTACTTTGCTTAACATGTTAATCGTTATGACATCTAATATGAGAGTCTTAATTTTTAATTGAATTGTTTTTTAAATACAACTTGATTTTGTAGACAATAGCGTGAGTAAAACTTCTCATTATGTAAAATATTTAGATTCGGTTTCGTTCGACTTGAAAATACTTATCATTGATACACATGGCGCTCTCTAGAATATAAAATAAAAACAATTTTCGTTTGAATCATTCCTGTGAGGGCTAATACCTAATAATTATACTATACGCGGACTACAAATCTTGGTAAAGTATTTGTAATTTTTTTTATAAAAATATGGACTTATTTAACTCGTTGGATTACTTCGTTTCTTCTTCATAGTATTTCAATAATATTACTACAAGTAATACATAATATATACATCATCATAAAGCGACCAATAATAATTGTAAACAGCGTTATCCAAATTTCATACTACGGTATGTCTTTTCAACGGAATAATAGTTTTACTTAAACATATTTCAATTAAAATTATTACTATATTATTTAAAAGATGTAACTTTTTTTTTTACCTATATCCATTTTCAAAGAATATTTTAATGAGTAATACGAGTATATTATTATTATATTAAAATATAAGATATATTATAGGAAATATTACCTAGACAATTTTTTGCAAGAACTGAAAAAACAACTATTTGGTAAATTTATTTGAACAGTAATTAGGTTTCTTTATTGTAAGCTATTTTTTTTAGACCATTACAACGCCAATTAAAAAGGTTTTCCATTATTTTTTACTAAAACCTAGGTAGCTGTACAGATCGCGCATTACTTGTTTTATGATGGTTTTAAAGAAAATATTCACATCCGATTTTCAATATATTATTGATTATTTGGCATAATACCGATGAAAAAGGGATCATTGTAATAATATAGGTAAAAAAGTAATCTGGACTATTTAAACTGAATGCCGCATTGAAAAAGCGCGATAAATTCATCTAATATAACAGCTATAAAGTACTTAATACTATTATTTTCATATTTCACTGCTGTTATTAGCAATTTAATAATTAGTTAACAGCATGTGGTATCGTATAATAATAGTGTTCATTATTCTACACACTATTCTTATAAATTCGCCATTAGAATTCATTTTTTTTACCTTAGACAATATCTTGTTAAATTTACCTTTTGTAAAGCCATTAAAAATTCTTGAAACTGGCGGTTAGATACCACCACCACGGTTTTTCGCTTTGGTTTCGTTTTAAAAATTATAATAATAACGGCAATACAAGAGGGCAACGTGTATTTAAATCTACGGTCTCGTGCACTTGCAATTTGCCGGATCTGCATTTTTATACATCCTTAATGTACCGGTCATACTAGTTACTATACTCGAGTTCTTTTCGAAGAAAATATTTTTACTTGATGATAGTTATATCTTTACCTGTATCTTGCGTGTACTGCGTTTATTTATATATAATATGATATAGATGCAATAAAAGTTGACTTATACGTTTATGGAACGATAATTACATTGGCTATAATCGTACAAACTACTTATATACAAAATATTGTATTGCTTCGGGTTTTTTTTATGACATCACGTTATAAACAACTACATCATATGACACGAGTACAAATAATTAAAGGCTTTGTTGGACTTATTTCAATAACTTTTCTCTTAAGCGCAGAAAACTGCAGTGCACGTAGGCACACATAAGAAACGTATTGTATACTCGCATAATGTTATAGGTGTACCGTGTAGGTTTTTCCCATATCAACTCGTTTAAGCCCACTTATAAGATGTAAATCTTAAATTCATAAATAAAAAAATAATAATCGTAAGTCAACTTGCTAAATCGCAAAAAACACACGTTATAAAGTGTATAAATGTGTATATTTATTCTTTATAAATATTATATGTAATATTAATATACTTTGTACATGAAAATGTAGCCTGTAGGCCGTATTACCTTTCAGAGAACAAATTCTTTGAAAGAGAAGTTGTTAATGCCTAACAGAATTGTTGAAAATTAACTGTTTAATAATATAATAATGCATTATTATAGCCCGTATACGGTGCATAATAAATATAAATGTGTAAAATTAATTTCAAGATTTCAAAGTAAAAACCACAAAACACTGAAAAGGAAGAACTAAAAACGATCACCGTCTTGTCATATAGTACGGTAGATTGCATCATTTTCTAGCACACGCAGCACGCCGCGCGCATTGGCCACACTAGTAAGGGCTCACCAAAATAGTAACTACAATAGTATGTTACCTTAAGGATATTTTATTTGGATGTGTTATTATTTCCTAATAATGACTATAATTGTTAAAGTAAAACTCTGATGACTATAGTTTTAACAGAGTTTAAAAGAGTAAATATGTTTTAGTTTAGCACTATTATGATCAAATCCTCGTGGGCCACTCTGTATATTTCTTTAATTTTCTTATTATTGTTTTAATTTTTTTTTATAATTATATTACATCAAAAGTAAAAATTAAATTTTGATATTTTATTTTTACCTTGATAACATAAAAAAACGATTTTAGAAAAAAAACAAAATTGTCTAATAAGAAAATCATAGTCCGTATCAAGCACGAATTTTCAAGAGGGATTTATAAGTAAGTGTAATTAAACATTTTTCATGATAAAACTCAATTAATGTCCTTGATTATGTCTTATGAGTATTTAGGGCACCATCCAATTTCTAAGTGTTAAGCACGTTCGGTCGTATTCTGTTTTTTTTAAATTCTCTAAATTCAGAAAATCATCAGAAATAAAAGGCAGATCCCCGTTTTAGACTTCGAGAAATTACCCAAAAATGTCAGTCTTTAATGAGCAAGTAGCAAAATCAGTTATAAATTCGATACAATAATATTCTTTTGTTATTATTTTAGTTTTATACTTCAAAACATAGTCATAAATATTAGAATAATTGCATTAATTATTATTATGTATAAATACACGTACCATTTAAATAAGTATACGTTTGATTTTACCGTTAAATATATGTGTGATATTGTTACACAAAGAGCCCGAAACGGTACGTTACAAGAGTAATCGCAAATAGTGACTGATATGGTTTTAACCTGATTACAATAAACGCTGAATTTTACAAGGCTTATCTAACTACCCACACTGTAATAGATGTCAAATATCAATGTTGCATCCACAACACAACCTGAGTTAACGAATTTCTAACATTTTACTGGTCTAATTCTTTTAATCTTAAAAAATATATTTAAAATTTTTCTTAAAAAAAATGTTAAGTGATTATTTTGTTCAAGTTTAATTTGTGTAATAACGTGTTTAACAAATGCATTTAATTTAGGTACACATCTATACAATTTATTTATGTTTAATGTTTATTAGACTATTAAATGTCTGGAATAACGGTTTTATTTTTTTACCTTATCCCTAGCAAGCGATGAAGAACAAATATTTCCGAGGAAGGTGTTTATCCTTTACGGCTAGGAAGAAGAATTGCAAAGCTTATAATTATTGTTTTCGACTAGTGTTATAAAATTCTTTGGCAAGCTTTGATCCTTGGGGATCTGTCTTATACCGGGTGATTCTTTTAACGCCCTACACTAGTTTTCTCTTAAAATAATTACAATTATTTAGTTTTTATTATTGAAAACATTTTTGTTTGTGATATACTTCCATTTTAGACAATATTCAAATTTTTATCTTTTTTAGTATTTTTTAGAGTTTTATCAACTTTTGAAACTTTAATGGTAACTAATATATTTTACTAACTTTTTAAATTAAGAATGATTTTCTGAAAATTTTAACTGGTCGTTAACCAGTTTTGAATAAATAGTTATTAAAGTTTTAAATTTAGGACAGGAGGAAGGGTGAAGAGTAGAGTTATTTTTATCTGCGCGCATTTCTCAACCGCACACCACCTCCTGCCCTAAATTTAAAATTTAAATAAATTAAAACTATTTATTCGAAACTGGTTATCGACCAGTCAACATTTCCCGCAAATTATTCTTAATTTAAAAAATTAATAAAATACATACGTTATCATTTAAGTTTCAAACGTTGATAAGTTCTAAAAAATACTAAAAAAGATACAATTTTTAATATTGTCTCGTACAAAATTGCAATTATTTTATAAGTAAAGTAGTGTAGTGAGCTAAAAGAATTACCCGGTAATCGTTATGTCCAATTGATAATAATTTATCGTTGAATTAATACGTTTTTAAAACGCTTTTAATTTCTTAAACCACATAGCGCGAGCGTTTCAATTTTGAAAACGGTTTGAAATTTTTAGCCGTCGTAAAGTGTTTGTTTACACATACTGTCGTGAATGCGTTTTAATTTTAAATCGATTTAACACCATCGTGTAAACGTACTGATAGTGTTGTGCAATCAAAAAACCTATCGACTGTATTTTACTATAATATATTGACCGAGAAGGTGCGGCGGCTATACCGCTTGGTGGAATTTTTGAAGCCCTGTCGCGTCTCCCATTTTGTGAACTGCTGGCCAGACCGAATGCACAAGAGAGTAGAGACTTGCTGTGCCAATACCACCACCATACACATGCATACTGTGGAGTGTCGAGCGGTTCAACGGCAGGTAGGCAGGCGGGTAGGCAAGCGACCGGTGTCGGGCGCCGGTTAGCGACTAGCGTTACTGCGTTAGTCGGGCACTGGCGGCACACGGTTTCGGTAATGTCGGGCTAACCACAGATTTTACACGCTATCAGAACCGCGCGAAAACAATTTAAAAAAAAAACAATTATTAAACGCCGTCGATTCGATGGCTCGCGAGTAGTTAAGTGTTTTTATTTTTTATTTATTTTTCGATTTCATTTACCCGTTATACATTTTGGCCCAAAACGCCTCCAAGAAAAAAACCATCCACATACATTTACCACTTGCGACAGCCGACACGTGAGTACAAAATACTAACAAAATATTGGAATTAATTTTAACAAACAAACAATTGCATTATGTTGTATTATGTATAAATCGTACGATGAAACTAGCCAATGATAAAATTGTTAACATTCATTATTATTATAGTCGATGTTTCAATGTTACCGTAATATGTACCTGGTCTATACATTTATGGACGCAAGCCTGTGCATTATTAAAAATTAATTAATTTAAAATAAATCTTAAAGCTTATGCCGGGCCGGTCGGTTAATCATACAAAATACAATAAATACATTTAAATAACGTTTACCATTCAGACAACATTTAAAGGTCTGTACTCTGTACAGGTTCAATGAACTGCCTACTGAGCCGATATTTAAGGATTAGTTCGACTTTATTATAAACCTCTTAGTAATTCGGTATTGAAATGTAATGTGTGTTTTTACTATTACAATATTATCAAGTTCAACAATGGAAAAACACAAAGATACACTCACTGTTTCGTCAGTGTTTTTTGAACACCTATACATCTGCGTTAAAATATGTGTATTGATAAAAATCATGTTAAAATATTATCTTGACATAGGCTACATAGGCAGTAGTATTTAAATTGTTATCAAGTAATTACAGGTGACTACCGTTCGTCCATGTGTGTTCTAATTAGCTCGAATATAATATTATTGACTCTTTTGGACGGTAACGTTTTGAATAGCAGAGGTAATTGTCTTTGATGCGGGAGTGTTGGAGAAACGCGTGTGGCTCTCGGCCGCATCCTTCATTTAACATGAGTAATTTATTTATCAAAATAGCCAACAAAAATAATCAGTCCAGTACACCATAATCCTACTCAATACTAGTAGACATAAAACCAAACGTAATAAATCGTATAAAATGTCAACACGAAGCACAATTCTGCGTCTTCAGGACTTTCCCTACAATTATCTACGAAACCGTTTTCAAAGTACCTAAATGTCTATTTAATATTGTTGCCAAAGTTTAACACCTGTGCGAGAACATTTTAATAAACAATTTTCTTTTTTCTCTTAGAACAAACATACGTTTGCCACACGTTTGTATGTGCCATACGTTCGCTTGACACGTGTTTTAACTAAATCAACACGGTTCCCCTTCCTACGTTGAGTTGTTTTTTAGTTATTTTCGTTTTTGTTTCACAAGTTGTTCTCTGAAATAAAACGTGTCATTTTTCATCTTTAAGATGGGTGACCATCTGGTATTTTTAGGGGTGGCCCATGACATATCCCTACCCTATGTGTTCACCATATCAACTCGGTACACAAACCCAACACTGCCATCAATGCCGATGCTTAAAAACAAAATCAACTACTACTTTATTCTGGTCAGGTGGCACTGCTGAGAGCCTTCCTATTCATACATTATTGTCACTGTATCTTTGTCATCAAACTTGCTGATTATACATATTTTGTATAGATTGTAAATAAAGAAAATATTTTAATTTAAAAAAAATTAAAAAATTACTACTTATAACGGTTAGTTTAGTTTATGGCAACCACTTAACCGATCTCGGGAACTGCTTCAAGTCCAGTGTGCTAATTACTTTCTATAACGAATTTGTATACACTTGCTCTTATTTTATGTTCCAAGTTTTATACACATAATATAATAACTCAGCTTCTTATTAATCAGTTAGTGTAAACTCCTAAATCAATAAACGTATGTCTTTCTTATGTGGGGCTGAGACTAGAGACTACATTCTCTTTAGAAAAATGTATTGTCCCTTATATTACCTGAGCATACGGATAAAATGCCTTAATATTTTCCCAAAATCAGTTGCTCACAGACTTTTTTTTTTAATATTACTTATATACGAAAATACACTCACTGTCAAGAGGTGATTTTCAGCTTCAATTTAAATTTAAGAAAAATTACTTACACAATTGTCAACTTAGTTCAATTATTTTTTTAAAACTAAATAAGCTTCAACTGATATTTTGAAAATTTGCAACATTACTGTATATACTTAATTTTCTGTTTTCTAAGAAGAAATGAGTTAACATTAAAGATCTACGTAAGTATTAATTGCGTACAATTTTTTATTAATGAAAATTAATGTTTATGGAGAAAACGGTCAAACTAAGAAGTTACACTATTATCAGACACAATTTAAAAAATCTACTCAAATTTGCATCAAAACTTAAATAAGTATGTACACATATATCATTTTAAAACCTACACATCTTCAACTCCACATCGAAGTTTAAAAAAAATAAAGAACTTTATTTTGTTGTAATGGGTATACTGAAAACGTGACCAATGACTAACAAGTTAACATTACCGTCAAATTAGGAAAGAGATTACTTCTCTGTAAGAACGTGACAAAATGTGTATTCAGCTTATATTTTTTCTTAAAATAAAAAAAAATGTATGTTCAATAAAAAAAAAACTAAGTTACAGACAAGATAAATTTTATCTTTAAGTAAAAAAATATGATGTGTTTAAAAAAAATAGAATGGAAAGACAAGTTAATTTATATATATATATATATATATATATATATATATATTATATATATATATATATATATATTATATATACCTATATATATATATTATGATTTTTATAACTTTCAGAAAATAATTTTCAAAAAATTTATGACAAACCTAGTGCCAACATTTTTGAAACTCGTAAATTAATAAATACATTTATTTTATTTTTATTATTTTGGTTTTTGCTACACATCTTTTTCAGGGAAATAATAGTATAATATAACATGACTTATGAGTTGTCGAATTCATTTTGCATAAAAATCTGTGTTTAACCCTTTTGAATCTAAGGTACTAATATATATTTTTAAGTTTATAAACAGCATATTTATTATACATGCACCAATATGATTATACACATAATCTACTCATAACTCTATAATTTTGCATGTTTCTTGATATTTTATTATCTGATAGATATTAAGCATTTCAGTTAGAAATTAAAAGTGTTTTTAAGTTCTAAAATAACAAACAGTAATCCAAAAATATTTGAGGATAAGTAGATAGTACACAATTCTTGTCGTAATATTCAATAGGACTCTTAAGAACCAAATTACTTATACTTGACAATAAACTTATTACATAATCATTAAGCCATTAAGATGTTTACACAGTATATTAAAATATAAACAGGTGTCTGAGTTTTAACAATTCAAAAGTATAATATTTAACACATTTAATAATTATACCTATTCATTATTGACAATAAATTAAAAAATTATTTAGTTTATTCAACAAAAATATAGAACTATTTGTTAAGTACTTGGGTAACTTATTTAGTGAACATAGGTAGAAGATAAGGTATTGAAATTGGCATTAGTGAACGTATTTTGTTATTATACAGAATCTTAATGTTAATATTTTACAAAAGAGTTCTGGACAATCAATTCACATAAAATCATTAAAATATTTATACATTAATGTACTTCTGCTAAACTGAGATTCGTCCGATAGTGGTAAGATTGGTTAGCGATAAGTAGAGACAAATATTGCTATGTAAAGAAAGACGTCTAGAAAATGTGTATACATTTCTAATTATGAACTTATGTTAGGTGCCTGAAAATCAGTATCACGGATAAAATACCTTTGTTCCAAAACTGTTTTCCCTCCAGTAAAATATAAGAATAACGCACATTAAAATAAGTGTAGCGTTTGAAGATCACTTCAAAATCAAAAACAAAACAAAATTGAGGAAATGCCAACTAAATAAAAACTGGCACTGTTAAAAGGGTAATTCATTTTATGACAGGTCGTCTGATCTAAAATAATGAACTATAGATAATGAACATTGGTTTATTTAAAAAATTCATTTTGTTGTAACTATTATATGTTATGCAATTAGCATAGCAAATAGTGACACAGTCATTTTCTTTTAACGTTTACATAGGTACCTATATTTAAGAGGGTGTCAACGAAGCCCATTTTAAGGAGTAAAGTATAGGCATTTTTTTACAAAATCTTAACTTAAAGGTTAAACTGTGATGTGCTTTTATTAGTTGAGTAGTAAGAATTTTTTTTGGTAGTTTAACTATTTTTCGGACTATCACAGCATCCGCGACAGTGATTTGAAAAAAAATTTCCATAAAAACTCAGTTTTTTAGATCCAAAAATACGGCTTACTGAGCAATTTTAGAGCAAAAAACCTTATAATTAAAATTAAAGAAAACAGCATTATTGGGGGCACCTTTTTTTTATTTCAAATAGGACATTCATTAATTAATTTTTAAAATAATACAATTTTTGTCAATTTTAAACCCTGCAACTTCTAAAAAAAATTGTTTTTCGAAAAAATGGCTTCAAGATGCCCTTCAAAATATTGTTTTCTATAAATAATCTAATAGGTAGCTTTGCATTAATATCAATTAAAAACCACTAATTTTCAATTAAAGTAAACATGTTTTAGTCCTAAAATATATTTATAACACATAGTATCCTAGTTAATACAATATACCATATCCCATCCTAAACTTTCAAACTAAAAAAAAAAATCTTAAAAATATTCACAGCACTCAAATATTATTAATTTGCGATAACCTAATCTACCAAAGTTAATATTTTCTTAACTAAAGCCAAAATGGACATCTATTTATTTTTTTTAGGGATTTTCATTTGTTGAAGCCGAATTTAGCATCTTGACGAAATTGTGATCAATGTATAAAAACGAATTAGAATTTTCTAATTTTCTTTCATGCGTAAATAAACTACCAATTCTACATTTATTCTGAGGCCAGTTCTGTATTAAAAAAGAAAATAGGATTAAAAATTGTTTGACCTTCAGGCCTAGTTACTTAAAAAATGTAATAGTTTTGGCTGAAGATAGGCACTCTCCCGAAAATGCAAGTATAAAGTATATATCTAGAACGTTTCGGCGCAAATGATTCGACTTTGACTAAGTGGACGACCAAATATAAGAATCTTATCAAGATGTTTCATTAATTATACTGATTAAATTATATTCCAAGATTTATTTAATTAATTTTTGTTATGGCTGAAATGGTTACACGCAAAAACGTCGGCCCCGAATCGACGGCGCCAAAACGTCCTATTCCCAGACCCCAGTATTATGCCAATTTAAAAAAAAATTTAATTATGGATCATAATTTGTAATATTTTTGAATATATTCATTTAAACGTGTAAAATGAATTAATTACAATGTTAAATAATTAATTCAATCGTCTGAAATACATCTGAATAATGTCAAAATACTTAGTTATATTATAATTTGATTATTCATTAGGTAGCTTGTGGTACGCTTCCTATCGCAAACAAAATCATATTGCTCAGAAATGCTCAAAAAATAATATATTACTATTATAATATGTTACCATTTGGGAAATATTCAAATTACCTATGGAAAATCTTAGATGTATCTATTAAATCGCATTTAAATTATTTAATTTATCTGACTTTTATTATTGTTGAATAGTTATATTAAAAAAAACTAAAGTTTTAAAAGCATACCACTGATTAAGATAACATTTAATTACTAATGAAGTTCATGTGTAGTATGAGACTTAGTGTACTGCGTTTATATTATCACTATCATATTAATTTGCTCGAGATTGTAACTAATATTTTTTTTTTGTATCCCGTCGAAGTGCTTTCTGAGAACTATTTGCTTACATGTTCTAGTAAATAGTTTAATTGCAGTGAGTATAAGTTGCAATTTGGAAATGCATAAGAAATGTGAAATAAGAAAAAAACAAAATTGTTATTATTAAATAATAAATAAAATATATACTTAAACCGTTTCACTGATTGTATTTTATTATTTAACTAACTTAATAACATTTATTATAGTAACTAAGTATGTTCTGAACATATCTTAAGTGATAAATTGCAATAAGTTTATTTGAATTAAATCTGATAAGTGTAAAATGACTTATGAAGAAAAATGTGAATAGATATCATTTTCTTAAACGGTTATCTTATAAACAAAGTATACTGTGAATTGTTTCAGATAAACTTATATGCCTAAAGAATATAAGATAATATTCATAAGTGTTTCAAACATACGGATTGAAATATACATTTTTTTTTTATTACGATGTTTGAGCTGTGTATTCATTTTTTTAACTAGTATTTTAGCAAGACGTGGGAACAGAGTTATAAAGTTGTTTGTCAAAATTTGAGTATAGGTTGTTAAGAGTTATAAAAATCACGTTAAAAATATATACATATGAAAATAAATAGCTATGTTAAGTTAGTAAAAATCGCTGATATAATTAATTAGTTTGAGTCTAAAATTGCCAATCTCACTTTTAATACCTTTCGGAAAATTAGTTATTGGGAAAGGAAATAATAAAAGGGTTGGGGTGCTATTTTATTTGAAATTTCATAATTTTTTCAATTTTTTCATTAGACTGCCACATTCAGCTTACCTTGAACTTTGATTACAGGTATTCGATTATTACCACAACAATCTGATTTTTTATTAAATTATATCTATTAATTGATCCGTGTGGATCACGTGGATACATAACTTAGGCTCAATTATTGATAGCAATAACCTCTCCAACGGTGTTTTACGATGGTAACAATTTATGCTGTTTATAATAATATTTTGTTATTTCAGCCGAACCACCGTGACAACCGCTGTGGCCTTTTAACACTATGTCGAAGCAACAATCAGATTTGAGTGGAACTCGATCCGAATGGAGTTTTCGCGCGTGCCTAGTCGTCCTAGCTAGTTTCATATGCAACGGACTGGTGTTTGGCTTTATCAATTCGTATTCAGTAACATATGTATACCTGTTAAAGAAACTGGAAGATGCCGGAGTTGGCGACGCCTCGTCTAAAGCATGTAAGTATTAGTATGAAAACAAAATATATTATTTCCCAACTTGGTACATTTTTATGTTAGTTGAACAGATTTCAGATTTGAAACAATTTAATGTGATGCGTTCATTTAAATTCGTTACAGGCCTGACCAATTTAATCTCTACTGTCCGTTATGTATTTTTATTGTCTCTGTAAACATTGTTGACGGTTGTCCAAAGTAGAATAGATGGAAGCGTCAAATAATTTGTACGTCTTATTAAAATCCATCATCCATCATAAGCTCAATGTCATCAATAATAATGATAATAATAATATCAAAAACATAGTCCTATGAAATATTACAATATTTTGTCGGAGGGAAATCGTTTCTAGTTTATTAAACGATACGGATTAGACTCGCATACGACAAATTAAATTTCATTCGAATATACTCATTGTTAATTCGTATTTGAATGTCAAAGGAATCAGGAACGAGCCTTGGTTAGATTAGGTCCGTCTTATTAACAATAAAGGTTCCGAAATGTTCAACAAAGTGCTCTTATACATATACGATTATATAATTGACCGACGTTGTCTGTCCCTTAAAACTCGCGTATCACAATGACATCTAAGTTTAACCTAAGCGTCTGCCAAAATGTAACCGAATCGCAAAAGCACAACGTCATTGTTATGACGTTTTAAAACCAAAAACGGGTTTTCACTTACGAAAGCTTAAACCGGGTTTGTGCCATTTTGCATGCGAACAATGTACCTAATGCATAGTACATTTTTTATTTACCAAAACGTATTGAAATTATTTGTTTTATTTTTAGCTTTGGTGGGATCTCTGTCAGTGGGTACTACATTCCTGATGTCACCTATCGCTGGTGTGCTGACCGACCGAATCGGCATACGACTGACCACATTCACTGGCGGCATAATCGCCACTAGCAGTTTATTAATATCGTCGTTTTGCACACACCAAGTGAGCATTTTTTGTTTTGTGTGTTCCAACTGTACTGGCTTTTTAAAATAAATTGTGTATTATTTTTAATTAATTCTACTAGCTCGTGCACATCCGATAGATACACTTAGACACAATCAAATTTTACCTGATTTTTGTGGTAAAGGATACAAAATGTTAGTATTAGTAGGTATAGGCGACTACAAACAATGTTTTATCTTCCCGTAATAGATTAATTGACCGCAAAGTATCTTAAGCGCGCAAAAAAAAAGAAAATGTGAAACGTTGCCGGCCCTCGGTAGTGTATAAATCTAGAATCCATTATTTCCGTGCTTTCCTGACAGCTGACCACTCATAGTGTATGTAATCGGTCCGGTTTCTACCTATATACATTGAATTTTAAAAAGGCTTTCAAGTTATACGGGTGTTTCGAGTTTAAGCTTTCGAATTTCATTACGGTTTTAGTATCTTTTTTTTATTTTAAGGTCCAAACAGTTACCGCAGAGTACTTTTATAAAACTACTGATTTATGTATAAGAGAAAGGCAAACATACAAGGGATATAAATTAAAAACTCTAGCCATAATTATTTTGTTTAACAAACATGCCTAAAAATGTATTTATCGAGGTTTTAGTGATAAAATATTTGTGTATTATAAAAATAATAAATATTTATGTTGTTTTTTAATAATATCATATTATGAAATAACAACATAAAGATATATTTAGATGATTATTGTTATTATTCAATAACAATTAGTTTGATACTTGGTTCTAAGATTAAAAGTTTTAAATAATTTTCTGTACTAGATACATGTATAATATTAATTTTTTATTTATAAATATGGCTAATTTCACACTTAGTCATCTTCTGATTACCGATGAGGGATAACTTAAATAGTTAATAATTGTTTTAGTAAATTATTCTCAAGTGAAAAGTTAATTAAATACATGTATTTTACCTACCATTTAAAAAGGCAGTGACACATTTTTTTATCAAGAAAAACTGAACAAAACAAATAACACGATTTATTTTACATTACATTATTTATATTTATAGTGAATAGTTTTTCACATATTCACATCAAAACGTTTATTTGAAAGTAGTTGGATCACATTTAGTTATAATAATTGCTGAAGACTTTTAACTTCTTCGTTTCCAATATTCTTCGACCTTACTATCCATCCCTCAACCCCAATTTGCTGTTTTTTTATGTTATTGGGTAACAATTGAATATACAATTTAAAACATTATATTAGATAAAACGCCTGTTATATCATTTTTAAACCTCTCAAATCGTCCTAAAAAAACAAAGGATACATCAACTGTGTTAGAGTGTGATTATTAAAAATCTTAGTCTTACTTCATTTTTAGACGTTTTTGTGATACAAAAAAAAATATTTGTGTGATCATTATTATCTCAGTTTTAGTATTTTGGCATGTATGCGAAACACTTAACATGCTAACTATTACGTTCACATTACTGTTATCTTTTTCAAATAATACTTATACTTTTACGTATCTGTTGTAGGTATACATTTAATCGATTTAACTAAAAGACTATGTTGTTCTTTAGGTCGAAGTATTATATGTTACATACGGGCTGTTGTATGGTATTGGTGCATCCTTAGCATACACGCCGTCGTTGGCTATCTTAGGCCATTATTTCAAAACATATTTAGGACTTGTTAACGGCATAGTAACTGCTGGTAGTTCGTGTTTCACCATGCTCATTCCTTATTTCGTGGATTCACTCCTGGTCAATTTCGGTTTGGACAATTGTCTGCGGTAAGTAGCCCATTGTATATTTTAAGTACCTATATAACAACTCTTCTGCAGTAATTGAAATACAAACATTATACTACTATGATTAAAATTGATTAAAATGTACTGTTTCAAATGTATATAATAATAATATTTATATACATATATTCGCTCTTTAAAAGTCTTTTAGAAAGTCAATTGAATTGAACGACCGTTGGACTCATTTAATATGTTAATATGGTCAATGGACGTGAAATCACTAAAACAGTCTATTCAATTATTAAGTAACATTTATTATCCACTTTTTTTAATTCCACACTAAAAATGCAAAAATATAACAAGCATTTTTTGTTTGTTAAGCACATTAGATTTACAAAACAGAACCATACCGCGTCTAAACTCCTCTTTTCTGATTGTCTAATGGTAATACATATATAAGGACTTTGTGTTCTTTATCAGACTGCATAAATGGTATTCAAATGTTTATCAGTATTAACTTCGGCGTGGAGCTGCTCGTCCTTGTGTAATACATCATAGATTTTTAAGAGATCAAGTCGCAGGATTTATAATCTCATCGCTAAACTATTAAATACAAATTACTCGCAATTAAACCCAATGATTGGTGTTAAAAAGGTCAACGATTTTATTTAGACATTATAATATAATATATACATAATTATAAATATATTATTATTTAAATTCATATCGTGATTGAGTGCAAATCGTAATTGTAATACTTCGTAATTTAATTGTAGAAATGTGTGCTAAAATTAAAATCTCCATGTTAATAAAATGAAAACAAAATTATTTCTTTACAGGAATTCTAATTGGCTCATAGATTCCATGTATAAGAAATCGAAAACGTCCGATTGTAGTTGAACGAATCAAACATTGAACATTATAGATTTAAGCTATTTTTTAATTCCCTACATTTATGTTTAATCGGAGTTTTCCTATTTTGCTTTCTAGTTATTTTTCTCCTAGACATTGATTGTCCTATTTATAAAGTATACAAATGTATCCATTTGTATGGATAGCACACCCTGTGAGTCAATAGGTCTATGATGCTATGAAGCGAAAACCTCTTCACACCTATTGATATTGATATTTTTCACCTACAAAACATTTTTATTTTATGACAATTATTGACAATGATTTTAGGTGGGAAGCTGCATTAACGGCCGTACTGATGGTGTGTTCGATGGCGTTCAAACCGACTTACAAAATAGAGAAATCCGACATGAACAAGAGCATATCCGACGAGCTTCGATCATTGGTCAATATTAACATTTGGAAAAATCCCAGATACGTCATATGGGCCACCATGATTCCTCTTGCACTTTTCGGATACTTTGTTCCTTACGTTCATCTGGTTAGTCGTTACAACTGGCCAGTCGATGCAAATATTCAGTTATAATTTACAAAACATATATAAATATTTATTAGGCAATGTGTTTTTTTTATAGGTGAAATTTGTCGAAGACAAATTCCCGCAGAGCGACGGAAAAATTCTTGTCACTTGTATTGGCATTTCTTCAGGACTAGGCAGATTAATAGCTGGGCCAATTTCTGACTTGAAGGGAGCTAACCGAATAGTAATGCAACAGGTAAAAAATTCACCTATACAGGGTAATCTAACGTAATTTTCTTTGAAAGCGAATAACAATTTTATAATTTTTCTTTTTCGAGACATTTTATTTACAACAATACTCCAAAGCGTTTATAAGAATTTAGTGGGGATGGGGGGGGAGGGGGGTTGGAGTTGCAAAAAAAAAATTTTAAATATCAGAAAATTAGAAATGTAGGTAGGTACACTTAAATTGACATTTACTCGGTCATAAGATATAATTACATATGCATAATATACATGTAATGCTTGTAGTGTAGATACTTTGAATTTTTGTTGTTGTTGTAAAGATCACTATCACGCGTTAAATTATTTACTTGTTTTATAGAACACAAATAAGTTCTAATCAAAATTAATTCGTTAAGTAACTTACATGCTTAATATAAAAAGTTGTACGCGCCAAGTTACTAGTTCGTGTTTTCTAATCATGATATTGCAGTTTACTCATTTGATCTAGTTTTTGTGATTCATACCGTATAGGACTCCCATGTGGGAGATCTGTCAAAATGAACTAGAATTGACCCTGCAATTAAGTAGGTACACCTATACTATATCAAAACTATTTGTGTTTTATTTTCTCAGGTTTCTTTATGGCTTATAGGTCTTATGACAATGTGCATAATCATAGTGCCGAATTTTACCATATTAATTTTGATCACTCTAATGATGGGTTTGGCCGACGGGTGTTTTGTAAGCGTCATAGGACCTATAGCTTTTGACCTTTGCGGGCAGAAAGGCGCTGCCCAGGCCATTGGTTGTATCCTCGGGTTGTGTTCCGTGCCGTTGACGGTGGGACCTCCGATTGCCGGTAAAATATTTTGGACAAACGATAATAACTTTAACATTTACTTGTCCGATGCTAATTTCTGCTTCCGAAATCAGGTTTGATGTACGACAAGTACAAAACCTACAATGGAGCGTTTTTGTTAGCCGGAGTGCCGCCTCTCATTGGCGGCGCATTCTTGTCCGCCATCCGATGTGTACCTTCAAAAATCAGAGACAAGGAAGGGAATGTTCTCGAAGAACCGGAACAAAATCTGTCGTCGGAATTATTAGAGAATGGAGGTAAGAAAATCCTTGATGATAAGACTAACGAAAAATCACCCCTACTATATTCCAAATTCATCTTAACAAAATATTCTCCTTGATATGTCGAAAACATTATTGTTAAAATAATTTAACGCAGATTTACTAGTCATCGATTGTTTTTTTTAAACTGTTTAACAATATCAAATTACTAACAAATTGTGTTCAGTTTATTTTTGTTATTGTTTTTTGTAACATGAACTGTATTTTTTTTTTCATACACTAATTTAATCTTGTTTTTTAAACGCCTTATGTACTGTTTTAATCATATTATGTATTTTGTAATTTATAATGCAATTTAATAAATCTCATTGAGTCCGACACAATGACTTAATATGTAGATTTTGTATATAATGGATGTATTGATACATTGCACCGTAAAACAAAATTATCAAAATACGTCTATCAGCACAATGCGCATATTAAAACATATGTATAAGTACAAAAGTTATTCACGCTTTATATAAAACAACACGTTGCGAGTTTGTATTCGGTATGTTTAGCTAAAATTATTTTTTTTTACTTGACACAATGACATAACAATACGATATTTAGTAGGTTATTTAATAAAATAATAAATATTAATCCAATAACTGTTTTTTTACAAAGAGATCATATGACTATTGTCTTAACAAATCCGCTTACTTCAGTTTACGTTGCACTCGAGCACTTCAAGTAGAGCTTTCCTTCGTGTTGTAAATTGTTTCAATTCCTAATTAAAATGGATTTGTTTTATGGCTGGGTACAAACAAAAATTTGCGTGGACAAAAAGCGTTAAGTAGCTCAATGGCCTAGTTCGGCGTGTTAGGTTAGGTCACGGTTCAATTGAGGTTATTACGTGGTTATTGTGGGGTTATTATCGGGTATTTGGGGGGGGGGGTTACTATCAGTTCATTATTAAACAAAATCGCGATAAGTACAAGTAGGAAGGAGAAGATATTTATGAAATTCAAACAAGTATGATTTGGTTACATCTGACACCAAAAACATATCCATGATTCTATGTCTGTCCGTGTATAGAGTATGTGGACATTTTTTTTAGTTTTCGGTTAATATAATAATTTTGGTACCTATTGTATTACAAAGGTGTACCTATAATACATACGATGTTGTGCAATAAAGACATACAATACTGCCAAACCCGTTTTTATATAATATACAATTTTTCAGCTAGTAAATCGTCTCTTTTACTGTAGTAAAATGAAAAAAGCAATAAACCTAGGAATACTGCGAGCGGACAGAGCCGTATGAATTTAGTATATTTTTTTACATTTTAAAACTTTTAAACTTCTTACACTAATTTTTGACAACATTCTCGTTAATCTAATGACTGTTTTCTATTTGATAATTTTATTCGTCGTTTGCCGAGTCGCTTTGACCTGATTTTGTGGAACGATAGATCACTTACATACGACGAGTACCTAAATTCTAAGGTATGATATCCAAGTTCTGAGCGTTGACGGATCTGTTACGATGTCTAAGTAAGTTGAATTTGTAGACGTGTTCGGGTTCGGTTATGATAAATTCGGTTATTTTTTATTTTTATTTTTAATCTGTTTTTTCTTGACTTTTCTCGTTGCAAGTAATTCTATTGTTTTAACATAAAAAACGGTATTCGCAACGTCCGCAATCAATAAAATATACAAACGCATATAGTATACTACATAACAAATTGCTTAAAGTCCATTTTGTTTCAATCATCTTGTGAATGATTGCAATATTTATTGCATGTCGTTTGTCATATGCATGCTAAATATTCACAAACTCCTTAAAAAAAAAAAATGCGCGTAACTACACGTGCGTTGTCAATTGATATTATGAAATATATAAACAAAAATAAAGTAGTACAGATGGATGTTAAAAAAAAAAACTAATTTTACATTCAGTAAACACAGTATTAAGTCGATGAACTCTACTTATCTCTTTGTATAGTTATTATTTATTAAATAAGTTGTGCGGTCTACGGTAGAAATAAAATATTCGATTAGCACTTCATTTTAAATATTTTGATTTATGAATGATGATGATGTAGAAAGTGGATAAGCTGTTTCGGAATAAATACAAATTAATGGGGCTAATTTCTGGTTTTATTTGTGTGTATTTCTTAATCTAAAATACAGATCACATTTTATTAAATCAATATCAATATATTTTATAACAATTATTTTAAATAAAATAATAGTATTTAAAAATTAGTTAAGAGATTTTATTGTCTAAACCTGATACAGCCGGAGATCATTTAACATATTTTACATTTAAAATGTTATTTATAATATTTACCACCAAATTTATGTTCAACAAATATTAATGCTTGGCTTTTTGTTTTGCGCTGTACTCGGCTAGCTAATATTATGCTCTGTATGATTTTTGCTATTTCTGAGTTAAATTATATTTTCATTAAATATTAATAGCACATTTAAACTAATTACTAATGCTAAAAAAAAAATTGTTTAGACTTAAGTTAATTAATTATTTTTTTCTATTTTCACGCTTAAGCTTATATTACCGAAAATAAGTTTAATAGTTAATTTAAAAAATTAAATCGTTTTGTTTTTACAATATCTAATATTAATGATTATAATATTTAAGAGTTATATGATCATATTTCAATTCTTTTAAACTATTTTTAACTTCAATATCTATTTTTTTTTTTATATATATATATATAAATGATAATGTAACTAAAAAAACATTTGATAATGTTAATTACTTTGTTTATGTTAGTTATCATACAATATTATTATTATATATACAAATTTATACTTATTTTTTTAGAATTGCACGCAGTTAATTGCTGATACCATTGCAAACATCTACAAAAATGCTCCAACAGTGCAGAAAGTGCTTGTGCATAGACCAAGAGCATAATATAAAACGATAAAATGTGATCTTTTTTTTACATGCACACAATCGAATATTTGTAATTAAAATATATTTTTATCATACCTTATGATAGGCCATGTGTTCTGATAAAAAAACATTTTATATTTATATATTTTTTATCGTTAACTATACGCGTATCGACTAACATTGTTATTTGTTTCTAATTATTTTAATATTATATTGTAAAACTATCTGTTAAAATGTATTATAGTATAATATTTTATTAATTAGGTTTTTTTTATAGATTTCGATGTATTTATTCAAATAGTATTTCTTTATTTTTGTTAACTTAAGACAGGGTTTTTTACGGTATATTTTTTGTCAAAAACGACATTGCCTACGATTTTATAACTTAAAGTTAATGTCTAAATTTTCAAATTTCTCGAATTTATAAAAAAAAAATGTGTAAATAACTATGAAATGTTAAACAAAATAAAAGAGTTTTTTAGTTTTTAACAGAGCATGTTTTTTAATTTAATTTTTTAAGTTAAAACAACAATTGTTTGATGTTAAAATATTATGCAGTGAATGCAATATTCAACTCTTGTAGATACATATTGTACTTGCAACTATTTACTTGATGTTTTTAGCTAAAAAATAATTATGCTGTTATAATTTTAGGATGACAGACTTGACACAGCGAAAGAACTTAAACTTTAAAAAATCTAAATAGTCAGTATGTATCACCAGATAATGTACAGATAATACTTGAAAAAACTTTGTAGACTCTTTATGAAGTTTATGTACTTACAATAAACCTTCTGAAACGATCGCTATGTTAAACAGTAATAATTCGCTACAAAAACACGTTGAAAACACTTTTCAAACAAATTATCAAAACACGATAAAATTAATTAAATATTATATAAAATGTAATATATTTGTATAAGAACTAGGTTTACTTAATGTGTTGCTGACCACTGGGCAACCATATTGCAAAAAAAACATATAAAATATTGTTTATTTTTAATAATATATTGTAGGAATAAAGTTTTGTGTGAGTATATCAGATTTCTTCTCAATTAATTAAAAAATAAGTTAAAAATATTTTCAACCCTTAAACAAAATATTTTAGGGTACTTTAAGGGTGAATTTAAACATTTCTTCATACATTCTTCTTAATACATTTTACTTTTTATGTAAAATTTATAAATTAAATTCAATAATAGTTTTTTTGTAATAAAAAAAATACTAGTTTTTCCTCTTTTTCTACTGATGGTTTTTTATAAAATGAACACATTATGTTTAAAACAAACATTTTTTTTGGAAAACTGATGCTCGCAGCCTCAAAGTATTGTTAAAAATTTGAAAAAATAGAGGAATACCTCTTTACCTTTTTACCCCAAGTAACATAACATTGTCAAGAGAAGAACAGAAAAAAAGAATCGCTGCTCCGCATCGAAGTTAAAATAAAATTTGTTTTTTTTATCCACCCTAATAACTAATAAATATATAAGATTTATTTTTTAAGTAGGCATTTAATAATATTCGCATTTGTCATTTTATCCAATATATTATAATATCTAAGTATCTATTTAAAACAATATATCGTGAATACATCATACGAAAGTACTTGATACCCAACAAAAAATGAAATTACTTAAATACTTTACAACTTTAATGAACACAATAATAAATAAATGTTATTTATTTCCATATATGTGTATTAGTTGGCATATATACATACATAATTTTATTATTCCATAGCTTCAATTTTTATTCCATGAGATTTCTAACAAACGTACCTATCTCTTTTTAACGATATTGACCCCCGCTGCTTATATATGCGGGAAGAGTAGTCCATTTCTTTATAGGCACGATGTAGAGAAGATCTACATCGTGGTTTATGCTATGATTTGAGATAATTGAATTATAGATTTTAATTAAATATGAGACTACCTAAAATCGTGGTATATGCCTGAAAATAATGTGATATCAGTGCTGACAACCTGGCTGTTATCATAAACGCGACTGAATATTACAAGGATCGTCAGTGAAAAATAATAAGTTCTACGATTTGCTCACGAGAAGCGCTACAGTCTCTCACTTTTTTCATATCGTGAGATAAGAACTCTTGCGGCCGCTTTTTCATAGCTCGTTATGCAACCATTTATCAATAGCCGTGATCACAACACAGAATAGACTATAAAGTTATAGTTTAATCTATTCTGCAGTCACAACGTCATACAGATATACCCAAAAATAATACCTTGACAGATAGAGACTGTCTTTCTCTCAGCTCTCTTCCCCATTGTTGTGCTAATATATGTTTTGCATGGCCATCCATTATTTTGTTATCAGCTATGGTCGACATTGTCCGTTATCAGTAAAATATACGGTTATCAGTTGACAAAGCTTGAAGCTTCAAAACGGTGGTTGACAACAATAATAATTAATAACTCGGTTGATTTGGAGTAATTATTGAAAGAATATTTATGTATATTGGTCTATGCCATTAATGAAACGTAAACATGGAACACCCCTTGACTCTACAGTAGAGACTCATAGATATATTATTAGTGTTGTTTTTTTGTGTGCATGTTTTTTAATTTTTTACTTTAACAAAATGTGAATGAATGATTGTGTTATACTATTCAATAAACGTTTTTTTTTCTCTATGAAATGGCATCGATGCACAAATGTAAACGAGTATATATCAGTAAAATATCGTAAGTATGTAACTGTTACTCAAGCTAAAATTTAAATTACCTATTTATAAATTTGAAAAAGTATATGCTGATGCATGAAAAAATTAATAAATTTAATGGCCAATCACTGGCCACTTAACATATAATTATATATTAAACTTTTTATGAACTTTAATGCAACAATCCCTAAAGAGTATAAAACGCATTATCTGATATCTTGCTCGTTAATAATTTGAAACTTGGTACCAATAACAATACTAATTAAAACTGGTATTGATCCTGGGAATATGACAAAAATGTTGCTTTATTAAATGTTATAATGCGCTAGATAGTACTTTTATTCTTACAAAACAAAAAAATATTAAATAATATTTCACTTACCTATGTTAAGACAGTGGTATTGTAAACATACACATAGTTAATCGTAATACCGTGTATTTATGATTTAGTGTAATCCCACCCCTCAAACAAATTTCATTTTATTATTGTGACTACCACAATGTACATGCTAAATTTGAAATAAGATGGCTTTATATAAAGCTGAATATTCTGTTTATACTGTGCTGGTTTCAAAGATTTTTATTGATAGTAATATTGCCATTTTCATACGTAGTTATTCTCACAAAGTATCAATCTAACTGACGATACTACTGGTTTTTTTTTTAATTACGCTAGGTGATTAAATGTTTTTCTTTAATAAAATACCCTTAATATACCTATAATTTAAAATTATTAGTCATAATTACAGCGAAGCTTTTAGAATAATAAAAATTATATTGGTTGACAAAAAATGATTGCTAAATGTAGAGTGAACTTGTCAAACGTTCCAAAGTATAAAAATTTAACTTATAAATTGATTTGTAATTTATTTTTCACAGGAAACACTTTAACATATTCATAAGTGTTAAATATGATTGTTTTTTTATAAACAACTATTCCTCACTTGACAAATTTACAAAATTGTTTCCTGTAACGCGTGAAATCAAATTATAAAGTTCAATTTTTATACTATGGCACTTAGAACGATTGACAAATTCGCTCTTCAAATATATCAAATATTACAGTGATAAAATTTTAAGGAAAACAAAATTACAGTTAAAAATTGCAAAAAATTAACATCACCTAATAAATGTATAATATACAATTTGAAATTTTAAACAAAATATTTTTGACACAACTTAAAATCTTTTAACACTGATCATTATGAGCCAATTATATACTTGAAATATGGACCGAATGAAACATATGTCCGACTTGGAAAATGTAAGTTTTGTTTGTTACATTTTTTTACTTTGAGACATAAGCCATAATATATTTTCTTTAGGCCCTTTGTTGCGACGTCACACAAAAGAAAATTTAGGTAAGAGCTAATGAGGTACATTACGGTATACAGAGCAAGCTTTCTAGAAAACATTGCGATGGCTTAACAAATACTAAAATGGTTTAATTTAAAATTTATAGAGACAAGATATCATATACATGCTTATCAACTAATGAGAACCAGATTTTCGATGTACATCATTTGCGTATTTATGGGGGGGGAGGGTAATAGAAGTTATATCCTACCTGGGGCCCTATCAGCTCACAAAAATATAACAGACACCTGATGAAGTACTCAATATTCTTTCACTGTACTCAAGAAAATTAGACTTTGTCTTGTAGTTAAAAATCCAATTTTTTGTTGACATGCAATATGTATATAATAATATGAATAAATGTTTAGATTGAATAAGCATGGCTGTTAAAATCTGTATATCCCCGCCTCCCCCGTGGTAAAATCCTAGGTACGCTATAGATAAATATAGTACTCATTTCAACTTGAACTATTGCTAATTTGTATTGTAGAAAATAATCATTTTTAAAAAAAAATATTATACAAAATATAGTACTCTCTAAAAAACAAAATGTTTCTGTTTATGATAAATATAAAAGAAAACTGTATCTTAGCGAGTTTAGCAAATCTAAAATAATTCTAATTCACAATACTTTAGATCAAACTTATGGATATAATTATTCCAATTGTTTACTTATGCCTTATAATTTGATACTTATCTAACTTCCAAGTATTAAAACAGTGTTTAACTTTAACAATGTTAAATATAATTAAAATTATTTAAAACTAAAAGCAGCAGAATGTGTTTGATAATATACTAAACATTTAAATAATTTAAGTTAAATGTTTATTAACTATTAAGTAATATCAATGAGTATGTATTTTAATTTCATGTATGTTTTTATTATATTGTAATGAATTAACCGAGTTTATACAAATTTTAAGGAACTAAATATAAAATATATTTAAACTTACAAGTATATTATTGTAAATTATTATTTTTTAATTATTATACATATTTAAACCAAGGGTCTGAATAATGTTCCAGGCAACAAAACAAAAAAATGTTCCAAAATAAAAAGGGTAGTTGTATGCATTAAAAAAAAAAAGAAGATAAAAATCAATTATTTTGACCTAGTTATTCTTTCTGGAACAAATTAAATCTATTTACCATGTGAAACTCTATCTTTATGAAATTACAATCCTCTATGAATATGTAACTTATATAAACTCTTGTGCTAAATTAAAGTTGAATAACTAACCACAGTTTTTTTTTTTAATCATATATGAATTAGACAAATTTTTTTAATGTACCAATCCTTTCTTATAATTCAAAGAATTAGGGCATGCTAATAATAATTTTACCTGATGGGATCCTAAACGCTAATATAAATTGTATGAACAATGACACTACTTTATACCACGCAATTACTTGCAGACTAAAATTTAGGAATTCCTAATAATTTTATCTTAAACTTATAATAATAGTTGATGAGCCTGCCGTGGTCAAGTCCAAATAAACAAACAAAAACTATTCAGTTACTATTGTTATGAATCACATCTTCTACTAGTATGACGTCAGGAAAGGGGTATTGTTTTATTATTGTGTAGCCGGTTTAATAAGCTCTAACAATTCGTGAAACTTTTCGAAACTCATATGAAAGTATTGAAAACATTTTTTGTCGTCATTTTTTAAATGAGGAAATAACGTATGAAATTCTCCTTCGTTTTCCCGTGCCATATTTATACCATGAACCCATTGTCTTTTCACCCCAGAATTTTCTTTTTCTTCTTCGACATCTGCTAAGAGATCTAGTGTCATTATCATGTCTTCTTAACCACTACTTGTATCACTCATTATATAATATTTATCAATAAAAATGCGCTTTAACTACCACCATCAGCTACAGATGACAATAGTCGGATGCGGCCAGACAAAATTCGTTTTCGTTCTGACGCGTTCCGACGTTAGAAATTCTATTCCTATCCGATCCAACCTAGTGTGCATCAAACTTAAATAAACTAAAAATTAAAAAACAAATAACACCCAAAAAAGCAGAATAGTTTAATTTAGGCAGTAGTGGTTAACTCGCTGCTGCTTAACTTTAATCAAACGTTAATGTTAAGTTTAAGTAACGTTGCCGTAATACTCAAATGTTAACTGTACTTATATACAATGATTTTATCCCATATAGTTATTTTGAAGTATTTAGTAAAACTAATGTTTCAATATTACTTAGAACAAATATTTTTTTATCAAAAATCGTGGTCAAATTCCTAACTTTATTTTTTTTTTTTTTGCAGAAAAAAATGTCTGTGATATTTAAATCATTTAAATTCGAAAATAAAGACGACATTTTACAAAAATTACTGGAACATTCGTTCGGCCGATCGAAAACAATTTTCATGATAAAAGTCAAAGACATTAAGAAAAAATCAAACAAGTGTAATGCCAATGGAATAGGCCACGTATTGTTGGAGACGATGGCGACCAAATTGGAGATGACAAACGACGGGTACAAAACGTTGGGCAGCAACGATTGTTATATGATGTTCGTGGACGTGAAAAATAAAAAAGGAGAAGGCCTGGATATCGCCATGGGCCGTCTTCGCGACCAAGACAGAATTGTAGTGTTCAACGGTCGTATCTGCAAACCAATACAGGCGCGGAAACCCATCCCGATCATAACGGTCCAAGCCGAACGCAAGTCGTCGGTGTTCCTGTTCATCAACAGCTTGCCGAAAAATCATTCGCCGTCGTTGGTCGAGAAGAACCTCGCCAAAATCACAAGAGCGGGACGGTATTCGCTGTACGGGCACGTCTTGTCCACTGTCAGATTTGTCGACGAGGACCTCATGCTGTTGCAGTTGCAGTGCCACGACACGACCAAAGTGAACGTTCGCCGGTACCCGCATAATGTCCGCGAATTTTGGAGGGTGCTGCAACGCGACAGCCACGCGGACGATCGCGACACGGTACCCGTGCGACAGTACGACCGCGGCTCGAACCGGATAGACGTGCTCGTGCAGTCACCGTGCCCCCAATTCGTTGAGCTCAAAAAAGATGTCCGGGTGCAGTTGACCTGCGTCAAGGTCAAGCACTGTGGTACGAAAGACGGCGAGAGGGTATTTTCATTGTGCGTAAAGGGCAAGAGCGAAAACCTGAGTGCCGACCCGATCGAGACGCGCACCGTCAATTCTCTTAGACCGCCGGCCACCAAGCCGCATTTCCAGATACCCGACGACCTCCGACCACCAGTGCCCAAGTATAACCGTTTGGGCATCACAGTGAACGCGCGATCGGACCGGACGGCTTCCAAAACAAAGCGTCTATCCGCGGCGTACGTTCAACGTTTAATAGCCGATTCGCCGCCCCCCGCCGAAGACAAGCCGACCACATCGTCCGCTGGGTCAAAATTACCATGGTTCGATGACACTTCGTCGGATTCTTCGTCTGACGACTCTTGGCCTAAGTCGTCGTCCGATGACGATCTCATTAGTTTTGTAAACAAGTCAAAGAACCGACAGTCACACGGCCAAACCCAGCCTACCGTTTCTTCTTCGAGCCCTGATACCAACTCAGAAACTGTACCACAAAATATATCAACAGACCAAAACGTTGTCGTTATCGAAGCGAACAATCCCCTTGATTTCAATGACCTGTTCAGCGACCACAATAGGTTATCGAACAGCTGTCCGCCAAAAGACCCAATTGTCGTCTCTAAAGATCCCGTTAACGATGCGAACAACTCTGTTAGTTCCTTTGACCTGTTGAGCGACCACAATAGTGTGTTAAACGACTTACCATCAAAAGACCCAGTTATCGTTTTGAAAGATCCAGTTAACGAAGAGAATAACTCCATTTGTTCCATTGACTCACCGTCAAAAGACTCTGTTAACGAAATAAACTCTACTATTGAGTCCATTGACTTGTTGAGCGACCACAATAATGTGTTGAACGACTCACTGTCAAAAGACGTCCCAGTTGTCGTCGTCCCAAAAAAACCCCTTAATGAAATAAACAGCCCCGTTGTTTCCATTGACCTGTTGAACGACTCACCGATACTGATATCGGACGACAGCATGTGTTCCACCGTGTTAGTCAGCGATGACTCTTCTTCACCCGTTGTGATTTCCAACAATGAGGATAGCAATGATCAAAGTCTTAGATCTCCGGTGATACTCAGATTTTCCGATTTTCAAAGAAGCCCCGTGCCTACACCTACCACCATGATCGAGGAACAAGAGAAACAAGACTGTGAAATTGTGGAACCATGCCGATTAGTGTTCTTCGAACCATTTATGCTTGATGATTCCGACTTCACTCAACTTGTGGCTGGATACTGTGTTGAGTGCACTACGTTCAAGTCAATGTCTTTATTGGTCTCGTCAACCGAATGCGGTTTGGGCGGACCGTACAAGTGTCACACTTGTGATAAAACTGTTGTTATCACATACTTTTTCAAAATGAACTTTCTATATGGTCCTGATGATGATCGAGCGTTGGGAGTGTGTTGCTACAACGACGTTGCCAAAAATTTTATTAAAACCTTGGTATCAAAAGAATTGACCGTAGAAGAGTACTTGTCTGACCCCAGTCATAAGCATTTGATAACCAACGCCATTATGCAGTTAATCGTCAATAAAACCAAGATGACCATTCGTGTGAAACACTCCAAGCAAGACAAGACTTATATTTTACTTTCAATTGATTACTTCTTGTAAAACAAAAATATATTGGAAAAACTAACATCAGTATCTAGATACACCACCTGAAAAATTTACTAGTCTTAGAAAATACTGTCTTTTTTTTTTGATGTTATCATACAGTGTTCATTTCATAATCAGATATATAAGTTAAAAGAATTTTATGAAATAGAAAAAATTTCAATATAGATATAAAGGTTATAACCTTTTAATAGTAATATCACCATAATACTATAATATACTGAATAACCAATTTTATTAAATTTAAAAAAAAAAATTGAAGGTAAATAAAGATATGTATTAAAAGATATTATGTAAACTTATAAACATAAGTATGAAATTATGACAAACACCGCATTTTTAAAATACATAATATTGTTGATGGAATAATTTCACTGCTCTTTACAAGTGACAATGATGTTTTTTATGGTGTTACGTTAATTGTAACTTTTCAGTTAATCATACTTCAATATTTGAGCACCAGTATTTAAACGTTTTTGTTAGTATCGAATTTCATTAAACCAGAAGTAATATTTTGGCATTGAATGTAAATTTTAGGTATTCAACACTTGTTGTCACATTAGTTCATTTGATTTCAATTCAACATCAATTTGTTTTATCTGTTATACCGTTAAGAGGATGTCAGTGCAGCGGTTTCCGACACTAAAACATGTTTGCTTTAATTGAAAATTAGTGGCTCTTAATTGATATTTATGCAAAAATACCTTTTAGATTATTTAAAAAAAAAACAATATTCTGAAGGGCATCTCGAAGCCATTTTTTTAGAAGTTGCAGGGTTTAAAATTGACAAAAATTGTATTATTTTAAAAATAAATTAATGAATGTCCTATTTGAAATAACAAAAAAAGGGCTTCGAGGTACCCTCAATAATGCTGTTTTCTTTAATTTTGATTATAAGGTTTTTTGCTCTAAAATCACTCTCAGTAAGCCGTATTTTTGGATCTAAAAAACTGAGTTTTTATGGGAAAATTTTTTCAAATCGCTGTTGCGGATACTGTGATAGTTGGAAAAATAATTTAACAACCAAAAAAAGTCTTAACTACTGAACTAATAATTACATATCACTGTTTAACTTTTAAGTTAAGATTTTGTAAAAAAAATTGCCATTACTGCTTAAAATGGGCTGCGCTGACACCCTCTTAAAAACATTGATAATTTAACGTCAGATGCATCTAACTTATCCGTTACACTTAAAGGTTAGATATTCAATATTAATAATAATAATAATAATAATATTCTATATTACGGAATCAACTCCATTTACAAAAATAGTATAATATATATATAATAATAATAAATAGTATAATAATAACAGGTAGTATAATATAATAAATAATGAATAACATATGCTACAATAATTTAAAAATAATATGCATTTATAAGTCTTAACTATCTATTCTAATTCTTAATTATCTATTTGACTTTAAATATGACTTGAATGTATCAGTATTGACAAAATTAAAATATCGGCTGTATTACCTGCTGCCATTAATATGTTTATTGGAGAGGTTTCTAGAATTTTTTTTTTAAATTTATTTAAGTAGAACAAATCTTTAATTCGGGTATTGATTATAGGCACTTTAAACTGTAAACGCTCGACAAAGAATGGACAATTAATCGTACCAGCAATGAGTTTAAACAAAAATGTTATATTTTGGGTATTCCTTCTATATTGTAGAGAATCCATATTAAAAAAAACCAGAAACTCCATTATAAGCAGAATGGGGTTCTCTTTGGACATGGCATTTAAAGGATAAATACCTTAAAAAGTTATTTTGAATTGATTCTATATCATGAGAATGAGAAATAGAATTATTGAACCAAACAAGTGAAGCGTATTCAAGGCGTGATCTAACTAATGCAAAATAAACTGCTTTAAAGGCATCAGAGCAAAAAAATTCGTGGCAGTTTCTTTTTAAGAAATGCAGGTTTGATGAAGCTTTACTTTTTATATTTTTTATGTGATAATTGAAAGTAAGTTTTGTGTCAAAAGTAACACCTAGGTCTTTTACAATAGTTAAAGAAAATTTAAGTTGATATCATTGTGACACAATAATTGCTTCCAATCAATGGAACCCAAACAATTTAAAATAGCACTATAATTTCCTTTTTTCCATAAATAAATGTGTTCACTGAAATTCAAGTACTGTATATGGTTACAAGTATAATGGATGTTTAAAGGAGGATGAAGTTTATCAACTAATGCAATTGGATTCATATTTTCTTCGATTAAAATGTTTTTATGATTAGAAATTATTTTATCTAAGGTGATGCCATTGATATTTTTAATATGATTTAATTGCGAAAGGTTGAGGTTAAAGATTTGTTCATTAAAAAAGGCTTCAGAATCATTAAACGAGGCGGAAGGTAAATTATAATCACCAAGTAAAATAACATTTGAACTAGGGTATTCTAAAAGAACATTTTCTACAGTGGTAAAGTGATCTAAAAATAATTGCTTACCAGCTCGTATCGATATATAAACAGCACCAACAATTATACATGTGTTACCTAAATTAACTAAAATAAAAATTTGTTCTAGATTATTAATTGAAATACGAAGTAATCTAGAAGATAGATTTTTATTAACAGCTATTAAAACTCCACCTCCTCTTGTGAAAATAACATGACTATTGTATAGTCTTTAGAAAACAAGTACATTTAATTACAAAGAAATTGTAATTTTAAACTAGAAATTTAATATAAATAAAAAAAAAAGGTATCTTTTGTATTTATTTATCTATTCTGTTTGTTGGTGCCAGGCGTGTCAATTAGGTTGACTACCTTAAAATCTGTAGGAGTTTGTATAATTTTATTTCAACGTGCCAAGGTATTGGCTGGTCCTTAAACATATTTTTATATTAATTTCTTCGTCGTTTCACCGCTAACAATATATCTCGAATTTTTAGCGAGACAAAGCCCATCATTCTAGCCGTATACGTCATTGTGAATTAAACGAGTAGATAATAAGTTGTATGCATGTTGATATAGATATATCTAGTTTAAACATTTTTCCAACAGTTTTGAAAAACTGTCGGAAAATTTGTTTATTAATTGTAATTATTAGCTCCAAAAATGTTTTCAGGTTTTTATTTCATCCCCTGAGTTTTCCTGTTTGCACGTAAAATGTAAAATTATACAGAAAAATAAAAAATGTTACACAAGTTCCAAATTAAGCTTATTATCAGGATAACCTGGTGAAAATAAAAATATATACTATCGAATATCTATAATCATAGTTGTAGATTTGTGTGATATTGTAAAAAAATTAATGTGCTACAGGAAGACTGAAAAAATTAGGGAAATATTTGTTTAACATTTGGAAGTGAATGGCGGCCATCCAACGCTATGTCTCATTTTTAAGGACCACTCTAGTATATATAATATTTTTGTTTTATTTTGCTATTTATTAGTTAAATATATACATAACTGGCGATTGGAAAATGTATCTTAAATATTTTAATGATATCAGCATGAATAGAAATTGTTCCCGAGGTATTTGAAAAATTATTTGTAATATAAAAATAAATGTAATTTGTAAATATTGTAATCAATTACCAACAAGGACGTTTTAAAGCAGAATCGCGATGCTTTTTTCAACACCTTAATGTTAAGGCTAGCTTTAACCTTTTATAGACGACCCTTACCGAGCGTCGTATCGCTGCAGTGCCGGTGTAATGACCACAGAATGACCAGAAGGGAAACTTAAAAAAAAAAGTGACACGGATCCTTATGAGCCGGCAAGAAAGGCCGGCTGCGGCTGCCACATTTTTTTAGCCGGACTATATAATATAATAGATGGACTTAGGTTAACTCCGGGTAAAAGCGTGATTTGAATTGTACGTAAACAAAAAATGTTGGGCACTTATCGGTCCGGCATAAGTTTCCCTTCTGGTTATTCTGTGTATAACGTGACTTTGAACTTGTGCGAGGGACGGGGAAAATATTAATTCGGTACCTCGATAAGCGAATAATAATAATAATATTATTTTGGCATGCCGTCACTTAAGGTCGTCTCATCTCACGTTGTTGGCTCGTCGTGGCAACCCGGCGCTGCGCTCCTGTACGGCGAACGGATCGAGGCCGACCCTCCCCGGCCCCAATGCTGTATGTGATATACTCTTCTATTTATAGTAAGTCGAGCCTCTAGTCAGCGACACACACAATATAAGACACACGCACACTGCACACACATCAACCACCGTAAGTACGTATCACGCGCCACATGCACCAGCACGCTAAAGGTTTGTTCGGCTGTAGTCGGTCCGTTCGATTTGTACGCGATCCTAGTGTTGCGATTTATTAATATACATAATACATTTTTAAACTATAATAGTGAAAATAATTTTAAAAATATCGCCTACCAAATAACGTCCACAAAAAAGGCCGTTTTTGTTTTACGCGGACGTCTCGCGTTTTGTTTTGATTGAAAAAAAAAATTGTTTGATCGTCAGAAGCGACAATGAACAAAAATGTACGGAAAAAAGGCAATGCCGTCCGAAAAGCCGGTGTAAAAAAGGAAAATCCCGACGAAGAAATCAAAGTAAGTTGCATTTTTTTTTTAATTAACGTTAACAACAACAAACAAACCTTTCAACAATCAAACTCAGTTTTCGGCCCGAATTCAATATAGTCTACAAATATTTACACTATGAGTGTGCGAATAATGATGAATTTAATAAATAGTTCAATTGGGAAAGGCATTCTTGATTAACTCGAATAACTCGTTGATATTTTGATTGGATGTACAATGAAAAATTCGTGAATAATAGTAATTAAATAATTTGTGAATAAATCGTGAATTACTTTATTTATTGTTTTCGAATAAATTAACTGGAATTACTTACTATTTTGAGAAGTTCTCTTTTAATATAAATAATTAATAATAAAAGTAATTTTTAGTCGAATTATTCATTCATGATAAATAATTAATATAATAACCGCACACCCCTAATTTACATCCAGTGACGCAATTATAGGGACTTATAGCACCCCAAACTCCTTTAACTCTTTCCCTAGAAAATATTTCTAGTCTACAGCTTACCTATATTGTCCATTTATTATTATTCGAGTATTAAAAATAAATGTAGTTTAGAATATACTAAAATGTCACGTGCATTTTATTATGAATGTCAATTAAAGATTTATTTTACATTTTAAACGATATTTTATGCCTTTATATTGACTCTGGCAATTTTTTGTTAATATAGATGTTCAGCATAGAACCAAAAATAAATACATTTTTAGGTATACGATAGTAAAGTTTTTTTCTTAATTTTGTTACACTATAATGTTTCATATTACTACTACTCTGTATTGAACTCAGTAAATTTAGTGAATTATAAACATAAGTATAACAACGCATAATGAACGAGTTTTTTTTTATAGTTTAGTTACGTACTAAACTTAAAACAATAATTGTATTTTTTTTAGAAATAACGTACTCGTTTTTATATCTATAATAAATTGTATAGGTATAATAAAATATGTTTATATCTGGGTGCTTACTGCTTAAGCGTCCCCATGAGATGTTTTCCTATTTAAGCTACTAGACACTGTTCACATCACAATTACGATAATGCCAAGTTATATTTAATAATTGATAATATTTTGATGATAATATTTTTGTTGTAGCTTTAAACATTGCACAGTTTCCAAATACTCTGCAATAAAAAAAACTTTTTGCAAAAACAAATGTTCATCTGTCCTTTGAATTTCAGGGTACTATCCAGACCGTCCATGTCATCTTAACCCTTTAGGTATTTCTTGATAGACGCTCTTGCATTATAAAACACAAAAACCGCGTAATACAGATACATTATATTTTGTTTGTAGACTATTGTCAATATATAATTATATATACATATCCTTTAACATCACTACGTCAAGTGCACCTTGACCTCAATCCGCACGGCTTTATTTAAAAAACAACAAAAATGTTTAGTCGTGCAACACGTAGAAACGGTATTGTTGTGACTTCCGTTTAAAGACATGTTTTTAATATAATAAAATAAAACTGTTTTTATCTTGTTTCTAATACTTATTTAAAAAAAAATGTTTACAACCTTGTAAATAGGTAGTGGCAGATGGGGGTGGCGGGGAATGGGATGTAAAGCGGACGAATTAATAGTCATTGTTGGGTTGTAGGCCCCAATCTACCCCCTCAGAAAATTATGTAAATGACACTAAAATTAAATATGAATAAATTTGAGTAAAAAAAACTAATTTAGACACAAAAATCACAATAAGTTTAAGTTATAATGCAGCATAATACTGAAAATGTAAAGTTGTAAGAATACTTCTAAATTCTAATATATATATTAATGACAATTGTCAAATTCGTTATATATGTATAATTTAAATCCCTATCCAAATATTTTTGTATTTTATTGGTAGTAAAGTACAAAGATTATTAGCCAACCAAATATCTATAATAGTTAATGAAAATTAATAATATGGATGGTCTCTAAATTTTGGTTATTAAAAAAATATACAGTGCGTGTCACTGTGATATGGTAGTTAACAAATGTACAGTTCACTAAATACGTTCTATAAACATTTTAAGTACGCACTCAAGTTAACCATATAAGAAGTGGTTCAGCGGCTTAGGATAATTTCGTGGGTCCAGAAACAAAAAAATAAATAAAAACATAATTTTAAAAATAAAACTTTCGCAGTTACGCATCGAAGCTTAAGTAAAAAATAAAGTTGGATATTATTTTTGATAAATCATATCATCAAAAATATAAAGTATACGTTTTATCTTCTGACCGGTTCTAGATAGCGATCGAATAGAATATTTTATTTAGATTGAACAACTGTCGTTTATCTCTTTTCTAATTTAAGAGTTTCCTTTTAAAAACGCATTTGGCACTATTTCGACTAAACAATCTTTTTTATCTATTATAATGATTTTTTTCTCTTGTATACCGCTCAGCTCTTTAGTATGCTTAATAATTATCGGTATTTGTTTACCCGAGAATATATTTATTAAATGGAAAACACTAATAAGGGGGAGAGGGAGGGGTGTTAACTAATCGATATGACTGAGCAATGTTTATGAACTCATTTTTCTAAAAATGTTCATAATTTACGGAATGTATTTATATCAAACACTGTATCATAGTATTATCATATTACCACAGATTAGATAGAACAAAAATAAAACAGATTTACTTTATCTATGCTATTAGTATCTTACTGCCTACATGACTACACCGTATTCTAATGTGGATATCGCCTACGAGCAGTACAGTCTTCAGCGAGACACTTTATTCAGATGTGTTGCGCTTGATGAGACCCGGCATCTTAAGTTCTTTACAGCAGACATAGTCAATGTGCTAGTGGAAAGATAAGTCATTCGGAAAGATCATGCCTAAGTTTTAACATAGATATGTTAAATGATATGGACTGGGGGTTATTCCATATTTTCCGTATGGGCTCTGTATGATAAAATTTCTCTCGGCCAACTGGCGGAACCGCGTTGCACGACCTAAGGGCCGTCATTGGATTCATATCAACTCGTTTGTCGTCGCTCGGCATTGCGCAAATTTTTCCGTTGCCAGTTTTGTACAGTTGTTTTTTTCTTGTGTTTGTGTGTATATGCGTGTGTCTTATTAGCACGACTGTTTTTGACTCCGACCGACCGACTAACAGTGGATATAGCTTGAAAGTCGATCGGGGGTCTCGAGGATCGCGCGTACCGTCTAGGATCGGATTTCGCGTGCGGCGCGCTCATACCGACAGTGTATGGTAGCTATATAAGACTGTATGTAGACGTTAAAATTGACACTCCGATCAAATTACACAACACAAGCCGTCGCCTCGACGTCAGAGATTCGCCTAAGTATCGTAAAACGAGCAAATCGTCATACAGCAGGCGATAGTCGCATGAGATCCCGCCTGACGATCGAGCCATGTCGAGGAGGGAGTCGGCTGTCGACGGTGTACCAAGAAATGATCTTTTCCGCTGGTTCACATACAGCGTACATTGCACAGAGTAGTCTGTTTTGCTAAGATTGGCGGTGAGATAATATCATGTAAGTAGATAGTAATAGATAGATATTCAATTCTCAATCGAATACGACGAAAACTGACCTTTGAGGGGAACGGAAAGAGTATTTAACAAGGGGTTATATTTGTTTTTTTTGTATATATATTTGCATACCTATATTGATAATAATCTCCAATACCTGTCGAGTCATGCTACAGCTCTAAATGATTCAATGAGTATGAGAGGAGTCACTAAGCGCCATTAACGCCGAGGAGGGTTAGTATTTATTTCATACGATATAATATGACGTTGTACTTAAATACATCTAAGTCCAAAATATGATTTTCAAAATACGCTATTATTACATTCAAAATGTGGGTGGTTGCCAGATGGTCGTCATTTAAAAATATTATTTTTTTCCATTATGCTATAACAGCGAAATTAGTTAAAATAGTACTATTGCGTATTCTCTATACTATCGAGTTTTTAAACTTTCGTAAAGTAACAAGTTAATGTTTTAGAAAATTGTAGTTTTTAAGCCAAAAAGCAAGAAAATCAATTGAAACGTAACTCGATTACCTGAATTAATATTAAACCAAAATATAATTAAAACTTTAACCCTTTTCTATAAACTTATTTTCAAAGCACAAAAAAATGCCAGGACCCCCATACCCCCATCCACCTAGGACAAAACCAGACCTACTATACCTTTTAGTAATATCAATGTTTTCAAAGGGACATATTTCATAAATTATTAAAAAAATTCAATGTCTACGATCAAGGCCCAAACCGCCAAATGGACCGATACGATGACAAAAAATAATATTAATAATATACCGGCCATTGTCGTCGAGGGTTATTCGAAAGAAATACATGTGTTTACCAACGTAGGGTCGAGTACAGTTGTATATAATATAATATTATTATAGTCACCGGCCAGCATAATAAATACTTAGCCGCACGCGCTTTTCTTCTGCCTAGTGCTCGACTCTCCTCCTTACCTGCGTTGCATGTTATCGTATCTCCCGGGTTTACAGTTACACATAATAATATGGTATTTCATTATTTCATCCGATATCCTACACTGTATATAGGTAGAGCTATTGCCGCCGTGTCCTTTCAGCGACACCCAATACCACCGCCGGGGCGGCGACGGCATCGTTCGGCAAAAACCGCTGCAGAAGAAAAACGAACGGTTTAATCAATCCAATTTGTACGCTTTTTCGTGTATAATATGTGTGTCCTATATTCACAGGGTGTACACTAGAGTGAATGTTCCATATAAGTGTAACTGTTTTCCCGAAGACAAAAAGTCACGTGACAATACTTTTAACAATACCTATTAAATATTTTTATCATTTACTTAGGTTCACCTCGAAGGGTATGTTTAAAAATTGTTGTACTTTTTGAAGTTATAATACATCTTGAAGTCATGTGACTTTCCCGAACCTAATATGCCCCCCTCCCAATATGCTAAGACCTAAGTCGCTGCTGACTGTTTTTTATTAATTTGGTATGATAAGAAAACAATTACTACTTGAATAGGAATTTTGAATACATGATAATTTTGATTAATTATTTCATAACAATTTTTATATTATATTGTTATGGCTATTACATGTGTATACACTATACAATAAAAACGTTACAGGTGTAGGTAGTGCAAAATATTACTCATGAGTTACGGATCTTTGTGGACGAATGTCACGAACTCAGCAAATGTCTGGAACAAAGTAAATACGCTTTAGTTGCTCAAAAATGACGGCGGTACAACTATAAGCGTTCGTTTTCTATATTTTATATTATATTCTATATTATAAAACTGCTGACAGCACAAATGCAAATTATAATGTAGGTACCCGGGCGTGCGTTTATAGAGAATTTCTGATAATCTGACGAGTCCAATTTCAAACGTCCGCGACGAGTAAAAATAATCAACTGAATTAATGGAGTTAATCATAATATCATGTGACATGCGATAATACAGGATTTTAGACTGCTCTATTTCACTAGGAATACATAGAAAATTCAGGTACTTTAGGGCATTAAAATATATACATAGTAAATATGTACATAGTCGAGTCGATTACAAGTATTTTGTTTCGTTGCGAATCTGTAGACGTTCAATGTGTTTTACATTGAATAACAATTTAAATCACTATCTAGACCATACATTTTGTTATGACTGCCTTATTATGACTTATGGTGTTTTCTCCAATAAAATAATGTTAGACTGCAGATTTTTAGATCTACCTCCAGTCTAATTTACTAACTCAGTACCGTGTTAATGACTGTGCCGTATAGGGACTGATTTTAAAAGTCCATTCTACACTACCCTTCAATCATCACAAATAAATTTAAAAAATAATAATCACACTGTTGCAATATTTTGTTTAACAAACAGGATCTCTAGAATTCCATAGGCCGCCTAATTTTTTGATGATTTACTAAAATTATAAAAAAATTATTCATGTAATTTACTTTTAAACCCTTTATAATTTGATCAAACAACAATAATTTAAAGTTTTTGTATGTTTTTCAGTTGAAAGACAGATTAAGGCGAGATAAATTTTGAAATATAAATACTAACCTATACTCGTACATTTAAATTGTGATTTTAATTAAAGTTTATTTGTTGACAATTTGGCTGGTGAATAACCAATTTCAGTCAGTACTTTGCTGATTAATGCACACAGATAATACAAATAATACTACACTCCACTCTTCCCGTCATTCCATCGTCCTAAACTTTAGAATTGTTTCACGTAGGTAATTTTTTTAGGAATTTTAGAGTATTATGAAAAAATCCGGTGTTACTTTAAACTACTGTATATAAATATATATTTACATTTACGTTTTTTTAGAAGGAGGGTGGCCGAGTGGGTAAGGCGGCAGTGCGTTAGCGCTCACTGTCGCTGGTTCGCCACTCGGTTAACTGTGTTGATTTATCATTGGATTATTTGTACTCTGAATTGGCGATTGCGTTTTTTATATATATAGATTTTTTTCAGGAGTACGTAGAGACCACTATGAACGAAATGCTCGGATGGTACGGTTACGACAAAATGAACTCCAAAGACTGTTCTTTGCATAGCGTTAACCTAATGAAACTCAAAAACAAGTACAGAAGTCGATCCGGAAGCACTGAACCGGACACGTCGTCAGACGAGTACGTCAGCCCGCGGTCTCCCAGCACGCTATCGAGTAATTATGACTTATTTTAACGAAAATAAAATCTTTTAATTTTAAGACGCAGTAACTGGCAGACAGGACTAGTAGACATTTTGTAGAGCTGTCGGTGTGAGTTATGATTCAGAAATTAATCATTAAAATTTAACGTGAACGAGAGTGGGATTGCTCGACGTGGGTCATTTAATTAGTTTTAATAATTTATTATGTATTTAAAAAAACAAAAAAAGACACTGGCGGTGATAGGCAAACTAGTCGCGTCTGTAGAGCGTTTACGGTGATTGTTTTCTAAATGATGCTTCTTGAAGTTATAAAGACATAAAAGATTTAAAAATAGTTGTATCGCGCCCTCAAAAAGTCGATGACTGACGCTTTCCGGTATATTATGAAACACTCGGATTAGTTTTGACTGAAAAACCAGACTTCAAGTCAAATGCTCAACGCCAGACGACTGTATTATATTGTACAAGCACAATTGATGCGGACTCAAATAGATGCCGGCCGGTCCGTACTGTTTGCCCCCCGACTTGCCGGTTAAAAATAGAATAGATTATACGTTATATTGACCCATTATAATATATAAAAACTATAAAGAGGGTAACACGAGATCTAACCGTTGCCAGAGCTTTGTCTTGCGATCACATTAGATTCAGAATTTAATACCGAAATTTTTCGTCAGACACACAGCTAGCGCGTTATAACTTTAACCTACAGTTCGGCCAAAACAACGGTATACGTTTATTTAAAAATGGAACTCAGCACAGTATTACTAGTAGAATAATATTATAAGTAAAAATGCTCATTCCGACGAAAATCCGTTGGCCTTTTTAGACCTGAACTTGTGTGGCTGTTCTTTTGAAAATTAGTCAGACTCGGACAAATCGCAACCCCTTCATTGTGGGTATCCTATTTTCGGTAAGTCTTCATTGTTGAGCAGTTGGTACTCTATATGATAAAACAGGGTTTTCCCCTTATCTTAAAATATTATTGTATTTTTAAGATACTGTTATTATTGATATCTTATTAGCACGATATATTGAACGGTATTGTTTTTCTTCCAACTAGGCAGACTGACTTTACGCCTTTTTTTTGCGTCACATTAAAACTACTATAGCCACCCCCTATTCCAGACGCACATATAGTATTATTTAAGTACTTAAATACCATACTTAGTACACAGATGGTGGTCCAGCTTTGATCTGTTTGGCGTGAGTGTGTTTTAGAAATAGGCACTTCCTACACACCGCAATACGATAGTCTTAAGAAGGAAACTTAACACCGTATAGTTATTATAATTTATAATACATGCACAACGTTGTCGTCACCGAGGTGCCGCCACCCTTTGAAATATCGACGAGTAATAATTGTGGAAACTTTCAAAATAAACCGTGCCAACAACGCGTTGCACATTTCGTTTCATATTTCTTGTCTTTTCTATGTCATACTATCTACGTACACCTTACTCTTTATCAGGTCTGATCTTCGAGCTCGGCTTAAAGCCAATTTTGAACCAAAAAATCCCCTCACAGCTATGTTCTTCCACGTTGTTTTCAGCTTTAATACTCGAATATGCGTTTTTTTTTTAATGTTAATTACCAACAGGAGTTACAAGGCATTTACAAATAGACCCGTCGTGGATCTCACTATCGTGTCGGCCAAATTTACTCCCTGCCCCCTGGCCCTAAAACAAAGCCGCCTCAAGCACGTTAATTAACCATTTGCGGCCGCCTCGACTAACAACACGAACACCCGTTTTCAGTTATCAGTAATCGTACAAAAATAAATCCCATACCTTGAGTCTGAAATGAACAAATGCTCATAGTTAAGAACTTTGGAGGGAAATGAGTTGTAAAACTTAAAATTGTATATTTTTCATTGGATAACGTGGGTTTGAGTTTACTATTAACAAGCATGTATTTTAATTTTTCAATACCTATAGGTACAAATATAAATTTCAAGAATAGTTTAGTAAACGGCACTTTATGCAGGTATATGCTAATTCTTATTAGAATAATAAAGTTATTCGAATAAAAAAATTGTCTTCCTATATAATTTATTGATGTCTAATTTTATATATTTTTTAAATGAATTATATTGTTTGACGAAATGATGTTTTAAAGTATATTTACTTCAAAAAAGCATTTACAAACTATTTAAATATATTTTCATCAAATTTTCATTAGAATAAAAAACTGTACCTTTAGAATGTATATACCAAATGATAGATGATATTGTGATATAGTTATTTGAGGCTGTTTGATAAAATATGCTAGTGTTAATACTTGTATTTTAATGAATTCACTTTATTTATATTTTATTGTAATATTTTTTATTTACTATTCACTTTTTTATATCTGATGTCAAAAATTTAATTTTGTTAGTATGATTTTTAATAAAAGCTTTTAAAATATTTAATAAGTTAATTCTCCTCTTCTGAAACACTAAATTTATTCACTTGCAACCATCACTAGGCCACCACGATTGCCAAAACTAATTCATCCGTATCACTTTCGAAAATCAAAATAATTTTAACTTTGTATACAAACTTTCTAAACATACAACCACAAAATTATAAATAGACAAAAAAAACGGCATTGTATGTATGTATTTTTTTTTTTACAAGTAACCAAATTTTTTGACTAGATATATAAATGCGCCATATGTGCCGAGCCCAGTAGTGGTTTTGCAAAAATCTGATGACTCATAGTTTTTTCATAGCAGCATTTTTTGGCCTGGAAAGTAGCCCTCTCCTTTAAATGGGACATCACCAAAATGGTTGTTGAAATGTTCTGACACACGTAGAACACGAACTAATGACGTGAAATACAAATTGAAAGGTACACCGATAGCCGATACCTTAATAATATCGTTTTCCGACAGCGCCCGAAAACATTATATAAATATTACACTTGCATCGATTAATTTCAGTATGTAACTTATAAGTACGACTATAAAAAGTTAATTTTCTAAGTGCAAAATCCAGTATGTGCAGCACATCGGTCTATCGTATACTTCCCTGATACCTCACATGCAGTGGAGTGAATATAATACATAGAACTTACTAACATACAAAACGTACTTATTATTTAAACCCTTCTCTATCTCCCTATCTCTCCTAAGGGCTAAGTCCTAAATTTATTTCCCACGACTGTCGTGGCTGTATGTAGGGATTGGGGTTTCAGGGTTTAGGCACGAAATACAGACATATTTTTAATTACTCGAACTTAAAATACATGTATTTCGATACCTACATCCCGGAGCAGGAGGGTAGCATGGGAGTCTTTAAATCCGAACACATCTAAAAAAGGCCTGGTCATTTAGCAATAGCTGGCAAAATTTAAATCATTTTTCAACGTTTTTTTTTTCTATTAATATTTTTTGTAACTCGGTAAATGAAAGATAATTTGCAAGATAACGCCTCAAGAATAGTATTTGGTGTCAGTCTACTTTTGTCGAATATATTGCAAACCCAAACTAACTCTCATTTTAATTGAGTTTTTAATTGCTATATGCTGATGTGTTACACAATGAAATAAAACAATTATTGTTTTTTTTTTAACAAAAAACTAAACTTTAATACATTCACTCTATTCAATTACATTAAATTTATGAATTACCCCCACCAATCTACATCTGGCCAACAACCCAACCAAACAAATTTTTAAATTCAACGGTTGTAACTGCTTGTGAGTACCTCACTCAAATACTAGTTAACAGGAGACATTGATCATTTAACTCTTTAAGTGTTATTATGATTCTTATTGAACATAAATTCAAACATCTAATTGAATTGTGTCCACAGGTTCACCGGTCGAACAGATAACGACATGCGGTTGGTGCGACAAAGCGATAGCGGCCAAAGCGTTCACATTCCGCACAGCAGAGCCCAACATTGAAAAAGTATTTTGTTCTGAGCAATGTTTTTCACAGTACAGGCGGGCCAATTTCAAACGAAACAAGACGTGTGATTGGTGCAGACACCTGCGGCACACAGTCAACTGCGTAGACTTCCAAGACGGCGACCATCAGCTACAATTCTGCAGGTGACAAACGTAAAGAGTTTTTTGATTTAATCTCTTATTGACACTTTCTCTCAACCACAGAGCAGACTAATCTAGTCTATGTCTTAACAATATGCAATTGTTGCGTTCTGTATTGGTAATATTTAATTGAATGTTTCTGCCGTGCACTCTTCTATTCCTTTCTCTGCTCACACTAACCGTTCTATGTTTGATTTGTGTTTGCAGTGACAAATGTCTGAACCAGTACAAGATGAATATATTTTGCAAGGAGACCCAGGCCCAATTGGAGTTGCACCCTCACTTACAGAACACTTCGTTGCCGGAGAGCGTATGCAAGTCCCTCGAACCAAATTTGCCACTCATCACGCCGGACCTATGGTTACGTGACTGTCAATCGCCATCCGACAGGTCACCTTCACCTAGGAAGAGTTCACCGGCAGAACCTCCACAGCTTCGGGTGTCCAACAAGCTGTTTGACCGTCCAAGTCGCAAACGCAAGCGACTGTTGAACACCGAAGAAGTTAGGACGCCTCAGCCTGGTTACAATCAGTGTCAGAGTCGCGTTCCGGTCTATTGCACTCCTCCATTGTGCCGGTCACCTGTATTCACACAATCGCAACCGACGAGTAGCAACACATCAAGCAGCGAACAACAAGCCCCACCACAACCTCCTCCACCGTCCATCTATCCAATGACAATGCCGCAGTCAATACTTCCGCCACCCATGATCTTAGTACCATATCCAATAATGTTACCAATACCGATACCTATCCCCATACCTATACCACTACCATATTTTCACAAAGAGACCGATAGTACAACCAAAGAAGTAAAAGACGAGAAATGAGCAAAATAAGAAATATGTAAAACAAAAATTACAGTACGCATTGCACAAAATATATTATGTATTTGTAAACTTTATAATAAAAAGTATTTTGTGAATAAGAAAAGATAAACAATAATTTAAAAAAAAAAAAAAAAAAAAAGTAGAAAGAAATAGAAACGACAATTAAACCTAAATTATTAACTGATAAATTGCTCGTAAATATTTAATAGGAGTCTGAGGAGGGGTTGAAATATTACATCATACATTTATTACTGAACAGGGTAAATTAAATAGGGTATTATTTTATGAATCTACTTCATTGTAAATATTTTCTTCTTGAGTTTTGTTATCCTCTTCCACATTGTTAGTTGTGTCTTTACTCGCATCGGGTACCCAAAGTCCAGAATCCACACATTGCTTCATGTAATATGCCGCATCTGTTTGATTCATAGCTGCAATAGTATCTAGAAGCAGCTGTTTGTCTTGAGATTCAAAACATTTTTTCAACTCCTACAAAAATAATTAGAATAAATTTAATTTTACAAACAAAATTGTGTCAATAATATTATCGAAGAGTATATAAGTGTATAGAGAAACAACATCAGTTTATTAAAACAGTGAATGAAATCTATTATATTTTGTTTACAGTCACAAATAATTTGTAGAATTATCAAAATATTAATTAAGTTAAAAAAAAAAATGATTTTCTACTTATACTGTAAAACGATAAATAATTGATTACGCTCTAATCGTATCCATTAACTCATAGTAATAGAGTAAAATAAGTCCAAGATGTAGCTTTTTAGACAATTTTAATCAAGAAATACAATCAATTTACCATAATACTTAAAAAAGAATGCCTAATTTAAAACTATAGCCATATTGTAGTATTATAAATTACAGACCCCATTCTATGACCATTATGAAGTCTTGCCGTATAAAAGCTATAAATGATCTTAATTCAATTTTACAATAAGTTGTATCCATCTCAAAGAAGTCTCAAATACTCTTTTTTTTTTTATTATTTGAGATTGCATGATTGTACAAATGTATGCATAACTAGCGGTGATGTATAAATGTAGTTATAATAGGATTTCTTAATAATAATTTATAATTAAATATTGTTGTTGTATTTTAAAACAAATTCATAAAAAATTAGAACTAATAATATAATTCTATTAAAAAACACCTAGATAAGGAAGTCAATTTATTTTAAAATTTACATTTAACTAGTTTTTAACCATTCATTTTTTTTGCACAACTAACTTTTTTGTACTCTATTAAATTTGTGTAGCCAAGATGCACAAATAACATGAGATACATCACCTACTGGCCATCCTAAGCTCTAGGTTAGGTTATAATTATCTTACAAAAATACTTACATCTGGAAGACTCTCAAACACTTCTACCGGATCAAGTCCGCCTGGCCCCAGCCTAGCCTGTCTTTCTTCCTCTTCTATTTCGGCTTGAGCAATACGCAATTTTTCTTCAGCTCTTTTCCGTATACGTTCTTTAAACATAGAAAGCTCTTCATCAAATGAATCTTTATATTGTTTTTCTGCCATTTGTATTCTAATAAAAAACATCAAATTATCAACAGTTAATAAACAACAAATCAATCAAATTATACTATATTGCCTATATGTATCTATAGGCAGTACAATAACAAATATAGTTATTACCTAGAAAAAAATGACGGAACACAAGCTCTAGGATCGATATTTAGTTGTCGTGATAACTCTAAAATATATTGCATACATATTGTTTGATGTGCTACATGCTCCATTAGTTCAGTTTTCTAAAAAAAAAAAAACCCCACATCAATAACTACACAACAATATATATATATATATATATATGATTTAATAATTTTTTTTAATCAACTATTATAATTTGTCAATTTAAAAAGATAACAATGTATTTTACAGGAGTATAAAGAATTTAATTAAAACATCATAAGAAATAAACCACAAAAAATTACTGAAACAGATAGGTTGTATGTTGTCTACTCAGATACAGTGATTTTAGGCGTGACGACGGCTGGGTTCCATGGACAACATTATAAGGTAATAGTTATTTAGTGTATACATTAAAAAGTAAGTTGCAAAAGATTTCAGGAAAATTACTATGTTTTGTCGTAATTCAAGATAATAAACTTACAACTATAGATATAGTAGAATAACCATAATTATAATTGAAATATTAATATGAAAAAAAATTAAAACCAATTTTATCACTTTGAGAACCATGGCAGTAATAAAAAAAAAAAAGACAGTTAGGTATAGTAGTTTTAAAAATAGAACTTACCCCTTCCATTTGTAAATCAATACACCAAATCACCAAATAGTTAGCTGTATCTTCACACACAAGCTGTGGATTTTTTTGCAAATACTCTTGACTATCTTTATACTTCTTAAACATACCAAACGTTTTCAATTTTGTTTTATTTTCCTCAATAAATTCCTCTAATCTTTTAGCTTTTTCTTCTTCAGTTAAATTTTCATCTTTTGGTGCAACTTTTGAAGCATTCACAATTGTCTTTGTAAAACCTGGTTTGCTTATTGTATCTACATTCCACGGCAACACCTAGAAATTGTAATTTTCGTTATAAATAATTGATTACAGTAATTAATATAAAATGAAAAAAATATTGGTCTAGTACGGTCAACTAATTATTGGTAGAGTATGTAATCTATACCTAATAAATTCTAGGTTTATTTTGCTTATAAAATGACCACAAAAAGATTGTCTATATCAAACTTTTTTGATAAATTTGACTGGGAACTAAACAATTTTTATGCTGTACGTCATTTTTTGGAAATATTTATGAAATTTTTTTACAATATTATATCTTTAAACAATCAGTCAAAATGTTTTAACTCGACATTTTTATTTTACAATAAAATTATTTTATATTTATAAATTATACAGTTTTATATTAATGTGTTTATCTGTGAGTGATTTATCATTTTCTGTACAATTATTCTTGAAGACTATACTTTAGGTTAGGTTACTTTATACCCGATAATTTTTTTTTTTTTTGCAATTGTACCTATACTTAATAATTTGTACAAGTGTAGGAAAATAATACAAACAATTTAAACAAATTTAACTATTAACTGAACAAACCTTTTCTTTGTTTTTAAATTCTTCTTCTTTTTTCTTCAGCTCTTGCTCCTCAACTGATAATGCACCTAACGCATTTTCAAGTTCTTTTTTATCTATACCTTGTTGTTCAGCTTCCGTAAGTTTTTTTTTTGTAACTTGTAATTTTTCTTGAAAACTACAAAATGAACACTTATAGCAAATACTTATTAATTAAATCTATACAAATGATGAATACTACTGCTTACACTTTTTTCTTAGTCTCTAATTCTTCTTGCTCACGCTTGATTTCTTCCATTCGCTCAACTCGAGCTTGATGTCGCCAACGAAATAATGACGGAGTATCAATATTCGGATGAGTTTCATCTTCATCGTCAGACACCTAATTAACAATAATATATATAAAGATAGTCATGTATAGATGACAAAAATATTTTATGACATTTAGTATAATTATAAACACCTCAATATTTTTCCACTTGCTGTAGTCGACCATTGTGCACTTGATTGACTATTATAAAACACAAATTAATAAATTAAAATGCAACACAAAATAAAAAATTAAATCGCTTACCAGTATAAGCTTATAAGTATACTTGTCTATGTCGCTTACTACCAATTAAAGCGGTCGGATAGTCTTCGTGTTATCACAGATTATATGAAAACAGATTGTTCACTCGGGCCTTTAACAATAGGATTGCAAATAAGGCTTTATGATTGGCCTACCAAAATCAGTGTGACCGTCTAAAGGGAATTTGTTTTTAAACGTGTTCGCGGGCTTTTGCATTTGTTAAATAATTGAGTTAAACAAATTTTTTCTCTTGTATTTACCAAACATTTTATAAATATTAATAACCATAATGATAATAATAATAATTTAATAATATTATTCTTATAATTACAGTTGTTTTATATTATATTACGCACTATATAGTATGACGTATCCAAGGGCAATAATTTTAATTTCAATAATAAATTACAATTAATAAATAATAATACATTTAATAATAAAACATTTTAAAATTCCCAATAAGTAAAAATATAATGCATTATAAACATAACATATCCATACTTATTAATATACAATTTTAATTATTTCTAACATAGAGAAATAGTAAGCTGTCCACCATATGGCATGACAACTGACAGAGCATTAGTCAACTATGAATAGTATTGACACGCAGTATTTAATTACATTGTTATTGTAAAAATAATATAAATTAAAAAATAATAAACAAAAAATAATTATAAATAAAATAATACAAATTATTATAAAAAAGTATTAAATAACTAAAAGTATTGCATATTTATATACCTAGTTAACATGTTTTAAAATAACCAATTTTTAATTTACTCTAATTCTATAGGCTACTCAGATAAAAGTCGTGTCTTTAAAAGTATAATTGACGTACAAAATGCGCATACGCGCCTGCTAATAGGTTAAAATAAATAAAAAATAACGTACATGAAATAATTAGTAAAAATTAATAAATCACAAAGTTCACATAAATAAAATAGTATAATTGTTAGTAAAATAGTATAAAAAACTGAAGTGCCGAATTTTTTTCCGTTTAACATGTTACGGATACATATGAGTTCTAACTACTGACAAATTTTAAACTTAAAGGTCCCAAAATTATGGCTCAAAAACAAAAAAAACTTGTACCCATCCTAGGGGGGTGGGAAATGGGAATAATATAAATCCAACACCAGTTCAATTTTTGGTCGTTTAAAAAAATGTTTTGCCAGAACCATTTCCATTATTCTGAAAATGCAAACTGTATACAAGACTTGGATGCTATTTTAAGTATTATGAATGAAAACCCCATTGACAATGATTCTATTAAAGTATTGTTTCCCGAAAAAACGCCTTTTCAATTTAAAAATCCACTTCAAATAAATTTAACTGAGTATAGAAATTTTAATAGTTCTTACCATTAAATAACGTTGATACAGCACTCAGTGTTAATCTGTTCCTTATGCGTGGATTTAGAAACATGTGGTTTTCGAAATGTACTCCACATACCCGATAATTTTTTGACAAAATCATAGGATCATTATGGTAGAAGTGTGTCGCTTGACAACTTTCTAACCATTTTTTACACCTTATACAGTAAATATTGTATAAAATTACAATTATTGTATAAATATATATAAGTTGAAAATTAAAAGATCAATTATAAAATAAAATAATTATAAATGCTTACCTTTGCGGATCAGTTGGAAATCTAAAATAGCTAATGCTATTTAATGTTTTTGACATTTTACTTTCGCAAAATTGTACCGAACACGAAGTCATTGTAAAAATTAAAAACTCACAAACAAAAAACAATTATTACACAAAAATGACTGGTAGCGTTTAAAATGTAAAAGGTAACAAAAATCTAGATATTTCTGGGAACAAACTTTAATTTTATTAGTCAAGCTAGATGTAAGCATTCTGTGTTAAATGTACCATCCCTACCACAGGTACAGATAAATTACCTAACTTTCTATATTATACAAATTGTAATTATATCTAAAAATAATAAAATATGATATAACATATATATATATCAACTACCATATTAATTCAGAACTAATACGTTCTGCGTCAAACTGGCTCAACAATTTCCGTGTGACTTAGTTAAAAAAGGCCAACTAAAAAACATTATTTAGAAAAATTAAAAGATAATTTCATAAAAATGTTTATAAATACAGATAAAGATGCTAACTAAGCCAACCGGTTAGGATAATTTTACAACATTTATCTAAGTAATTCCCAACAAAGGCCAACCATAAAATTAAAAAAAAAATATTTGTATTACATATAGAACTATAAACTTGAATAATTTGATTTAAATTAGTTTTGATAACAATAATGATATTTGAAACACATAACTCAATATGCGTATACGCGTTTAGAAAAATAATTTGATTTATTATATCAAATTATTTTTGAAAGACCAAAGTCACATACAATAGTTCGATAATAAATATACACACAAGAATAACAAACCACCAGTACAAATAAAGTCGAAAGTTGAAAAATTCAAATTATAAAGTATTACAAATTGTACACATCTTATATTATTTTCGTTTAAGCTAAAATACGCGCCAAAAGTTGATCAAGTTACAGCGTCTTTGACAAAAATAATAGCAAATAGTCTTTGATTTTTTATAATTAAAGTTATTGCTTAAACGAACAAAAACGTTCGGAAAACGCATTAAGAGGAGTCCTGGTATATTATTATTTTTCTGGTATATTTTAGGGACGAGAGGCTAAGATTAAGGCAGTAAAAAAAAATATGGTCAAAAATCTAAACACCATGATTCTGACTCTGATGATCATGACAATAAAGCAAGCAATAACGATCATTTTATGATTGAAATCGTTAGTTTAGATGAAAAAAGAGAATATTTAGAGAATGAAGAAACATTTAAAGATGTCGATGGGGATAAAGACTTATTAATTGATAAACTCATCACTTATCTTTACCCGTAATAAGAAAAAAAGCTTGTTGTAATTCCTATTTTTATTTCATTTTAACATATTAATCCTTTTAGAATTTTGAATAAGGAGGCTTTAAGACAGTCACAAGCTACATACGATCAAGTAATGGCCAATCGAACGGGTGATAGACGTAAAGTACACCAGGAATTCTGAGACAAGAATCAAGATCTTATTGCTGATTGCAGATTTTCATCAGTACGTTAAAGGTATTCAGAAGTTTGAGAGTTCAGATGTCCAAACCCAACTTACAACATATTTGTTAAAGTCAACTGGAGGAGAAATGGTTGAAAGTGTTAAAAAATATATAGCGCAAAACAGAGAAAACGATTTGGAGGTAGTTAATTGCCAACTTTGATGTTAGGTGTTTTGAATATATATTTTTATTTTATTTTTTATGTCATTAAGTCAAAATCTAATCAATATGATGACAGTCAAATTCAAAATGCTGTTGAAAAGTTACAAAAATCGTTTATGTCAAAAACCACAGACGATTTTTATGATGCGGTAGACCATTTGTTATCTTCTGTAGATATAGTAGAAAAGAAACATGATCGCAAAAAGAAGAGGTAGTGATACATTAGTTATAACAACCAATAAATATCTATTTTTTAATGATGCATATTATGAAAAACAACTAAGTTTTTGTTTTAGAGAAAATGTACAAAATAATCGACAACTGCTATTGAAATCGTTATCCGATGTTAAAGATGATCCTGCTGAAGTCTTGCTCGTCTTTACGGTATACCCAAATTCTTTTTCTCAAACAGTTTCTCAAAATATGATCAAAGTGTCTGGTCAAATTTGTATCATCTGTTTTGGGATTTTTACAAAAATATCTTAACGAGAATAATCTTATACTTTTACAAAACTACCATGGTAAGTATTGACTCTTAATATGTGGTTAGGAGTAATGCTACTGTAGCAGCAGGCTACTTTTCTTGTAGCACCTTACACTATTTATAGTCTAGAAAAAATTAAGTAGAAAATAATAATAATATGTACTTTCAAATAATTGTTGAAACTAAATCTCTTAATCTCTAGTATATCTCAAATAAAGTAGCTGTAACATTAGCGAAATACTTTTATTTACAAAATAGAAATAGGTTTAATAAGGTGCAGCAAAAAAATGAGTAGCATCTCGACCACTGCTTTTAATGCATTGTAATCTTAAAACGTAATTGAACTAGTAATATTTTTTATTTCAGATCTCGTTGTTCAGTTATTAAAAACTGAAAACAAGATAAAGAAGATAAAGAAAGAATTAACTCCCAATTAAAAGATACCACTAGTGCAGTAAAAGACCAAAAAATAGTTAGGTACAAAAAAAATACCAACTACTAATTTAATTACCATTAAAATAAAAAAATTAATAGATGACTAAAATTGATATTATAAATTGTTTAAGCATGTTTTATCCGGATATTAAATTTTACATTTATCAAAGAGTACTAAGTCACACATAAAGACATTCTAATGTAAAATCAAATTTAATAATTTTACTTGCTCAATTTATTGTTTTGGATAGGCAAATGTGAAATAAACACACAAGTGTACTACAATTGCCTATGTGGAACGCCTGCAAAATAAGTTGTTCAAAAATCAAAATAATGAATAATAACCACCAGTACTAAACAAATTCAAGGACGGTTTAAAACGAGTTGTTCTAGTTCAAAATAATGTGTACGAGCAAATATTTTTTATTGAGCATAAATAAATTTAGTATTATTTTGCACAGAAGGACAAGTGACCGAGTGAGTAAGGTGTTGGTGTGTTTGACGCTGGCATCATGGCATCGTTAAGCCTTCAAGGCTGATGTTGATGATTACTTTAACATTTCATGTCTTTATATGTATTAGTTGTGGCTAATAAAGTTTTTTTTAATATGACTAGAATATTCGGCCATTATTTAACAACATAAAAAGCGGTGTCAATAAATGTTATACATCCAAAATAGTAGGCCTCGTTTGCAAATGTAACAATACATATATTTTATAATTTTACAGAATATGATAAAAAAGGTTATCTGGACGTATTATATATTAAATGCACGGTAGGCCGTAGGGTAATTATCGTAGTAATTTTGGTTAAAAAAACAAGTGGGCTGATTAAAAATTTTCGGTAATACATTTAATAGGTATTTTTGTTTTTTATTGTGCACGCTTATTTTTATAATTGACGTATACTGATAAAATAATAACTTTGTCGCAATTAAATAACTGTAATACAAATTTTAAATGTATTTTTAGGTAGTCCCGGTAATACCATACTGTTATTGCATAATGATTGTGTCATAATTGATACGTTTTAATTGCATACTTAATTGTTTGTTTACCATACAATATATTCCAAACACAAAAGTTTAATTTACAAATTACAGTATTACAAGCTAGTACTGGAAAATTATTTTTAATAAATTAGCGTTAACGATCTACATTACTGCATAATTTTCAAAGCTGGTTGTTGCCAAATTACTCGAAACAAATCGGTTCATAATCATAATAAATAAAAAAAACTACGCTCCAACTATTGAAACTAAGATTACATAGTATTTTTATTATTATTTCGTATGGATTTATAAATCAGGAGTAGGTTTATAGACCTGTTTGGTCGTTTACTATAATAAAGCTAAATTATGTATTATAATATATTATATAAGCTGGAAATTGAGGAATTGTCCCAGGCACTCAGAATTAACCTCGACATTTAGGTGTTATCGAGCCAGCCAAGATTAGCCACTAATAGAATTTTGGCATTTATATTTAAATAAATTTAAATGTTAATTCATTTTTAATTATATTATCATTTAATTTTGAATTCTCAAATCTCAGCCCTCTTTAGCCGAAACTAGTAATATATTTTCCATTTAGTAACCAGATTTAAACGTTTTTAAATATATAATATAAAATTAAAAACCTATTATAACAATTTTTTTTTATTTGAATGTACAATTTGAAAATAGTCGATTCAATATTGTTAAATCATGTTTTTCGTAAGTAATATGTATATGTAAACTTTATATAGATTCATGTTTTTATACATTTGGTTATTTGTGTACATCTTTAAACGAAGTTTGTATCAATTATTAAACGTGTAGTTAAAGCAGGCTGAGAGATAATCTCAAACTTTTAGACAAACAAGATTATTTAATATTTCAGTTTCATTTCTAATATGACGTTTATTTCAATTATACAAACTCAAACACAAGTATAACTGCTGACTGCATAATTAGGTTAACTCAAACTCAAATTTATAATTAAAACGAAAAAAGATGTGAATACACGTGTAGTTTTAAATACACGTGTAATTATAATTAAACGTGTACACAAACGTATATATATATATATATATATATATATATATATATATATATTACGCGTGCTTCGTGTACACGTGTATTTAAATTAGCAAGGTAACAAGCTTTAAAATAGCGGGCATTAGTCTGGACCACAGTAAAAACCAACGCAGTATAAACTAACTTCTAGGGAAGAAGTGGGATGATGGTTTGGTCTGAAAATAATTTTTAAAAGAGGCATGCCTAAAGAATGTTTGATAAAAATGTCCTCTCTATCAGACCATTTTTTACGAATTTATAGTAAACAAAACTGAAAGTTGAAAAATGTGCAATAATTTAATCTGAGGGGTGGTCTCTATTTTTAAGAGTGAAGGGGTAAACTTTTTCAAATTTTACAACCAATTGAGCTGTAGAGCAATGCCCGTCTTTCGTTAAGCTATGACATAAAGCTTAATTTGTTATCTTTAATACATTCTAAATTGTTGGTCTATCATGTAAATCGGATACCCTAATGAGTAATGATATTATTAACTGACTCAAAGGTATTGTGTTTATTCAGTAAAAAGTTTTTCTAGATTTTTATAATTCTTGAAAGTATTCATAGCTAATGTGTTTTAGCTATTAGTATTTACATTTATGAATTTCAGTAGAAGATAAAATGTGTTGCAATAAAAATGTAACAGTAACGTTTGCTGTCTACAATAGAATACGAATGGTTTTCGATAAGTTTCTATACATCTGGAATAAAGTATGTTAATCCTATGTAAACATAATACAGAGTGATTTTTTTAACGCTCTACACTAAGTTACTCTTTAAATAATTGCAATTTTGTAGTGTTTTTTTTTTTTGGGAACATTTTAATTTATGTTATATACCTAGTCCAATATTAGACAATATTAAATTCAAAATTACAAAAATTACACGAAATTTAAGAAAGTGGCGAAGAGTCGTAAAACTAACTATAAAAAGTCAAACCGAGCATAAACTATATTAGTGTTTTTTTTAGTTTCTCACACATAACATAACAGATAAATTTTATCAAACTAATACAAAGTGAGTAATATTTAAAATTATTTTTTGTCGATGGTATGTTTTTACATTTTTTTTTCGTTATAGAATTTATACAACTGAACTTAACATATATATTTATACATAAATATACTCAAAATAAGTGTTTAAATTTCTTAATTTTTTTTTTTTTTTTAATTGTATTTTTTTTTACAAATGTTTACCGTTTTTGGTATTTTTTTAAGCGCGTACAACAATTGAAACTTAATTTTTAACGGATATAATTTCATTAGAGTTTTGAACTAAGTATAATTTTTTGAATTCTTTTTCTGATCGTTTAACTTTGAATAATTACTATTAAAATTATTTAAGTTTAAAGATTTTGATCGGAGGAATAGTAGAATGGTGGAATATTGTGTTATTTTCAAAATGTCCAAAGTAGGTAGCGGCAATTACAAGAACTACAAGACATCACTAATATTGGGGAAATCAGCTAGTATATATAACTAGTATTTCAACAAGTATTCTGATATCCTTTTGAGACAGTTTAAATACAGCTAAAAATACACCCGTGCAACAAAGTCAGGAACTGGCTATGGCTCTAGATATACTCATCAGAAAAGACATAGATGTGACCTAAATAATTGCATCAATACAGCAAAGTCAGGAACCGGCAATACTAGTCTAGCGAAGAAAAACGTTGAGAGTATATTGTCATAACGGAACAAAGATAGTGTAAAACAATTTAAAAATACAGCCGGCTAGAACATCTACAGCCGACTGGTTAACATACATCAAACGTACACTTGTATAAGTAAATGGATAAGAGTAGATAAAAACAATAACGACGAGACGCGAAAACTATTCTTGGTTAAATTAATTTAGAGTAAAAAAAATAATTTAACCACAAAACAACATTGTTAGTTATTATAGAACAGAAATGAATACTTGTTAGAGGTCATCGAACAGTAGTAATATAACAGAAATAATATAAATATTAAATAAAAAGGAAAGCGTGAAATGGATAACACTTAACATCTGGTAAAATAATAAGAAAAATATGAAGTTATAAAAAAAAATTATATTATGATATTGCAGAGTACTTACTGTTATCATAATTTATTAAATTGATTAATTATTTAATTAGTACAATGGCAATATTAAAATAAGTTTTTCAAGCATCTTAACTAAAAATAACGTTGTTTTAACAAACTTAAGTTAATCTGCGGATTAGTATTATTGTTATGATAAAAAATACAAATACCGTTTTTAAACTGACTTGTTGGCGTGGCCTTGTCTAACAAAAGGGTTTACCCCTAATTCCATTAGGTTTCCAGTTAATATAAAACAATTCACGAAATATTTCCGATTGCTTTTTACAGTTTAACTCATAATAAAACATTTATTGTTTTTATTAAATAATATTAGTTTAGTCGAGAAAAACTTTTGTCATTTTAGGTCTAAGTACACATTCAATTAGATTCATTTGCATACTACTTCAAAACTGTTGAATTCTTACCAGTGCTGGGATACCAACGAACCAGGCATACATATATTATTATTTACCTGAGTTGTCAAATTGAAGTTCAGCTGATAATGTAACAACGCAAGGCATCTAACCCGGCGCGTTGTGTAGGCAATTCAAGTGCTCGTGGGATAAAAAAGCTAAATTCCAGACGTTCTATTGACATTTTTACCAAACAAGTTAGTTTATTCTTCAATGCCCTTCCAAACAAAATACAATATAATACCGCGTGTTCCTTTATCCTATGTTAACAAAAACAGGGTGATTCTTTTAACGCTCTACACTAGGTTACTCTTAAAATAATTGCAATTTTGTAGTAAAAAATAATTATTCTGGACATGATGACTGGTCGATAACCAGATTTGAATAATAATTATTAAGTTATTTAAGTTTAAAATTTAGGACAAGAGGTAGAGTGATGCTAGAATTCAAATCCGGGTTTTCGGATTTATTTTTTTGTTAGTCCAGGTTAAATTAAAAAAAAAACTACTATTATTGTTTTAACAATTGTTAAATATATCGTGGCATGTACAAAGTTTAACATGACCATACTATAAAACAAATGTATAATACGTATAGTCTAAAAAAGCAATAACGTTTCCTACATAACCTAGTAAAATTGTCAATGAACTCGTATATTTTTTACATAATGGAAATTGGGCCATCCTAAGTAGTCAAAATTTTGTCTAAGTTTTTGGTCTAAAACGACAAAAAACAGACCTCATGCAAGCCCTTAAGAAATTAATAGTATGAATAACTATATCTGTGTTAAAGTTGAATTCGTCCCTAGAGGTTAAATCGCTTTTATAAGCGTGGGGGCTTACGATTCCAAACGTTACACGCTTTGTGTTGTTGGCGGTTTAACACATTAATTAAAAACGAAGAAACCAATTATACCACCACAGTTTCCCTGAACATAATGATCTTCCAAGGGAATCAACAACTGTTCTTATTGCTTATGAAACAACAGTGGTTATACGGGTATTATTTACAACAAATATTAATGGTCAAGTGTGCGGTTATATAATAACACAGTAGTGAGTAGAATGTGAGTGTGTGGGCCTTTTTAATTTTGTTTATAAATAACACATGAAATTATCAAAATGTTCAAGTTCTACGCTTTAATTTTTTTGACAAATTGTTCAAAAGTTATTTTGATACGTTTTTAACAAGTTCTAAAGACAGTACAAATTTATATTCAATAACGACAATATTCTTTTCATATATTTTCTCGAGAGTAAACGTGTATTATGTTAGTATTGACTTTATTTGCCAGCACGGGGGTTAGCAGTTGTGATAATAACACATGTTCTTTTCTTATAGAAACGTATAATATATTTTATTAAATAATAAATTATCTTTTTATTTATTTAAATTATTTTACTAACGTTGATCAACATTAAAAAACAATAATAATAATAATAATTATAGTATAATAGGTCGGTGTATGGTATAGCTATAGACTATAGTTTGTTATTAAACATTTTATTTCGACTCTCGTTAGCTTTATAAATTATATAATTTTATAAATCACTGTCGAGGACGTTTAAAAACTCGAAAAAAAGTTACATAATTGGCAGTAAGTACGGTAATTATTTTCAACATAGAAAAAAAAAATTAAAATCCACCTATTCAAACGCGAAACTATTGTTCTGGACACGAGTGCTTAATAATTTTGGTAGGTGCTAGTAGCTCTTTGTTATATTCGGGTATTGTAAACAATAAACGCTTGTATTTCATTTAGGGAACAAAAATATTGTAAAAAGCAACAAAACAAAAAACGGCGCAATGAAAAATGCGATTTGGACCTTTTTTAATTGAGCTGCGACGGTTCACTACACAGACCACCAGATAGGTAATAAAGTATTTCTATTATTGTAGGGTTATCGTCACGTGTCGCACATTATAATAATATGTATGCACTAACATAAGTCATGGGTCATAGGTACTTACAGTTACTACACAGAGTTACTTTACACTGAACATTTTTACAGCTTACAGGCGGCCGATAACAGTTGTGTGTGTCGATAAATTAAACATTTCCGGAGGGGATTTCGAGAACGCATAATAACATGTGCAATTACACGGTTGTTAAGAACAAATTATTTTCTAGGCGTTTTTATTTACTCGCTGCACGGCGGACACGTGCTTATTCAGTAATAATCTAATTTCAACAATGAGCAACCTAACCTAACCGGCAGGGGTTGAAATCTCGCAAGCTGACAAAAAAATAACAAATATTGTAATGTATTATTATTATAATAATAACAGTAATAAATATTTGAAAAAATTGTTCTGATTTCTGATCGTCGACGGGCATCTAATAATAATAATAATTGGTCGATAGTATAACAATACATTGATGATGGTTTCCCGGGAGGCAGCCGGCGGCACACGTGCGAACCGCCAACGGCACTATCGATAGTTGTGGCACAGGTTGCGGCAAGTATCGATTGTGCGCAGAAGGCGGCCGGTACGACGCGGCAAATATCGATATAATTCGGCAAGGACGTCCGTGAACGGCGCGGCGGCCGCGGTTCGATTCGACGTCCTACCCTTAGATTATTTTATTTGTTAACGCCTCTGCTGACCGCTCGCAGCTCGCTCAGTGTGTTGTGTGCGGCTGCGGCTCTGACTAGCTAGCCGGGTCTGTTAGTTTGTGCGGCACGTTCGTTTTTCTCGCTAGATCATCGCCGTCGTCGTTGTTTTTATTATGATTATTGGTAATAGTTATTAAAAAAAAAAGAAAAAAACCATATTAACGAATAAATTATTTTTACGATTTTTATCGGTGTTGTATTTTTGTTAATTATCAAATTTAACGGCGAAAGACGGTTGAAATTCGACAACGAAACGTGCCGTTTTCGTATCATGTCTTCTGTTGTTGCAAGCGAACTCAGTGCCATTATTTTAGGTAAGTGCGAGCGACGGGGTGCCTGCTCTTAAGACGTTGCCGTGTGTGTGTAGGCGTTTTGTCTTGTAATCGATTCGCCCTCACAACAACAGTTTTAATCCATTATCATAATATTTTATTCTATTCTCATATGACTAGGTAAATTATTTTAAACTTTTATCTTTGCACATTTCCAGGTCCTCAATTCGCCCTGGTTCACCCCGCATTACCTTGACCGTGCACTTTTGATAGAACCAATACAATTCAATTTAATGGACAACGCAAACTCAACTGCTCAAGGTAAGCACACGTTCAATAAAAATAATTGTAGCCCATCGTTCTTCGAGTGGACCTAACTTTTAGGCTTACATTTTTTTAGGTAACTATAGTTGCTATGATGGAGGAGGCTGTTCGGCCAACAACTATGTGGCATGGTCGTTGTTAAAAACGTTAATAGACACATCGCTCAGTCCATCGTGTTTACCTATGGTGTTCAACCATTCTTACTACCATTTATCGCACGCGATCATGTTCATTTGCTACATGCTGCCTTTTGGACCACCTTCCCAGTTGATCCTTTTTATACGTATTGCTTTGACGACCGCCACTGCCATAATGGCACTATGGGCTAGAAATGTCCAGTGCTGGGTGGACAGTCTATGGTGGAATTCTGCATCTTGTATTGTTAATCTGATTTACGTTTTTGTGTTATTCTACCAGCTAAGACCCATTCAATTTACCGATGAATTAGAACAAGTGTGTTAAATATCTGTTTAGATTATGAATTATTTTGTGCTGTGATTTAAACTATGATTTTGGATTATTTAATTAGGTATATAGATCACTCTTTCAACCTTTGAAAGTTAGCCGCATGCAATTCAAGAAAATTATTTCTTGTATGAAAATGGTTCGTCCATTAAAGACTCTAGAAATATTTGCTGAGGAGAAAGTGACAAAGGTTGACAGTTTGTCTTTAGTACTTTCCGGAAAGTAAGTTAAATTATTAACTCTGCTGGTCTTAAGACATGGATGCTAACTTAAATTCTTTAATTCTTTTGTTATTATTTATTATATTATTGTATTTTAAATATAATTTGTGTTAATACTTATAACACTAAATAATATTCTATTATTGAGTATGGGCTACAGTATTTTTGACTATAAAAAAAAACTGAACTATTAAGCAACTATTTATGTTATGAAAAAAAAATCTCTACAAAAAGCAAATTTGTCAAAATACTACTCAGTCTAAGTTTTTACTTGTAATAATATTGTTATTAAACATTGTGCTTTTATTTAATTAGGTATGTTGACAGTTATAAAAATGTATAATGTAAAATTGTACGTAAATTATTATTTTGTTTAAGATTGGTTATATCACAGAATGGAAATACATTACATTTAGTTTTTCCATACCAATTTTTAGACTCCCCTGAATGGTTTGGTGTTTCTACTGACGAATTCTTTCAGGTAATTATTACAAAATTAATTTACAGGGATTGAAAAAGTAAACAAAAATATACAGGAACATAAGGAATTTTTTTTTTTAATATTATGTAAATTTTTTAACTTTTTCAATCCTTGTTTATTTTGTATATATTATATATTTCTTTTAAATTTGATTAAAACAAAACTCCAGGTATCTGTTACGGCTGTTGAAGACTCTAGAATATTATTATGGCATCGGGATAAACTACGATTGTCAATAATCACTGATCAGTTTTTGTACACTATATTTGATCACATTCTCGGCAGAGATGTTGTTAAAAAACTCATGCAGGTATGAGTAGCTCTATATTCTTTGATTTTTAATCTAATAATAAATTAATTTACCTAAATAATTTCGACTGTAATTCAATGTGAAAACAAAATTAATTTTAGGCTAATGAAACGGTGTCGAATGGTCATTTGCCTAACCAATGGTACGAGAGTGAAGATGGTGAACTAACAGGCAATGTTAGTGATGAAAAACAAACTGTTCTTTATTTAAAGCGTAATGGTGATGGGCAGGCTGGAATTGAAACTATACTCAAACGGGAACTTCAAGGTATGTAAATGTCGTTTATTGTTTTAATGATAGATTTATGTTTTGCTTCTACTTGTTTTTATTGACTGTTCAATTTTGCATGAAAGTTGATTTTAGTAAGTAAAATAAAAATAGAAAAGTCATATATTTTACTTGAATCAATAATAAGTTTTAAAAAGTTTAACGTTCCTTTCATTTTTATTTAGTTTTTTAATTTTAATTTATTCAAAGTTTTTCTAGATATTATTTCTTTTAAATTTCTATGTATATTTTGAAGTTATATTTTTTTACTAGTAGATATGTAGAGTTTTACTTCATAAAAATTCTCAATCACTTTTATTATATTGTGTTGTTATTTAATTAATAATAATGTAATAGTATCATTGTTTTACCACTTTTAATTAATTGTTTAACTGCACCAATTAGTCATTTACTAACATTCTTCAAGTTTTATAAGGTCAAATCAGATTGTTTTCCGGGTTATTATTGAATTAATTATAAATTTGTTGTTTATCTATGATAATTATCAAACTTGCCACATTTTTATTAATCAAAGATTATTTAAACAATTTTTCAAGATTATTAATGTTAAGTATATTACATCTATACAATGTACAAAGATATAATATTATAAAAGATTTTAGTTAGTTATTTTTCTTTTTTTTAGAGAGATGGTTAAATTGTGTATTTTTTTAGATTATTAATGTGTTTAATTTAATTTATATACCGTATTATCAATTATTAGTCTTTTCAATTTTTTTCCTATGCACGATTGTATTTGAATTTGATGATTGTCGTTATCACTTATCATCAATACGTTTTTGCATGATTTACTTGTGTTATTATCAGAAAATGACCATGCATGTCTGGAAAACTGTCCACTGATTAACAATCAATCATCATGGTACTCTCAGCAAACACTGCGAGATATGCTAAAGACTGTGCACAGATAAGCTATTATTTTAAGTAAGTAATTTTATTTTTATGTGTAAAAATTTGTCCATTAAGTATATAATAAAAAAATGAAAATAAATATATGTATACATTTTTATCAACAACTTAAAAAAAGTTGTTTGTGTATTAAGTTTACAATTTGTAAAAAAAAAAAAAAAAAATGGTTTTGGATTTTGATGTATAATATTTAAAAAAGCCAGTACAGTGGGGTCGGGGTATACTGGGGACGGAGAGGTCACAGGTCTACTGATTTTATTATAACTGAAAGTGATAAAATCACTTTTAAATAAACTCTTCGATGCGAATCTGTGGATAGTATGTTCTAACCAGTTATAGCGGTTTAGAAGATATTGTGGGACCAGCAATAATGTACTTAAAATTTAATATTTAGTCTTGTGCAGGGTGGATACGATAAGGGTTGATCGTCTGTCTATAAAAATGTACTGTCATAGTTACCCATATATCGTAATTAACAATATAATGAAAATATTTTCATTACACATAGCAACCTAGAAACTGACTACGGCAAAGTGTAAATTTAACCTATTTTTGGGGTTTTTCCTTAATAAAAAAAAAATTGATTACAGATTTTGAGAAAATTGTATATTTTATAGACCCATTTTAGATCTACCTTCGGTCTAATTTTCAGATCTAAATCTCTAAAACTTTGCTTGAAAAAGTGAAATAAAGAAAAAAATTCTATCCCTTCTATAGGAGGTTTATGATATTTTTTTGGTTTGATAACTTTTATCAATAGTGTACTATGTTTGAAGAACAATTCATATAAATTTGGAACTTTTTCAACTATATTTAAAAAAGTTACAGAGCATTGTAAATTTAAGTTAAAAAATTTGTAAATTTTGGGTGTTTTTCTCGATTTTGATGGGGAAGGGGTGACTTTTTTAAATTTTTGGCCTCATTAAGTACCTTCCAGGTAAAATTTCTGATTTGGTATGAATTATAGAGTTGTTACACTAAGAATTCGGTTCAGCGGTTTACGAGATATCGTAGGTCCAGATACAAAAATAAAAACACATCATTGTAAAAACAATACCTTCTCAGCTCCGCACCGAAGCTAAAATAAATAAACAAAAAAAAATATATCAAAATAACACTTTTAATTTGTTTATGTATTTTTTTTTTTTTTAGGTGACCCAAATGCATGGAGGTTAAGCAGGATAGAAGAAGTCGACCATGAAACTCCTGTATAAAGTATACCTAATTGATAAAAAAAGAAGTATTAACAATTAATAATTTTGTGATCTTAGAAAGATAAGTTTATATTATATTATATATATATATATATATGTGTATATTTTTTAATTGAAAAAAATCTTGATCTTTGGTAAGAGCATACAACTTTAACCATAGTCAGATTTTATTTTTGGCACCTATCGAATTTAATAATCACTGTAGTAATTAATTAATTTATTATTAGTTTTTCCATTCTTAAAGTAAACCAAAAGGTAAACCTTATGTATATATAATTATATGTGCATATTAAGTCTTGTATTTACCTTTTTTTTTCAAATCGAAATAATTTAAGTACAGATACTTATATGTTTTAATTTATATTTAAATATATATAAATCAATGTTGTTTATTGCTGTTTTAATATTTTAATGTATTGATATACAGTAAATATTATTTATTGTTAAAGTGATAATTATGAAAAATAACTAGTCGATTATTTAATATTAAAAGTAAATAATATTATAAGGATGTTGTTACAAATTAAAATAAATAAATACAATAACAATCATGGCATTGTAATAAGTTGATTTTAAAAAAGTAAAGTGTAATTAATTAATATTTTAGTTTCGATCTGCATTTATTTATTTTATTTACTTTGATTAGTGGTGAGTAGAAACATTACTGGTTTAATAATAAATTATTTTCCTTAAAGCAGAAAATTATTGATATTCTTATGTTGAAATAAGTTATTAAATAAATCAATAACTTGATTACTACAATAACAATTATTTTGCAATAATTAGTTTTGACCAATACGTAATCTGATAACCTAATTTAGATGTAACTTTCTCATATTTGTTTCATAATTATTTTACCTTTGGTGACTTGTAATTTTTTTCAAAATAAATACAATTTATAAAACGTAATAAGAACATACAATTATAATTAATCGTAATGTATGGTATCTTACTTAAGGTTTTTTATACACTATCAATATAAATAAAAATTCTTAGATGTTCCTGGTTTATTAATGTTTTTATTTTTTTAATAGCAAATATAACAGCATTTAAGTGTTGTAGATTTATTTAATTTTTTAATAAGATAAAAGTGTTTAGAACTAAAACATTTAAATTTTGAACATGTATTATAACTATGTATAAATAGTAAAACATATAACAGAATTTTTATCTTTAACATACAATTTAATAAAACAAAAATATTCCGTTAACATGATATAGGAAGATGGCCATTTGTTTTGTTAAACAAGGTGAACTATACTAATGTTTTTGTTCTAAGAGAATATAACCTATCGACAAACTCATAAAACTTACGATAAATCCAACCTCACAATTTATCAAGGATAATAATATTAGATAAGATTTATAAGACTTCATGTATTAGCAATATTAACAATATTGGCAGAGATTACATAAAATTATTGTGATAGTGTAATGGAGGAACGCCACCAATCGGTGATCTTAATGGTATATCGTCACTCTTTCTGTGTACCATTTGTCGGCCGGACCATGCTCGTGTTGGACTTGGCGAGTTGCGGCATGTTCTTGGCAATGTTTCAATCGACCTTATAGGACTTTGTATATTGAGCACACTTCTAGGTAGCGCTTCAACTGATAGACTAAGTGCACCCACACCACTGCTTCTGCATTGCATTCTCATAACTTTGCGTTTCTATACATATCGAATAAATATATTAACTGTATTTATATTTATTTTAATCAATGATGTAGTCATAAAAGTATACTTAAGGTGAACTCACTTTTCACTTCTCTATATATAACGTAAATCGCATACTCTATCCATAAGGGCACTGGTTTTTTGTCACGAGTACATGCATACAAAGTAAAGTGGGAGGTGGGCACTCATGTGTATATATACTCTTAGACTACACGACCGATTTTAATGTTTAAAAACTAATTAGTACTTACTTGGACAATGGCCCTCCATGTTTGTCCATAATTACGGGCCAACTGCAATCGTTTTTGCTTGCGTACGTGATGTTTTTTATAGCCAATTTCTATAACTATCAAAAACATTCCAACAACTATACCAACAGCAACAAGTATAAATACGCCAGCCATATTTTTCAACCCCAGTGTGTTTGGCGTTTTCTCTTGATCTTCACACTGTTCTACTCTTCCTTGAAATATCCATTTATCATCTAAACTCTCCATAAATCCACCTTAATAAAGAAATAATCATTAATTAAAAATATATTTTTATAAATACAACAATTTATGAGTTATGTCGTAAGCACTTACTTTCGTGAAAATCTAAAATTGATAATGTAACTGATTCCGACCAAGGCGATCCTTTTTGTAAACCGACTCCATATCCAGACCGACCAAACAATTCACCAGCAGTAACCAATTGACAATCTTGAGCCGCTTCAAATTCTAATCTACTACTATCCCATATGAAGGCCATGAGTTTACTGTAGAAAAATCAATTTCAATAAGTTAATGAAATTGAAATAATGTTACATTATTATAATATGAGTCGTACTCATTTTTAACATCACGTATTGCATCTTCTGCAGTTTCATAGTTATTTGCTTCCATAGTCCTGTACATGTTTGAAAGTTCCACTTGACGTTTGAAATACATATCCACAGCAGATCCTTTTACTGTGGCACAAGTCAAATTTTCCATTGTACTACGAAGCTATAAAACAATTGTTTATATATTTATCAACAGCGTTTAAACATTACTAATAGTTTATTATTTGTATAACGTTACCCTAGCATCATTTATTCCGGACAGTTTGGTTTTTGGTCTTTCCAACACAAGGAAAGCAGCTAAGTTAGCAGTGTATGATGCAACGATTATCATAGCGAATCCAGCCCACACCATTCCCAGCACTCGTGCTGAAAAGCTTCTTGGAGTACCTTCTCCGATACCGCTGTTCAACAAGACACCCCATGCAAACCATGTAGCACTTGATAAATTTAGTGCATCTTCCTCGGTTCCATCTGCATTGATCAACTTAAACCGAGCAAATGGAGAAAAGCGATCGAGCAAGTATAAAACAAGGGCCACAACATGAACAGAACCCATAACGAGTACCCATAAGGTGTGACTAAATGGTTGCAAGAAAGAGACGAGGGTGGAAGAACGTGATGGCTGAAAAGAAAAATACAAAGAGATTATCATAAATGTATTTAAATAGTTTTGACAATTATTCCTCCTTACCTTTTTCTCTAGAATTGTAATTCCTTGATACTTGAATGGTTTACTAAACTCTATGAATTCTGCTCTTTCAGGATTAATAGTTAGAGGCGCTAATATCATATCCGCCCTTTCATAAACTAATTCTCCGATTAAACCATTCCATTCTTTTTTTCCGCTAGCTGAAAATATTAATTTTTGTTTTTTTAATATTACAATTCGGTCAATTAAATACTGAAAAATATGTATGGTATATTATTAACTTGAATTATTTCTTATTTCGTAATTTCCAAACTGTCCATCTGGTGAAAGTGATAGGCTGTAAGTAAAATTAATCGTTTTAGACAGTTCCACGAGTAGATCTATACAATATCCTTTGCAACAGTAGATTATAGGTTCTACAAATAAAACAAACATTTTGTAGTTTATTAATATTCATAATAATGTTAACCGTCTGTACCTTTAGCTGATGTATTGTACAATGGACATTTAATCTCATCTTTTTCACAATTCTCCCCAACCTCATTTTTTAATGGTCTGACATACACAAACGGTTTCTCTTCAATTGTTAAAACTTTTAAATGAGTCGGTATCATAAAGCCCTCTGGCTTATTTCTTAAACGTCCGGGCCACATAATATTTGATTCGTTAAGGCGAAGTTTCATTTTGTTAAGTTCCTGAAATCAATTTTACATTATTTTTGTTTTACACACAAACATACTAGCTGATTCCATACATTGTCAAAATAGTATTTTCCAATAGCGTCCTTATATGCCACTTCTTTGACATTAACTATATCATATTCAGCATAAATTCTATCTCCATTGTTATCAAAAGCCACCTTTCCTGTATGTCCATCTTTATAAACTTGTTTTTTTATGTAACTAAAAAAATAAATCAAATATTTAATGTTCTAATAAATAAATACTTAATATTTACTCAAAAAGAGTTTTGCCAGTATCCCAAATCGCTCCCGAGTTATCGCAATCAGCGGGTGGCTGAGTGATAGTTTTAGTACGATTCATGTCTGTTATTGCTGAAGCCAAAATATATCTGTAAACAGGAACGCAGAATTTTAAATTTATTTTGTTTTATACATTTTAGTTGTCCAAACTCACATGCTATCATAAATGTGTGCTAGCTCATTAGATGCATTGACTAGTTTTAATCCAATTGTACCTTCGGGTACATTAACAGCATCTAATGCTTGTTCTGTTACTATCCACACGTGTCCAGCTTCTGTCATGTTTCGAACAGCCGCATCTCTGAAAATTACCTCAGCATCCATTTTATTGGCGTACATCAAATACACTCTGGCCTGAGCACTCTTCATCTCATTGAGTTGGTTGTTGAAATGAGAGAGACCTGGTTCAAATTCAATCACCGCTTCAACCTGCAACAATCATACATTTTATAAATTAAAGTATAAAAGTATATATCGACTGCCCCAACGAAAAGGGTCGTATCTCGTTTTTTGCAACTTTTCAGGATGAACCAAACAAACATTCAAATTTAAATTCTTATTCTGTTTTTTAACATATCAGTTTGAAAATTTAGATACATGTTATAGCACGTATCCAAATTTTATCCTGAAAAGTTGCAAAAAACGAGATACGACTCTTTTCGTTGGGACAGTCGATATGTATATATATTTTTTTTAAATTAGATGTAAAACCTGAATTTTTTTTTCTATGTCCTCTCCTTGGTTCTGGGATGTAGTCTGAAATCTACCGACAAATGCACGACCATCTGTATCTGAGCTATGAATGAATATGACCTGCATGAATTAAACACAACCATAAAAATGTTAAAACAAAATATAATTGATTATATAATGATGGGAAGTAAATTTGAATACCTTTAAATAATTAAAATATTTGAGCAGTTCGACCCAAACCTCTGCTTGGTGTGAATACGGTGGAACAGTACGAAGAAATGATACGTGAATATTCTAGAAAAAAAATATTTATAAGAGTACAATGAAAATAAAATTCAAAGCAAATGAATATATGTTATTTACTTTGTCAGAGAAAGCAGAATCCCTGGATGATATTCCTATGACAGGTATATGATAGAAGCCACTGGTGTAGGAAACTGCAGCCGGAGATAGGTCTCCAATCTGCGGGAGTGATACAATAACGGCGTACACTCTACGCACAATGAGCTGTTTGCAGACGTTTAAAGCGGTTTTGATGGGATTTGGGTCCATTCTTATGGAATGAGCGAAAAAAGTGTTGCCTGGATTCACAAATGGCGTATTGAAATTGAGATGCTATAAATTAAAACACAATAATTTTTTTTTATACTACATATTATTTAAGTATAGGTAGTCGTAGCACCAATTTTATATGTCAAAAACACTTGTTGCATGAAATCATCACAATCACAGTGGCATATTCTGAAGAGCTATATAGGGGGTTAAATTAAGTTATTATTTTAGACATTGGTTATTTCTCATAAATAAAAACGACTATATATAGCTACTGTAGAATTTGACATTTCAATAACGATGTATTTCCTTGATTGTTGTCTTTTTATACTTAACACTAATGAAACCTAACCCGGAAAATATTGTTGGGTATGCCACTGCTCAGTTATACAGTATCAGGGGTGTAAGTACTCACTTCGATGGTCAGGTGAAAATACTCTTCGCTGGCATTGCTGCTCAACACTCCCCCGATGTGGAATTCGTGGGGATTGTTGTCGGTGTTTTCCTTTGTCGGGACTTCGCTGGCAGAGCAACGGTAATCGTCGTAGGCGAGCAACAACAGACAGTGGAAAATCAAATTTCCCCAGAATGGCTTCATGACGAACGGTGACCGATGGAAATGTGTTTGTAATTTGAACTAACAACGACTACCACCGAGCAGGAGCGGTAAAACGCCCAGTTTCGCGCGCGACAAGCATGTGTGATGAAAAATGGTCGCTCAAGTCGGGTAAACCGTAAACTTATGAAGTTTATTTGTTGTCTAAGTAATTACACTACCGGGGCCGCATGATGTCGTCTTCCCGGAATCGCAAAACTGCCAGGACGGGCGGATACTAGGTGTCGCAAAAAACAGAGTTTAAGTCCAATGGACCACAGAGCATGCTTGAGCCGGACCGTAACCATGGTGACCATATGGTACTTCCCCGAAGGGATTTATTGATCATCGTTCGCACAGAACTAGGTACGACGAACAATATTTTCAAATAAATGTATTTCTGGACATTTCAATTAACACACCTATGCCCCCTCATTATCTACCCAGATATTTAAAGCGTCTGGTGCAACATAGTCGTTAAAAACTGTAGTAATAATCGTAGATATAAATTATTTTACACTTATACATAAGTGTAACAATAATACACGTACACACTATATGGTCAGTTAGCAGACTACTCAAAAATATTCTAATCACAAATTTTAATTTTTGATCTTTTTCTGTAATATGTTGATTTAAAAATTTGACAGCAAAAAGTTAGAATGAAAATTACGATATTGTTATAGTATGCACATACCCAGCATGTATCGCAAAGATGGAATATCTGACAAATTAACCTATAAAATATGTACAAGGTGATACATCATAATTAATACAGAAGCTTTATACTTCGCCCGGAGTCATTTTCATTTCATTTAAACGACTAAAGGGGAATTAGTTTTCCCGTTGCTACCATTTAATAAATTAGGTAGCCGAGTGTTTGGTAACTATCTACACTCTACACCCTTCATGCATAACCAACAATGCTTAATCAGGATAATTAGTTAGTAGTAAGCCGAGTCAAGAGTCAAAATGAACGTGGGGACGGTGACGTGAAGAAGAATAACTAGTTAACATTATTTTAAGTGCTACAGTAAACATGTATTTGTAATTAATCTAATTAATACATACATATACTGTATACATTAGTAATAATACATACAAAACTAGACGAATGCGACAGTTTTACGACATCGCATCATCATTATTGTTTAAAAATGTAAATAGTTTAACTAGAAATTTGCAAGAAAACAAAAACAACAAATATATAGTAATCGATAGTTCAAAAATAAATAGTTCAAAAATTACTTGTAAAAAATAAAAGGATTTAATGTACTCTAGAATAATATGTTGCCGCCAAAAATTAAAAAAAAAAACAAATAAATAATAGTTGAAAAATTAAATTAATAGGCTAATTGTAGATATCTTCCAAGGTTTTTATGCATTTATTTAATACAAAAGCAACAAATAGATAGTAATCGATAGTTTAAAATAGATAATAAAAAGCTACTCTTGCCTAAAATAAAAGGATTAATTTTTTTATGCACTCTAGAATAATGTGTTGCCGCCAAAATAAAACAAAAATAACAACTAATAGTTGAAAAATTAAATTAATAGGCTAATTGTAGACATCTTCCAAAGTTTTTATGCATTTATTACCAGTAAAAAATTCTTCAACTGCTTTGGCTATAATCTCTTCGTCTAAAAAATAATAATAAACATAATGTTATGTCACAGAGACAGATTAGATATAAAGATTTTACCTAATCCGTGGTTATGACTTACGTCACAAGCATAACTCGCGTAATTATAAATTGTGTGTGATAACCAAATATATAGGTTATAGATACAGGGTAGCAGAGTAAATATACAGGAATATTGAAATTTTATGTTGTAGTATAATATACCATCTATTCAATAGGTATCATCCAGATGAACAATATAATGACTATTACTTATTATCAACTATCAACTTCACCATTTCATGTGAATAATTGCCTTAAACATATCTAGCTTAAAATCAATAATTATCTCGAGACTCGAGTTCGATTTTTTATAAGCCTGAAATTATGGTATTGGTTAGAAAAAATGCTTATCAATAAAAATATAATTATGATATTTAACAATACTGGCAATACAACTAAAAACCACATACAACTGTTTCAAAAGGAGTCCCAAATATGTAGATAAACGTACTGAGTACAGAACCTCCATTACTTGATTATACAAAGTTTTAAAAAAGTTTACTGAAAAAAGAGAAATAAAGAAAAAATGTCAACCCTTTCTAGGGGAAAGGGTTTTCGATATGTATTTTGATTTTTCAAAGTATATGAATAGTGTTTTATCTGAAGATTATTTCATACAAATTTGGAATTACTTCGACTATTTTTAAAAAAAGTTATAGCGCGTCATAAGTTTAAGTTGAAAAATATATCAATTTTTGGGTGTTTTCTCGATTTTGATGGGGAAGAGGTGAACTTTTAAAATTTACGGCCTACCAAAGTACCTTTTAAGTACGTTTTCTGATCTGTATAGTTGCTGCATGAAGAAATCGGTTCAAGGGGTTAGAAGATATTGTGGGTTGATATAAAAATAAAAACACACCATTGTAAAAACAATACCATCTCAGCTAGGCATCGAAACTAAAACAACAAGCATTTAGACGAAACTATGGATTTGGCCAAGTACTAAGTTTCACTAAATTACCGAATATTCTGTACTTCCATAAATAGTTCCAGAGGTTCTTGCCTCTGGAGATAAAGGACTGTAAGCATAGAAAAGAGTTACTACTAAAGCGACTGACTAAAAAACAATTCCTTGCACTCTATAGTTATATACGTAGAAGTATAACTTAATGAAGTAGTCTGGTTGTTTCTAGTACCTTAATTATGCCATGGTATCAGTGAAACACACATTCCTTCAGCTGTGATAGATTTAGTTATACTATAGATGAGCAATAGGTACACAACCTAGGTATACAACCTAACATAATACAACATTGAAAAACCAACACCTTCTCAACTAAAGCTAAACAATAGAATCTAAATGCAAATGTTTCATAATTGGAGTTTAGTGGAGTGTAGAAGGCACTTAATCTTAACAGTGAAGCTGGTTTACTCTTTAAAACTGGCAAGAGTCAATAAAAATTAGGGGGCTTCACACTTTGTATGAAATAAGAAAAACTAAACAAAAAAAGGGCAATAATCTGAGAACCTTTTCGTAGTGGTACTATATTGAAACCACACTTTTAATTTTTTTTTTGGAATTGTTAATTCCAAAAAAAAAGATACCTCTTATTGAAACCACCGTCAAAATAATTTTAAAAAATAATCATGTATGACTCAAATGGATAAGTAGTTTTTACATGATTTGAACCTAGTATATACATAAAAAAATGTTAATATTCATTTACCAATTACAAATTACTTGTGTAATTCAATTACATAATTACCTAAAGTAATTTTAATGGTGCCCACACGCCTACACTAATGTTTCACTTTGTTGGTTAATTATTGAACAAATATTTTTATTTATTTATAATAGATTATAGTTACCTGGCCCATAAGTTCGATCCATGAGATTCTGGGAAATAAATTTAGCAAGAGTTTTGAATAAATTTCTATTGATGCGTCGAGCCTTGTAGTATGGTGTCATATAATCTACTACCAATTTGACAATTCTTTTGTGAGCAATTATTTTTTCTTCTTCTTCAGTTAATGGATCTGGTTCATAATTATGACCAGTCCCAAATAAATCATCAAAAATGTAATTCAGTCTTGTTTGTAATTCTTGAGGTAACTCAACCATGCTTCTCTGTAATTCATATGATTTAGCAACCCTTTCACATTTTAATTTATTTTTAAGTGTTTCTTTAATTCTTTTAGATCTCATAACAAGTTTTGAAGTTGTATGGACTTGAGTAGTTGAGCTTGGCAGATTTTTTACTGACTCTGTATCATCTACAGCTGTTAATCCTAATGCTATTAATTGCTCTTCTAATGTTAAATGTTTATTATGTACTGGAGAGTCTTGTAGATCTTTCAATAATGAGTTGACACCCAAAATATCTTTAGTAGAACTTCCAATATCATTTACTTGTTTTGATTTGATTTTAGAATCTACTAGTTGAGAAGTATCACACTTATAATTTGCATTAATAGAAAATTCATTGAGTGGGCTTAAATTGGTAAGATGTTCTAGCACAACATTACTATCACTAAATATTTCTGGTTCTGTCCTTTTAGGATTACTATTAATTTTTAAACCATCTTCATCTATATTATGTGACTTTGGAGATGTTTTCAAATTAGTAACATCACAAATATCATCATATTGATTAATTATTTTATTTGAAATCAAACTACTGTTTAGATGAGATTCACCTTCAATCTTAAGAGGTTGCAATGTCACTGATTGAATTTCTGTGTTTACACCAACACTAACCAGTTGTTTAGTTGAACTTTTATCTTCTATACATTTGTTTAAACATTCTAATTGGTTCTCTGATTCAATTAATTGTTGCAACAAAGCATACACTGTAGAATTTTTAGTACAGTTCTTGACTTCATTGATCTAAAAATAATGATAACAATGATGTTAATAATAACAAAGATAATACCTACTCAAGTCTAAAATATTTTAGTTGTCTATAGCTCAATTAATTATATGTTTTAACTTTGATGCTAGCTAAAAAGTTATTGATTTTACTAAGATAGTTTTACTTTAATATGATCACAATCGAATAACAATTGTATGCGTTTGTTACAACTGCAAACAATTTTGAGCAGACTTGACAGCACTTTTTAATAAAAACTATAGATTTTTTATTATATTGTAATCAATATAAATGTTTATATATTATGTAACATTTAATAACTTTTTTTTTTGTTAGGGTTAAATTAAACTCTATCCTTCAACTTAAACCCCAAAAATGTGTTAAGCAATCTGATAACTATTATTTTTAGTACTCGATACATAAGAGAAAAATAATCTTTTTATGACCAAGTATACCCAATTCTGAGCCCCTGCCACAATTTTTGAAATAGCCTAGGTCATCATGTGTTCACGCCTATGTGTACTACAAAATCTGTTTTTCAAAAATGTGTCTTAATCAAACATACCATACTTGACATGGTTTCTCGATAAATACTAGCAATCAAACATCTCTTCAAAGCTTTTTTTTCCATTTCAGTCACGCAAGTTTCAACACATTGATCAATTTGATATAAACATTCTTTCTGGTAACCTTTTGGTCCTACATCCAAGTTGTCATAAAGAATTTGACGAAGATGTTTTAAGTATTGATTCCGAACCATTTCACATAATATATCTACATTTTCTGGATCATCATCAACATCAACAGGGCTGTACGGCAACTCAATTTTCCAAATTGGATTCTTTGAAGTCAAATTCATAAAAGAATCTAGTATATTTGATTCAACTTGGACTGCCATTATTCAGCCTGTTAAATACGCCAGTAAATAATTTTTAAGATCAAACAAAGTTTTTAATTAAGATGAAAAAAATATCTAAATTTCTTTTACCAATATAAATACTAAGTATTATGGTATATTAAGGTATACCTTAAACTTTGATATCGCTGCCAATAACGACCCCAAGGCCTGGGTCAGATAAATGTTTATAATTATATTTCAAAACATTGCCTATTAATAATAATAATTAATATATGATAATCTAGCATATTAAAAAAATGATCTATACAATTTTTAGTTTAGGAGTATGATAAAAATAAACATTATTTATTTACTTTAGTATTATTAACCATGAAATAAAAATGTTCAAATTTGCATACTTATTAACGTAAACGAGAATCGAAAATCGAAATACGTTTTATCAAAAACAGTGAGTAATATTTTGCTAGCACATGTTATTTAAGTGATAAGCTGAACTGATAAGCATAGTATATTTAACGCAGAAAACCGGTCCCCGATTGCATAGACTATATAGTAATAACACAGCTACACAGTTTTATTTATCTAACTAATCTGTGGTAACAGTATAATATTAAATTTTATTTATTTTTCATTATTTTATGGTAAATGGTAATAATTTTTACCAAAATAATATCAATATAATTTATAAATTTATAAGAATACAGCCGTAATCCAGCAGCCATTAACGATCATACAAAATAATAAACATGATCGTGCATTATACAAAAAATTGTTTTTGAACTTTTTTGTTTCAATGTTTTATCATTTATTAAAATTTAAATACAATTTTTTCAGTTTCAATTTTGAAGTTGGCTTGAGTGTGCTCACCACTCCCAAAATTGTTTATGATCCTTCCACCAAATTACATAGTATGGGAGGGCGTTATAATAAAATAATTGGATATCCCATGGATACGTGTCTTCACGTTTTTTAATGAAATTGTACTCAAGCTAATATAGCTTCAGAGCCCAAGTACAATATTATGTATAATTATTTCTAACATCCGTTTTAGATGACAAACGTACAAAGCATATGCTTTTGTTTAGATATCTTGCATATATAAACGAAATTATTGATTATATTTACCAAAAAAAAACATTTATTTTATTAAATCACGAATGAATAAATGGTTTTAAATTGTTATTTAATTTTCTTGAAACCAAACAGTTCCCCATCCGAGTTTCTCAGACCCAGAGAGAAATTTAATTACGTTATGTTGGCAACAATGATGGAACGGTAAGGACTAAGCAGTAAATATAGCAGAACAAAATACAATTTTAATAAGTATGATTTAATTTATTAGGTACTTAGCAAAAATAATATACTTAATTATTTATAAATAAATAATTAAATATTTTATAGTTTTTGTAATAAGTATAGAGAGAGATAACAACATTTATCAAAATAATAAAGCGGACTGCCTGTCAACCAGGTTTCCTATAGTGGCACAGTATGTATATCTATCGGACATTTTTGTTAGTATAAATTAAAAACACATAAAATTACATATAATAGTTATAGTCTAAAACACATAAGGTAGTTTGATAAACATTGCAATAAATGTGTATATATATATATATATATATATAGATACAAAAATATAATAAAAAGTATGGAATATAAAAAAATAAAAAAAATACAACACACAGAATATAGATGTCTATGGATTATGTTTAAAGTATCCTTCATTATATCTAGACATATTGTTCTTTTCTAAGCATATGAGTTTTAAAGAAGTCCAATATTAATTTGGAGGCAATGCCCCTAGCACCAAACCATAGACCTTTTGCATCCCAGTTATCGATACCGATGCTGCAGGTATGGTATGGTAGGTAAATAGATATTTCTTTTTTCCTCGTTTACTTCATCAATTGATTCAAATTATTTGTCTCTTATCTGATTGTTGAATCGAGTATTAGGCCTTTGCTCTTTATACAATCTAAAACTATTATGTCCGCCCGTCTGTTTTGGTTTCCTGCTTCTGATTCCGCTATACAATGATTTAAATACCCGTTCCCGGCACAGGAACGTTTAAGAAGCACATCACGCCTATGTCGTATTTAAATCGGTAATTTTGTATTTTTTGGATGTTTGTATATATTTAGCATAAATAAAAACATTATACATTTACAGCATTACTAATAGGTCATTAAATATAGTCTAGGAATATATTTCCGCCACTAAATTGTGTAGAAACAGCGTAAATTTTATAAAATTGTCAAAAATAGTCGACTTTGGGCCGCTTTTCTGGCCTAACTTTTGCACTTACATAAAAATGCATAATAAGCAAGCAAACTTATAGATAATTATGTGACAAACAACTTTTACACAAAAATTTTTGTTCTAAGTATAACATTGACATTTTCATGTCTTAGCTCTGGCACATAACCAAAAAAAGCGTTATCACACGGAGATGGGGTTGAGAGTGAGAGATATGAGATAGGGGGTAGAAAATAGGGGTTGGTGATAGTGGGTGGGAAATAGGGGTGATAGATAAGGGTAGGAGATAGGGGGTGAGAGATATGTTGTACGTTCAACGTTCAAATTAGAACTAAATGATAAATTCAAAATAGTTTAAGAGCCCAAATTCTCTATGAATTGCTTTAAGTCAATTATTAAACACTACAATATAGTCAGAAACTTGATGTTTTAATATACTATCTTGTTATCATTATCTATCATTCCACCACCATTTCGTGGTTGCAGACTCGGCTAAAAAACTTTTTTTTCGAGATTTTAGAAAAAAACTGATTTTGGGGGTGTTCAACCCCCTCTAAAAAAAATAGCAAAGGGGGGGGTGGGATTTGTAGTATGTTAGTTAGGGGACCTCTTTAATGATTTTCCAAAAAGTCCCGCTTGTTACCTCGTCTTTCATAATTGACCCCATTTTTGGTCTATCTTGCCTACACTATAAGTTTATAGGTCCATGGTAAATAAATAATAGTATAACGTAAATCATTCTAGTCAAAGACCCAAAGTAGTTATAAGTAGGTATAAACAACAACAATAATATTATTATTATTATTGTACATTTACAACTTCTTTGGTAGATAACAACGTCTAAGCTTTCCATTGGTCTACTCTCCGCGATGTAATGTGATAAGAATAACGTGTTAACTGTATTCTGTAAACCTAATTTGTTGGAATTGACCATGGCTTGTTTATAGTTTTATATATTTATGTACGCACTACGCGCATCGTTTGACGGTATTCGCTTTCAGTTAGTAATTACTAATTTTTATGTGCTCCGTGCTCGCTTGTCGCATTTGTTAATTGCAATGGCTGTATTTTTATTTGTGTGTAAAGTCAACTTTGTAGTAATGCACTAAAATCACCGAAAACCTGAAACAATTAGGTTTGTAGGTACCATAAGTCTTGACACGGTAAGTTTTATATTTTCTCGTAAATTATATGATTTTAATGTACTATTACGTATCTCATTGTCGTTAATCATAACTCGAAAGTAAGCATCTTGAAGGTTGTAAGTATTTAAGTTCTAAACTACCAACCATTGCATAATAAGTATTAACCTACGTATTTTCGTTCTTCACAACCACTGTTATCAGTAAAACTGGCGAATACAATCCAAAAGGTTATATTTATGACAATTAACGATAATTGGTATTATGACTCAGAAAATCGTGTTACAACATGAATGCGACAAAATTAACAATTAACAATAATGAAACAGTAGATTACTACTATATTTATTTGTATTGAACAACTAATGGTTTAATATTTTAATTAACATGTAATAGTTTTAAATAACATTAATTTTAAATTAATGTGAAACATTTGAAGTAGTATGATATTTTTTTATCGTGAATAATAATGTACATATTAAATTATATTTTTTTTTATCAACATTTTTTATTTATTTAATGGTTTTTTTTTAAATTTATAATATCTTAAATACAATAAACTAGTAAACATACAACAATGATTTGACTCATTATAATGTATTATATATTTGAGGTGTCTAGTTTCAAAACCAGGTATACAATTTTTGAAAATTTTCACAAAACAACAAATAATTTCTTTAGATAGAACCAACCAAGATGTTCAAACAAACACAGTTTGAATTAGTTTTATTCTTTATTTGATATTCAATAACAGTTTTACATAACATGTAATACATTGTGGTCATTATGAGTTATAAACATATGTTTTAAGCCTTAAAGGTTTTTTACATTTTTATTTTGGAGCTCTATAAATTGGGTTCAAATAAGTATAAAAATACCCCCCTTGTCTATGTCTTGATTAAGTAGTATGGTTTTCCGGGTATATTTGTAATGTGCTGCAAGACATTTTTATTTGTTTTCACTGTTTTTATTTTATAAATTAAATTTCCTGTGAGAATAATTCTAGCTAAAAGAGTTGCTAATTTTCAGGGTTATAAAACATAATTTTTTTAAAAACTAAACTAACAATATTAAATATACTATAAACACTTAAAAGTTAATTAAAAATATTGTTTTGTTTTTAGTCTTTTAGCTTTATAAAAAAATTCTTAATATTTTTACCTTAAAACCTAAAATTTTTTTATTTTTAGCTTCGATGTTTATATTTTTTATTCATATATATTAAGTTATTTGCTTGAAATAAATTTCAGATATGCCTCCCCAAACATTAAAAAGGCAAGCAGATGATGTAAGCTTTAATAATGGTACGTACTATGTACTGTTTGCAATGAGTTGTCTTTCATGATGGAATAACCTTATTATTCTCTTATACCATATTGTATGATTTGCTTCTATTTATTATAGATGATTTAAATGACGACGATTTTGACGTCACATGGGGTGGAAAAAGAACAAGATATATATATAATTGCACTATACAATCTCCCGATCTATATACAAATAATTATGACTCGGATAAAACTGAAAGTGTGTACAGTGTCCAGTCTAAAGCAACAAGTAATTTGTTTATCAATTATTAAAGTTTGACAAATTAAATTTTATATTAATTACAAGTATAAGTGTATAACATACAAGTTAATACTATGTCTTAAAATTACTGTAAAAAGTTATTAGATATACCAACTCAAGATAATTTTAGTAAACACAGTAAGTGATTAAAAAATCATTTTAACTGTGTTAAAAATTATTAAAATAGATTGTTTTGTTTATATACTTAAGCCTACTTATGGACATTTTTTAAAATAAAGAAATTACAACTGAGTTGTATATGTCAGCAGTTTTATAATATACATTGGAGCTTTTTAAATCCCAGTAGAAAGAGCTATAAGTGTTGTGTGCCAGAAAGGTGTCATTCAATATTTTTTCATATAACATATGCCATAATTTTAAATACAGTTAAAATATAATACCTAATTACTAATTGATTATAATACATTTATTCAGGCTACTAGTTGTAAAAGGGCGTATAGCAACTTTTGATTAAACTAAGATATCTTTTTTCAAATTTCTTTAGTCCTTAGCCTGTAATATTGGTTTCTGCCAAAAGTGCACTTGCGAATCTTTTGCAAAACTAAGTTATTAGGTACTGTTTCAAAATTAGAAACATTGAATTAACAGAATAGTGATTAGCTGTATTATATTTGCATGTGTGTACAAGAGATTAACATAAATATTATCAGATATTACTTTAGAGTGCATTTCAATAAGAAACACATATAGAACTATTTTAATTGACCAAAATTATTTATACATTTTATTTTTTAGTCGAGGTTGTAGATGAAAGGGATTATTCATCAGTATCAAGTTGTTGTGGATCGGACTGTACCTGTAATAATGTAAATTCTAGTCAATCAGACCATACTGAGTTTGAGGTTGTAAGTTCATCTTCAACAAATGGGTTTGATTTCTCTACATCATCAAGTTTATCAACAGAATATGAGGTTTATCTTTAATAATTGTCTTTATTTTAAATGTTTACAGTGTAGTACTAGAATCTTTTCAACTTAATTTTGTTTATATATATATATATATATATATGTGGGTGTGTGTGAAAGTTAATATACTTCTTTTTTTGCAGATTTTTAATGATATTGTAAGTGTTGATCCTTTACTGAAGTCAGATAACAGTTACTTTCCAGATGAAACAGATGTCCAAAATGTAGATTCAAAATCTAATTTACCGCCACCTGCTTGTTTTAAAACGTGTCTGAAATGTAAAAAACAAAACCCTAATCCATATTTTCAATATTGTTATAAATGTTTCAGAGTAAGTTAAAAATAACAAAAATAATTTTATATTTTAAGTGAAACTAGCTGGTGAAGAACTGATTATTTTTAAGGGAGGCTCATAATTATTAAGGGGAACGAAACTACCTAATTTTACACAAATAAATACTAAAATAAGAAGTCACTTTCTGAAGTGTCTAATGAACCAATTTTAAACAACCACTTTTTGTTACGAAGTTTAACATCTTCTCTATGGGAGCTAAAAGACTGGTATTTTTAATTTTTAAAATTGTATTAAAAACTTTTATATTTTTACTTTTTTAATGTTTTTTCTAATAAATCGTAAATAATTTTCTAATTTCCAGCTAAATAAAAAATCGGCTTTTTAGTCACCATAGATAAAATAGTAAGCTTCTCATAAACAAATTGAAAATTGAAATTCGTCCAATACATACGCCCAAAAATTACTTCTACAAAAGCCATTTTTTTATCAAACTTTCACCTTAACTTTAAAAGTTTTATAATTAGAAAAACGTAATATATTTTTACATTAAAATTAGTTGGCATACTTAAAATGGTTTCTAGATGATATTTTGTCAAATAATGTCTATCCTTTGCCCCTTAATAAATAGTGCTTTCCGTTACCCTTAAATATGATAATAACGTTACCATGTATATCAATAAATGTTTGTAAATAATTATAAAAAGTAATTATAAAAGAAAAATTATAAATTGTGGTTATAAAAACAACTAATTGTACAATACTAATAATTTAAAAAAAGAAACCTTGCTGTTATTTTGAATACAGTATTTTATTGAACACACTAAGGTTTATAATATTTGATATTAGTAGCAAAGGATGAAGGAGGGCTTGCAGGCCTTTCTTAATAAATGTTACGACTAATTAAACCTATGTGATTAAAATACTGATAAAAACATAACATTTTTAAAATATATTCTCTACTTTACAGTACCGAATGCAGATTTTTGAAGATAAGCCTTTGCCTAAAAATCTTAAGCAGTTATACAAAACGTCTAACGATAAAACTGATGGTTCATTACCTAATTCTCAAGAATCTGGTTCATTTGGTTTATCTGGTCTACAGTTATCTCAAGAAGAAGCTAATGAATTGTCTGACCCTAGAGATGATGCTGACAAGACTGACAACTTATGTAACATTTGCTTTTTGAGGCCGAAAAATGGTATATTTAACCATGGGAAAACTGGTCACATATATTGCTGTTACAAGTGTGCGAAGCAAGTTTGGAATAAATCTGGTAAATGTCCAATTTGTAATAAAAAAATTAAATTTGTTACCAAAGCGATTATTGTTTAGTGATGTTAAATTTTTGGCTAATGTTAATGATAATACAGGGATTATAAATATACTCAGGAAAATAAAATTAATTCATAAGAGTATTTTGTTTATTTCTTTGTCTTATTTAGTAATTCAATTATTCTTAAAATGTTTTTTTATTCCCATTAAGATGGTTGGTGTGACTGAGTATGATAGGATGACATTGTAGTAAAGCATAAATGCTAATTTGTTATGCAATTTCTTTTTCTGGTTATACTCCTTCTGAAGGTATACCCTTGCTGGTCAGTTATACGCTTTCCACTCATAGTAACTCCGACCTTCCTAATTAATTTCCTCCATTTACTATCCAAAAGTATATAGTAGGAATGAAAATAAAACTACAAATAATTTACTTGAACATCTATCAATATTTTTTAAACATATTACATGTTTATTTGGATTAATTTAAATTGTGGGTATGTATAAAAGATTTTCTTTTACAAAATATAATGTATATATAAAAAAGCCAGCACAGTGATTATCACTTTCAAACAAACGCTTTAATGCGAAATCTGAAGATAGTAAGCATATTAAATATCAATATATAAGTATTTTAAAAACAAAAATGAGTTATTAGTATTAGGGTAGACACAGTTACGGTTTTTTGTCTATTTTTTAAAATAATTTGCTACTGTTGTTACCAATAGATCAATCGACAACATATTTAATGAAAATATGTTTGGGATACCTGTTAAGTTGGTTCACTCTCAAATAGCAATCTAGATATTTACTATGTTCAAAGTATAATTTTCCACTTTTTTGGGTTCTAAAAAAATTACACATTTTTGAGAAAATTGTAGATGTTATAGCCCCACTCTAAATTTACCATTATTCTAATTTTCAGACCTTAACCCCTAAAACTACACTTAAGAAAGTCAAATAAAGAAAAACTTTATACTCCTTCTAGGGAAAATTTTTTTTTATATATATTTGATTTGACAATGTATATTGATAATACTATGTATAAAGAATATTATATACAAATTGGAGATAATTCTACAATTTTTAAAAAAGTACGGTTTCTAATCTATAGATTTGCTACACAAAGTAATCGGTTTGGCGGCCTAAAATATATTGTGGTACTAGACACAATAATTTTTTTTCAAAATGATTGCATTAAAATTTCCTTCACAGCTTCGCATCAAAGCTAACAAAATAATAATAATATTTAAATTTTATATAAATTGGTTATTATACTTTTAAAATGTAAAGCCCAAAGGAGTTTAAACTGTGTAAACAAGCAATAAAGAACGTTTAAAAAGTGATTGATGAATATAACATTTTATATTTACAACATATTATCATAGTCTATAAGAAATAGAAATGCACGTCGCGGCTTTATGTCGAATTACCAAAAGTTAACAAGATAAGCCCTCTGGACTTGGGTAACTGACGAGGTTAGGTACTTCTGTAGACCAGAGTTTTTCCAATCGAACGTTGCAATGATGATGTCTCAGTATTATTATTTTTATGTGAATTAAAACAAGTTGAGTGAGGTATGTTTCTGAAAAATTCAGTCTAGAAAACGCTGAGAATAATTCTAAATTAAATACTACTGAAGAATGAAAAATAGCTTTTGTTTATTACTCGTTCGTTTATATTGTACATTGATGTGCATATGATTGAACTCCGGGTTTAAAAAAAAAAGACGGTTCTCGATAAAAAGAGTGGTAACACTTCGCTCTCGGAAAATACATGCTGGCTTATTGATTTAACATAACCGATTTAAGACGTACTTTACTCTTTTGGAACTGCGCTGTGTTATCATTTTGCCGCCATTTTCCATGGCAACAGTTTAATGACTTAAGGTACGCTCACCTACTTGCGGATTACTGCCATACTCTAATTATGTTTTCAACATACGTTACGCGCTACGGACTATAGGTGTTGACTGTCATCTGTTTGCGTCAAAACTTTAAACTTTTATGAAAGTGTCTGTTGCATTAAATTTTTTTTAGCTAAAAATGTATAATTAAAGTATGTTTTTGGTTTTAAATTAGGTATTTATGGTTGGAATGTAGTTCACTAAAGGCACGCAGAAAATTGTTTTTAAAAGTTAAAATTTATAAAAAAAATTATCTTAAAATTCGTGAGTCAAGACATTAAAATATACATTTTAATTACGTTAATAGGCGTAACTAGGAGGGGGGAGGGTAGACTTAACTTCGCCAGCCTCAATTTTACACCCTCCCTCTAATATCTCCAGGCTACATTACAAGCTTAACATTTTTTTTATGTACTTTAGTTAAATTTATAAACATTTTAAAAATGATATCGTAATAGATTTTTTTGTAAAAATAAATTGTTTTGATACAAATTTATTTGTTTATCATAAATTACTATTGTTTTCTGTATACTAAACCGGAAGCAGCCAGAGGTTACTGGTTATGCGATTGCCAATCATAATAACAAGCAACAGTCAGTTTTATTTAAAACAGAAAAATCAAAAGCTCCAACTCTAACTAGTAACTCTAGCCAACTAATTTACGTATTATACTATTTATTGTTTTGACTTTTTATTCCTATTAGTTTTATAATATGTTAAATGTTTAAAAATGAAATATTTAAACCAATAGAATATTATGAATAAATTGCTGTTTTGTGATACTCGGTTGCATGAGGGGGATTTTAGAAACTAACAGCTGGGTCTATAGGGTGGGGGGGGCTATATAGAAATTCAGTTTTGGAAATAATAGTTATTTTTAAAATTGCTGGTGTGTGAGGACTGATGTTTTCTATGCTAAACCCTTATTAAAAATTATAGCCTAGGACTTAAATGTTTATAGACCATCTAATTAGCTTAACGATTATAGATAATGTAAACAATTTAGTTATGTAAGTGACTAAATTGCTGAAGAATTTAGGTATATACATTTTATTTACTCCCCCCATTATGTAAGGAGGTGACAGACTGAAGGAGATCTATGACCAACAACTTACGATAATAAATTTCAAAACTACTGATTCATACTATCCGGAAGCTGGATTTCTTTCAAATAAAAACAAAAAAAATAAATAAATGAAAAATATAACTGCAATTTTGTTTAAAAAAGTAAGTTGCCAATCACCTGAAATTAAATTTAGGATCAGTACTTACTACCTATATTTTCCATTTAAGCAAACTGCAAAATAATAACAAGACATCACAAAAAAGATGCCCTCAAAATATTGGCATGGTTTGATAATTTTTTTTTAAGATTTAACGTGTTTATGTTAAATATACAAAATTTGTGAAAAACACGGGTTTCCGATCATGAAAAAAAAACTAGTCCCGATTTTTTCATACGTTCTATAATATGTTAAGGTTACTTAAGAGGGCGTCGCACCGCCCATTTTTAAGGAGTAAAGTATAGGCATTTTTTTACAAAATCTAAATTTAAAGGTTAAACTGTGATGTATAATTATTAGTTAAATAACTAGGACTCTATTTTGGTAGTTAATTTATTTTTTGGACATCACAGCATCCTTGAAAGTGATTAAAATTTTTTTTTTTATCTCTGCATGTTTAAGCAGACTTTTTCATTATTCCAATTATTACGCTCAATACATAGTTAAGAAATAACAACTATTTTATCATTTTTAAATGACTGTAACTTTTCAAAATATGAATTTTTTTTTTTAAAACGCACCATCTTGCCCTCCGGAATATTGTTTTCTTTTAATTTTATAATGGGTGCTTTTATTCTAAAACCAAAATTAAGCGAGTTATTTTCAGTTGGCGTAAACATGTTTTTACCACTGAAAATCACCGGTGTGATGCCCTCTTAAGAGTTCTAACTCCAGAAAAATGATCAACTAAAAGGTCCTCTAATTACGGCTAAAAACCCAAAAACCATGCATTCCCCCTAGGGAGGGGGTGGGAAATGGGTATAATTTAATTTTGAGACTGTTGACGTATAGGGGCATGCCAAATAAATATTCTTTATGAATTTCAATTCTATTCGACCCTTTTTTCTCGAAATTATAGCCAGTAAAAGTTGAAACTTTAATACAAATTTGTTTTTTTTTTATTTTTTCCAAATTTTAACTGTGAAGAAATTAACTTTTTCAACTTTTATCCCCCTATTCCCAAGTACCAACTAGTTAAAATTTGTGGTTTATAGAGTTGTTGCTCGAAGGAATTGGTCCAGTATTAAAAAAGTTACAGTGTATAGCCTTGTAGTTTGTTAACATCTTGTGTACCTACTTTATATTTAATGTATAGGTTGTTAGAACTTGAAACGATAATAATTTAAAAACTATTATTATTACATTAACGATTTATTACTAGCGTTCTCCGGACAAATATATCCTATATTGTCATTGAAGAGGTACACGTTTAAAACTGAGTAATCTGTATTAGGTATAATACCTAATATACTATATTACGTCTAGATGTCTATTCCATGTATGAGGATAATAAAGGAGTTGGTAAAAGTTTAAGTTCTTGAAATAAAGCGATGGCCTCTCAAACTTTTTTCTGAGCTCCAATATTTCAATGACATAAACCTTGCACTAAATCGTCCCATTCTCGAATGTTTTCTTATTCGTTTTCACGGACGGTCGGACAAAGGCAGCCCGGTGAACGTAGTAGCCATCCAGCGGTGGCTTGATGGCACCAACAGATGGAGTCGCAATGCCACTGCGTCACCATCTTTCTAACTTGTCCGTCTCGTTGAAATCTATCTTTAGGTTAGTTGTGGTCTGGGAATAATCATATACTTAGATAAAAATGTATAAAATAAAATAACAATATGGTACGCGAAAAAAAAGTTTGTGAAAAAAAGCGTTTGTGATGCGCTGGTTCAAGACACTGAATTAACACCACTTTCATAATATTATTGACAATAATAACCTTTTATAAGAATCTTGCGCAAAAACAATAATAATATCGTCTACTAATGTTGTCTAGCCCACGGCCCACAGCTCGTTTAGTCCGACTCCACCACGACTGTCGTACTCGTGGGCGGTTTGTGGGATACTAGGGATAGACGATAGTTTATCGGTCTGGGACAGAGAATCTGTGCTGAAGATATATCGTCCGAAATAGGGCGATAATAGTCTTCTGCACCCTAAACTAATTTTTTTCCGCACCTAGAGGGGGTGAAAATAGTAGTTAGTATGGATAAAAAATGCCTGACAATTTGTTTACATGTAATTTATAATTTAATTGGTATTTGGGATTTTAAATATATACTGTACTTTTAATATTTTACTATAACTTGTACTTTTATATATTACTCGATAGCCAATACATTTCACTTGTTTCAACATTATCAAAAAAAAAAATGCGTCCGGACTCCGGTGTTCAACAATGAGTCTAGCTATCACAGTTTAGACATTTTTTTTAAAAATTGAACGATACAATTGTTTATTATTTGATATGATTCTAACTTGCTAGTCTGTGAATAAAAAATCAGTAGGTATGTATAAGTTATATCAACGGGGGTTGTTATATATATTATATAATATATAAACTATGGATGAGGGGTGGTGCCCAAAAAGGTAAAAAATGCGTTTCTACACTTATAAATTAGGTCGAGTTGAGCACTACTGATTTTACATAATAATATAATATTATAAAAAAAATGTAATTTCCTGACTGATTAAAAAGACCAAGTATATATGAAGTTAAGCGCTTAGCTTAGCCGTTAGCGCGACGCGGTCATTCGAGAATTGTATGTGTTGGAAAGGGGTGCGGGCGGGTTGTAATAAACAATATGATATTATGTGACGTAAAATATCGAAAATCCATATCACAGAAGTACCACCATACCGAAACTTTTTTACCTTTTAGCTCGTAGATGGCGTACAGTACATTCCGTGTAATTGTTTTGGAGAAATTCGCTAGTCGTTCGCCAGGCGCAGGCAGTCAAGTTTTAGGCGCACGAGCGTTCGCTCTTTGCTTGGGCGTGTGTGTTTTGTCGTTGATTTTTGTCAATAATATTATATAATATTCAATTTTGTTTCACGAGTAATAATTTATATTTATGTACTCGTTGTGCGTCAGTATTGAATACCCGCGTTTCAAATATATTTAATTTAAACGAGTTACTGACATTATAAATTGTTTATATATGTGAATAAAAGCTCGCTTCGTTCGAGAAATACCCATAATATTTTGTGCTTTTGTGCGTATAGACGAAGCTATTTAAAATGTTTAACGGAATCACCAGTCAAGTAAGCAGTTGGATTGGTAAAAAACAAGAGGATGCCGAAGAGACGGTGCCTTCCCCGAAAACTGAACTGCCCGAAGATGTCGAAAAAAAGCCCGAAAGGTATTCGCTATTAAAATTGTTTTAGATTATAATATGGTTTAAATATAAGTCTTATTTATAGTCCTACAAAACCGACTAGTAAGTTAGAGATGCTGGGTAATGTGAAAAACCAAATGTCAAGCTGGATAGGGAGTGGTATATCCGGACTCCGTAAGAGTGACAGTGAAGTTGTTCCTGATCCTCCGGCCGAACTTTTACAAGAAACTACAGAAGATGCTAAAGAAAAAGAAGATGATAATTCAAGGTAAGTTATAGATAAAGTAAATTAAAATTAAATAGGTATATAGGTACCGTTTAAAACATATTATAACTTGATCTTTTGATTTTTTACATTGTAGTGCAACTGGAGATCCCGATACTCCCGTCTCGGAAACTGAAGACGATTTGGGAAACCCTCAAGGAAATGGTATCAGTTTTTTTAAATTTTTATTCTTAATCAAATTATAATTTAACATAATATATATTTTTAATATCTTTTATTCATACTTAAATATTAGATTAACTTAAACAATTAAGTTATTACAATTTAGTTTTTATTCAATTGAATAATAGATATATTTTTTTGTTTTAAAGCTGTAAACTACTATTATTTAAATAACATTAGAATCATATTAAGAATTCACCTATAGATTTTAAAAACATGTATTGAATTTATTACTATACATTCTACTTTCTAGAGAAAATACTATATTAGCTGTATGCTATCTAGTAAATGTTCTAGATTTTCTACTAAGGTGCTTCTTTTTTTTTTAGTGTCTACTAAAGCTCTTCAAGGCGCAAAGTCAATTGGGAGCTTTTTGTACAGTGCGGTAAATAAAGCAGGTAAAACTGTAAGTGAAGCAGGGGCAAAAATTAAGAAAACTGTTGGAGAAAATGTAAGTATAGTTAAATATTTCAGTATAATATAAATAGTTAAAAATATATGCCTCCAATTTCTTCGTTTTCAAATATTTTCGTTAAAAATTAAACAATACAACACATTTTAATAATTTTGTTTGTTAAACCTAGTTATCATTATTTTTTTAATTATATATTTTATGTATTAGTTAAATAACATATGTTTAACAATGTTAAATTATTGTAAAACTAATTTTAATTAAAATTTGGCCGTCCTGTTGGTTATACAATATAATATATGCATCTACATATATATATAACAATAGTGTTCAAAAGAACAGGGATGCTGTTTAACAGCAGTAGCAGTTTATTGATCCATCTGTTTCCCTTGCTCCCTTCACTTCTCACCCTTACCATTGTACTGCTTGGAGCAACTACTCTCAACCTTGACCCAAAATGAATATTATATTTAATAATAATAAATCAATTAAATCAAATGTAATAAAAATGTCTTATAAATTATTATATTAACTACTAATACAAGACAATAATGGGTTTTATAAATATTTTAAGTTATGCTTCACTACATCTTCTGGTTATCTTATAGGAAATAATTTAACTATTAATTTTAACCTTCAATTACTTAAATATTGCAAAAAACTTCCATTATAATAAAAATGTATGATTATAGTAATTTTTATACGTGATACATTTTATATGTATAAAAAAAACATTTAAACATATTTTATACAGCTAATTACCAATTCGAAACTAGTTTATGAATTATAATAATTTTCAAAGTTTAATTTTACTAGAAACCATGTGCATGAGACTGCAAATAGTTGTTTTGTGTTTTTTAATTTTAGTTATTTTTTAATAATACAAAGATTTATCTTTACGAATATTCTATAAATAATTTGTTTAAAGAAAGTTTGGAAAACAAATTTAACGTTTATATGAATATCAGAATATTAGTAGTAAATACATTTAACTGTTGACTATTATTTTAAAATTTTTAATTTTGTGTAGGTAACTGTAGGAAATTTTGATTTGAGGGGTAAAGAATGTCAGGTAGGTCAAGCGGGATTCCAACCATTTCAGATAATTAGATAATAATAAATTAAATCGAATTTATTATTTTATTTAATTAATAAGATAATTTTATTGGTTATGTTCCACCCTACTGTTGGTATTCTAATGGCACCGCTCTGTAACCTTAATATCATTATAATTTATTTAAAAGTTGACTTACGAAATTATGTGTTTAGTAGACACTATGAACTGGTTACATATTACACTAACTATTGATTGTAACTATCAGTGTATATTATGATTCAATTTGATCTATAACTATTATAATAGTTGAAAAACAAAACTTCAAACAAATATTAGGTATATTATGTATACCATTTTGTACAATAATAATTTACAAAGACAACAAATGACCAATAACAATTATGATATAATAAAATAATGTACCTAATCACTAATCAGTATCTACTCAAATTATAGATTCTTAATAATAACTTGTGTTTTCAAACTTAATTTATGACAAATATTTTTAGGGAATACTTGGAGAGTTGAACAAAGAGCAAGAGACATTTTTAAAAGATAAAAAGGGTAATGGTGTAGCAGCAGTTCCACCCTGGGTTGGTCTTCCAAACGAAGAGGCAGTTAAGGCTGAATGTTTGTCATTGTCTACGGTTAGTATTAAATTTTGCAAAAAAGTCTATACTAAAGTATGTGCAGTTTTCAATAATCATATATACATTTGAAAATTAAAATATATTTTTACATGTTTATATGTGATTTTGAAATTGATAATTTGTATACTGCTTACTCTCTGCAAACAAACATTTATTATTTTAGGATAGACGTAATTTTGTACGCAGTCCCCCAGTTGGAGTAGATTTCAATTTTGACTACGCAACATCCTATCCAGTGGCTTTGTCTATTCTATCTGAAGATCCAAATTTAGAAAAAATGCGATTTGATCTAGTTCCAAAAATGTAAGTAAACAATTTAAAATCATCACAAAATGTGGACATTTTACGATTGGTTATTTTATGTTTAAAAATAATATTGTACTTTAGTATAAACGAGGAAAGTTTCTGGCAAAACTATTTCTACAGAGTTAATTTAATATGCAGTGCAAACAATCTGGAGTCGTTAGAAACAAAAGATTATGATATAACATCTAATACTACATCAGATTTGACAGGTAATTTTGAGAAAGAAAAAAAAATATATATAACTGAATTTTTAATACACTAAACACAATGTTAAGTACAATTTTTTTAATATAGGCACAAAATATATTGCTTAACTGTTAATAATCTAATGCCGCATGTAATTATTTAGTTTTTAGAGTATTATATATAGTTTAAAATTTTTTACTTTAATTAAGTAGTGAACTTTTATTCATAATTTGCTTCTTAAAGATTATTATATTGTAAAACTAGACACCGGTGACAATGATACTTGCAATTATGTAAAAGAATCAGAGTTTGTATCAGATACGTTTGCTGAGCATGATTCAAACGAAATAAATGAAATAAGAGAAAGTTTGAAGAAAAGTTTGGGAGTTAACTCTTCAGAAAACGGTGAGTTAAATAAATAGTTAATTCTAAATATAAATAAAAATTCATAATTTCCTGTTAGGTTAGGTGTTTATATATTATTTATTCAAATAAAATAGCAATCTAATACATTTGACTAAATTATTTACAATAGAATAAATAAATTTATAATAGGGGTAGGACATTAAGATCAACTTTTCTACAGTATTACTTTTAAGCAAACTTTTACAATATTTTTATACCAAGAACTGTTTATCAGTATAAAATCGTACATCTATTTTTTGTTTTTTTTTTGTAAATTTAGTTTGAAAGGCTCACTAGTATTTTTAGTATAACTGAAGAAAAAAAACACTTTGAAAGTTGTATTACTCAGATTGATTATTAACAAAACAATATACTTATAATAATGAACTATTTGACATTATCTTTGTTGACAACTATTTTACTTTATTCCTACTTAAACAAATATATTTACATAATGATACTATATTTCTAAATTATCTTACATTTTAATGATTTAATTTTGTAAATGTATACAAGATGATCAATTTTAAGTGATTTACGCATTTACAATATTATCAAACTTCAGATTGTTCTTGATTTAAAGATGTAATACATTGTATATGCTAAAACTTAAATTCCTAAGGTTGATAAAGCACTAACAAAAGTTTGGATATTTTTATATTATAGTAAAATAACTAAAATCTAAAAAGAAATTGATAACAATTTATTAGAATATTTACGCTTGATTCAATATAAAAGAGCTTATCCACTTCTTCAGTGAATAAGTCGGTGACTTCTATCTTAATTTACGTTTTGTGTATTTTTGAGTAAGTCGTTTTATAAATATACCCGAAAAAAATACATAATTATAATTAGCTATTTATAACTTTTTTGAGATCATTATACTTATTATTAGAAATGTAAGTAATAATTTTAAATAGGATATAGCATTTTTTCGAAGCACTATTTAGGCATTGTTAAGTAAACACAAACATTTTATATTTTTAATTATGCTTTTTATTCCAATTTTTATTAATTTTTTTTAGAACAATAAAAATGCATGGAATTTTTTAATTTGCAAGTATTTTAAGAAATCAAGTACCATTTTTTTTTTCATCACCATTGTTTTATATATTATTCAAATACATCTACAAATGGTTTTTTTTATATATTTTTTCTCTAAGTAATTTTATTGAAGAAAAACATAAATTAATAGAATGAAAACTAACATTATTTAAATAAACACTGCCATGTAAATTTATTTTCATAAATCATAGCCATATAAATGCATAATACATTTTAGAAATGTAGATACATTTCTAAAAACCAAACGTATATTTTTTAACAGTTTGAAACGATGACAAAATTTCAACAACAAGACGACTTAACAGCTTCATTTCCTCTTCTCTAAAATTTAAAAATGTATTTTATCTTCTATATGCTATCCTTTATCCATATGTACAATTAAAATTTGTACCTGTTGTGTGAATCTATTAATATTTTTTCCTATATCCCCGTGTGTTTACTAAACATTTTCGGACACGGTTTGTAGAAGAACATTGGGAACATGAGTTGGAGGCTGAACTGCAAGAATACGAGATTGTAAAAGACAACGAGGATGGCCAAACAAATAACATTAAAACCGGATCCAATGATGTATATGACCTCAATTAAATTTTGCTATTCCAAGTAGGTTATATAGATTTTATTGTTACACAATATATTTTATTATTATTGTTTTTGCTTATAAAACTGATGTTTTTATTTAGTATTTAGACTATTGAATAATACTTGGCTGTTTTTTAAACTTCTACCTATCCAAATATTTATTACCCATTAATAGTATACTTAATAAAAAAAATATAATGTTTGTTAATTAGTGATAACTATTTATTAATTATTATTATTATAATTACAATAAATTATTTATAGTAATACTTAAAGCAATAATTTATTTTTATTTTATCATTGCATAAATGTATTGTATACACTTTATGGCCGACATGATCTTTCTCTTGCATTTCATTCAATTTTCAATATACATGTACCATTCCATATAAAAATCTGAAAACATATTTTATTAAGGAAATTTAAGAGAACAAAATGTATTTTGCATCTTAAAATTATAGTAGCCAATAGTTATTATTTCATATAACAAAATGTTAAATGATTAGATTATTTCTTTAATTCGTGAATTTTTTATTTTATTTCTCTACGCGTGTAATATAAACAATTTTTTACCTAACTGTAATGAAAAAAAAAGAATATGAACTAGAGTATTATAAAATAAATTATCTTTTTATTAATAAATAAATTTTTGAAACACATTATATTTGATAACATGTGAGTTCCTAATTAATTACCACACTATTATTTTGTTTATAAGAATTATTCCTAAAACTTCTACACTATTATACATGTAATGTAATGAATATTCCAAAAATATATTATTGCTGTAATTTTGTTTTATTTTACTATTAGAGGAAATTTAAAATGTAAACCTAAGCTTACGTTCACCATACTTACATCTTTCTATTCCATACATCTATGGTACATAATTTTAATATATTTTGTTTTTAAATCTAATTTTTTTCTTAGCTAAATTTAGATACCAGGTATGTTTTAAAAAAAATGTTAATGTAAATGATATTTATGGCTTGACAGAGAAGCTACGATAAATTAAATGGAATTTCCTATTCATAATCAAATTATGTAAGTCAAGTTTTTTCAAAAGGATACGTCCAAAATAACACATATGTCTGTAAACACGCTGTTAAGGAAAATATTAATAAAGTTTCACAATTTACAATTTCACAAATAATTTATATAGTATCAAAAACACAAATTAATTAGTTAAAAAAGGATACAAAAAGTCCACTTAGAAAACCTCCTGTTAAAAGGCTATGTCTGGTAAGAAAATATTTCTGCCAAAAATTACCAGCTTTGTATAACAACAGACCCTGAAATAAAAAAAAGTAGCAATTATAAAATGTTAACAACTTACAGTTTTTTTATGCTGTGTAATTCTAAAACAAACAGTCAATTAGTCATTTAAAATATTTGTTTTATTACTATTAAAAATGTGTTAAAATTTTAAACTTAATTTTTAATTATGGTATTGTTTTTTTTTTTTTTTTTTAATGTATTGTTAATTAATTAACAAGATGTAATATGGTTATTTAATGAATACTCATTTATATGAGTATGATGTATTTACATACTTTTTGTAAAACGTTTTAAGCCCTTTTACGGGCTCAATTTTTCCAGATAGTTATACGTTAGTAAAAAACTGATTGTTATATTATTTATTTAAATATAATAAAAAATAATTAATGGACTTATTTAACATAATATACACTAAATTGTACTATTATAATGAATAATATGCTATAAGTTATTTATTGTGACCTAGTGGCTAAAGCCTAAACAAGGCAATGTTCCTATGCTCTACCCACATTTGAAACTCAGATACTGGCCGTTTCTCACCCTGGGTAACTATCAGGAGTGAAATGGCCACCTGATTAAAACACCAGAGTTGACTGTAAACCAATATACAGATCAGTATCGTATCTAGGATTTTTCCACAGGGGCGGGGGGGTTATACAGATTTTAACAGCCAAACCTATTCAATATAAACATATTCATATTGTTATATAAACATTGCATGTAAACAAAAATTTGGATTCTTAACTACAAAACAAAGTCTAATTTTTTTGAGGACAGTGAAAGAATATTGAGTACTTCATCAGGTGTCTGTTATATTTTTGTGTACTGATAAGGCCCGGGGGGGTATAACCCCCATATTTCCCTCCCCCCGTAAATACGCCATTGATACAGATTGATAATTATACAGAGAAGTTATTTATTGATTATTTGATTCTTGATGTATACAATAATTTTAATTTTAAACATATGAAATAACATGAATCCAGAGGTTTACAATTTGTATTTGTAATTAGTACAAAAATATATTTTCTTTTGTTAAAACACAATCTTTAAATTAATAGGGTTTATTTTCTTAAGTTAAATTTTAGTTGTGACTTGTGTTCATACAAATTATTATTGGTGTTCTCACCAGTTTAGGTTAAATTACTAAGAATTGTTTGAAGTTTTACAATACTAAAATAATATTTAAATGTTAAGCCAAACTGGTGAGAATGACCATAAACCACTTTCATTTTTAAATTGTCTTTATCTGCACTTGTAAATTTAGTATTTATTTGTTAGATGAATTGCATAGAACTGTTCATTATATTATATATAGTTGCTCACTCTACAGGGTTGTTTGTGACATTAACTTTGGCTTCTAGGGCTATGGACCTATACGTTGACTTAAAACCTTTTTTGAAACAAGTCCTAACATTTCTGCTTGAATTTTTGAGAGGTTATGTTATTGACACATATACAAACAAACATACATAGTAATATAATATAATACAATATATATAGTATACAATAAAAATACATCCGACATATCCTCTTGTGCTAATATAGATATTATCAGTAAGTATCTTGTTAATAAGATTAGGACTAAAATATTAAAATTATTACAAAAACATCATTTAAGTCAAATTAGTGGCATTTTTGAAAACAGAATATTAACTCAATCAATTTAGTTTAATGGCAAACCATTTTTTTTTTTTTTATTAAAAGTATATTTAAGTTCAAATTTGTGAAATAAGAATGATAAAGTATGTGCAGTAACATACTAATTTGTATTAATTTTATTTTATTATTATTGCACCAATTATATGCTATTGTAAGTCAGACCTAATTGTGTAAGGAATAGAATTACCGATTATAATGGTAAATAAGTTGTCCAGTTCCAAAAACCACTAAATCAAATTTTTGAAGACATTGAGATGAGTTTAGGTTTTAAATAAACTGAGAGCAAGGAATCTAGTGGTGAAGTACTTTTGTACTAAAACCCATTATATCACTTTAAAAATAAAGCTGCTATGTTGCATTGTAACAGTGTTACAATATTGAGTCATAACAGTTTTTCTTAAATATCTCAAATTGAGGTGGTGTGGACATAAAGGCTTATGGATTTAGACGACTCAAATATTCTGTAAGAAATCGCTTTAAACTTTTCAGAAGCATAAATACAAATGATAAGAAACACTATAATCTAAATGTAGTAAAAAGAGAAAGTATTAAAACAATTATTCTGATTAATATTATATTAGATTTATAAATATTTATATTTACCCATAACGCCAATACAGATAAAATGTAAAACACAAATCCAGATAATCCTGTTAAACCTAAAATTCCTGCTGTGCATCCAGATAGTGCAGACATTGATGTTCGACAGTATTCAACAATTGACGCATTATTACGTAGCGCTGGTTCACTGTATGATACCAATTCTATACAAAAAGAATAATATTAAATAAAATGAAATTACAATAATTCTTCATTTTCACCTGATATATTTATCACTTTCTTCATATTAATCTTTTCTCTACAAAGCTCCTATTTACATACAAACAATATCGTTATTTATAAAATCTACATTAATCTTAGCCATTGTACTATTTCTATTGTTTCCTTCATTAAAAATGTCCAAGCCATCATTATCCATACTTTCTATTGTTTTATGCTTTTGGCACAACTCCCAAACTTTCTGTTAAAACATAACGTAATCACTCTACACTCATCTTAGTCAAATTACTTTTTTTGTCCATCGCTCTTAATCAATCACAATGCTCGTTACATTAATGAAAGCCTGAATAACTTTATAACATTTTCCTTTTTACCTCAAATGGCACGTTCCAGTCACATAAAATCGTTGCTCTTTTCACCCTAACAACTATTATAAGTATAAAGAAAAATTACAATTAAAAGCTTACCTTTGATTTTAGTTTCTTTGGAATCCTTGTTGTCAGCCATTATGGTTATTTGAGATCAATACGAAAAAAATATTTAAAATAAATACTAATGATAAATATTTATTGTATTGGCTAAATTGATAAATTTTGTTAGTTCAATTGTATGATATAAATAAAAAAAAAATTGAAAAATTACTTATGTTATAAGGGAATGACTTTAATTTTTACAATTTATCATTCCGTACTTATATTCATATTATTTATCACGAGCTAAGATAAAGATAATGTATTATCTACATTTAAGTTTCTCAGGTTTTCAAAGACTATTAAAATTAGTATCATTTTGAAATTGTTTTATCTTTGATAAGATGGTTTTGAAAATTTGAGGTTACCGTTGTCAACGTGTTTTTTTTTAGGAAATTCATATTTCCATAGACCATATACATGTACCTTACCAATTAATTTTTAATTTATTTTGCAATTTGCTGTTAATCTAATTTTTACTTACATATATATATAATATATATTCCAACTTTTACTGTAAACTTATTGTTATTGTTAGTCAACCTATTAGAATATTTTTAGGTTAATTTTACAATTTTTATGTTAACATAGTCAACGTATTTGTTACAATTTTTCCTATTAATATAAACTTTATTTTCAAATACTCGTAGTATTCTTATGATAATAAAATAACAGGTATATTAGTATATATTTTACCAAAATAAATGTTAAAAATAAAATTTTTAACATTTTAGTTATTAAGTACAAAAGTATATTATGTATGTTTATACATCTTTAATAGTAATTTTGTTGGTTTAGTTTTAATAGAATATTGGAATGCCACGAAACAAGGCTGTTGAAGAAACGGATAAACAAATCCGAATAGCTATCGTCAACAATGATAAGTGTAAACCCAAGCGATGTCGTCAAGAGTGTAAAAAATCCTGTCCTGTTGTTAGGATGGGAAAATTATGCATAGAAGTAGCATCCAATGACAAAATAGCTTCCATATCTGAAGAATTATGTATTGGTTGCGGTATTTGTGTTAAGAAATGTCCATTTGAAGCAATAACAATTATAAATTTGCCTAGCAATTTGGAAAAAGATACAACTCATAGATACTCAAAAAATTCATTTAAATTGCATAGATTACCTACACCAAGGCAAGGTGAAGTCCTAGGTTTGGTTGGAACTAATGGTATAGGAAAATCTACTGCGTTAAAAATCCTAGCTGGCAAACAAAAACCAAATCTTGGACGTTTTTCAGTAAGTTTTATTCATAGCTTTTTTTGTATTATTATAATTGTATTTTAGGTTATAATATTGACTGGTATAATTGTAGGATCCTCCAGATTGGTCTGAAATTTTAAATCATTTTAGAGGTTCAGAATTGCAAAATTACTTTACAAAAATTTTAGAAGACGATCTAAAAGCTATGATTAAACCCCAATATGTAGATCAAATTCCGAAAGCTGTTAAGGGTACTGTTCAACAGTTATTAGATAAAAAGAATGAACGAAATAACATCGAGCAGATCTGTGATTTTCTAGGTATATATATATATTATATTTTGGATACATTACATTTTAAATTCCTCACAGATTTTTTTGTAGTCATAAATGTTTATTTTTCAAATTTCAATGTGTGCTAATAAATATATAATTTGTAACCACTTAATATGTATTATTACAGAATTAGATAAAATTCGAGATAGATCTATTGAACAACTTTCTGGAGGGGAGTTGCAACGTTTTGCTTGTGCCATGGTCTGTATACAAAATGGAGATATATTTATGTTTGATGAACCATCTAGTTATCTTGATGTAAAACAACGTTTAAAGGCTGCCCTTACGATTCGTTCGCTAATAGCTCCCGATAAGTATGTATTTGTTTTATTACTGCTTGTGAAAGGAAAACTAAACGTGTAAGTTTCTAACTTATATTTTTTTTTATTTAGGTATATTATTGTGGTAGAGCATGATTTATCTGTGCTGGATTATCTATCTGATCATATTTGTTGTCTCTATGGAGTACCTGGTGCTTATGGTGTTGTAACCATGCCTTTCTCAGTGCGAGAAGGTAAGTTTTAGCCTTTGGTAAAATATAATAATATTATATTTATTTTTATTTATTTTTTACTTAAAATATTTGATATTTAGGTATAAATATATTCTTGGATGGATTTGTGCCAACTGAAAATCTTCGTTTTCGGGATGAAAGTCTTGTGTTCAAAGTTGCAGAGAGTGCTTCCGAGGAAGAAATTAAAAGAATGACTCATTATGAATATCCGGAGATGACTAAAACATTAGGAAACTTTTCTTTAAAGGTTGAAAATGGACAATTCACAGACTCTGAAATTTTGGTACTTTTGGGTGAAAACGGTACTGGAAAAACCACATTTATAAAACTTCTGGCTGGAATCATGCCACCTGATGGTGCTAAAGGTATATAATTTTGTTTATTTTTTCTCATTGTGTTACTTTTGTATTATTTTAGGAAAAATATGTCAACCCTGTTGTATTAATGAAATAATTAATTATGATTTATACTGAATTAATTAAATGTTTTTAACAGCTGATTTGCCACGGTTAAACGTAAGCTATAAACCACAAAAAATCAGTCCGAAGAGTCAATGTATGGTGCGTGTGCTTTTACATGAAAAAATACGAGATGCCTATGTACACCCACAATTTGTAACAGAAGTTATGAAACCATTAAAAATCGATGACATCATGGATCAAGAAGTTCAAAATTTGTCTGGTGGTGAACTCCAGCGAGTAGCTATTGCGCTTTGTTTAGGAAAACCTGCCGACATATATTTAATTGATGAGCCGTCGGCTTACTTAGACTCTGAACAACGTCTAGTGGCTGCTAAAGTTATTAAACGTTTCATATTGCATGCCAAAAAGACTGGATTTGTAGTGGAGCACGATTTTATTATGGCTACTTATTTAGCTGATAGAGTTATTGTATTGGAAGGTCAGCCATCAGTAACATCAACTGCTAACACTCCCCAAGGACTACTAGCAGGAATGAATAGGTTTTTGGAATTACTTGGAATTACATTCCGAAGAGACCCTAACAATTTCCGGCCTCGTATCAATAAAACTAATTCTGTAAAGGTAAATAAAATATAATTGCTGTTGCTGTTTTTAAATGTAAAAATTTTAAAAACTTCTTGTTGGATAATCTTATAATTTAATTATTTTTCAGGATGTCGACCAAAAAAGAGCTGGGCAGTATTTCTTCTTGGAAGATTAATTGTACTGTTTATTTGTTTTTGTTAAATCTCTTAACTTAATACAATGTATATTATACATTATTGTAAAGTAATCCAAATATCTATTTTACATAGGTATATATTTACAATTATTTCGTTTACATAAATGTTAATAATTAACTAAATATCAAAAAACAATTTTAAATAATTTTATTTTTACAAGCCGCATATTAAATATCATTCACTGACAAAGGGATATAAAAAAAGTCACCAATTTTCATTGAACTTGGGAATCAATTTGAAATTAAAATAAAATCACATTATGTCATTCTTAACTATTAAACAGATCTGTTGCGCAAGTGCATGTGTGGTGTCATTTTCATTTAAGATTAACCTCCTGAAGTTTTATTAAAATCAGTGGCTCTTAGTTAATCCTCTTGTGAGTGCACTATACGCCTTTCATACAGTGTTTTAATGCATTCTGTATAGGCAATTCTTTTCATAAATTTAGAAATAAAATTATTTTGTTTATTAGGATAGTATTGAGGATACTGTATTGGTACTTCTCGGTTTTATCAGACTATCGCAGCTTTCAATAATGATTTATTAAAAGAACAGCCGCTCAATTTTTCAACAATTTAGATGGAACATATGATTTTTTTAGCTTTTTTCCTTGGAAAAGATGTTCCTTCAAAGAATTTGTTTAAAATAATTTCATTAGACTATAAAAATTCAAAGAAAAACTTCCTGAGGGGAATTCATTGGATCTCTTGGAACACATTTATAAGTAGAGAATTAAAAATGGATAGAATGTGTTCATTATAGTAGCATAATTTAATTATCAGTGAAATACTTAACATAGGGTTAATTTTATACTTTTTAGATGATAGATGATGATGTTGAGGAGTGGCCGAGTGGGTAAGGCAGCAGTGTGTTAGCGCTCACTGTCGCCGGTTTGACACTCGGTCACAGGCGCTCCGTTTGCTGGGCGAGCAATCGTCCGGTAAAAAGGAACTGCCATCCCCCTTTCCGGCGACCGATTGACGACCCGTCCCGGAAGCGAATTCGTCAAGAAACCAACTCATGATGGCAGCGTTGGGCCTTCATGGCCCGTTAAGCTACATGATGATGAGATAATAGAAGCAATAATTTGTTTAATAAAATGTAATTTATTGTGTAGCTTTACAAGCCTTGAAGCCCAATACCGTCATGAGAATACGCTAATACAGACAGGTTGTAGTCTTGAGGAAAACTGAACTTTATAATTTGATTTGTATTTCACGCGTTACAGGAAACAATTTTGTAAATTTGTCAAGGGAGGAATAGTTATTTATAAAAAAACAATCATATTTAACACCTTAAAATATGCTACAGTGTTTCCAGTGATAAATAAAATTCAAATCAAATTTTGAAGTTCAATTTTTATACTTTGGCACTTGGAACGTTTGACAAGTGCACTCGACAATTATTTTTAATTAAATTTAAAGTTTAAAAAATAACAGTTTTTTTACAAAGGTTATTTTTTTAATTAGTACCATACAATTTTTATCCATAAAAAAAAAACAATTAAGTATATTATAGTTTAATTAATTAAAACTTAGCATAACATATATTTTTTTAGTTTATTAGTCGTAATTACTGTTATTTTTTTTTAAATTGTAATGCCTGATCAGTTATATTAAAAATAGTGAATAGTGAAGCTTGGAAGAAATTTAATAGGCTTTAAGTTTTTATTATTTTGTTGAACAAAATGATTGACTTGTATAAGAGTCAATGTATAAAGTATTACATGATTTTATGTTCTAATTGGGTTTTGTTATTCAATTTAAACTATTTAATATGATTATAAAGTAAAGGTACAACAAAAATCAATTAACATAAATATTTTATGATATTAAATACTATTATTAACAGATAATAAGTAATGCATAAAAGTTGGGTTAAATTAAGCAAACATTTTTTTTTATAGAAAAATTATTATTTATTAGCTTTGGCTGCTTGTCTTCTTTTTACATCCCAGTTGTATACTCTGGCCATATTGACTTCAGTTGTTGTGAACTGATCCCTGAAAAATTAAATAATAATAATATTATTTACAAATAGGTAACTTTGAATTAAAATTTTTTTTTTATTCTTATTTTAAAACTGGATTTTTTCATTTTTGATTAATAGATCTCTCGATCAGTTATCTGGAATTTGATACACACATTGACGAATTTCACTAATACTTGTATTCTAATAACAAATACATAGATATTTGTAAAATTCATAAACCACATTCCGTTTAAAATTCAATTCTTCTTTTAGTCATAAAAACACAATAAAATATGTAGATCTAAGCAAACAGATTGTCAATAAGCAAAGTTAAAAATGTATGAGCTTGGGATACATTTCAAGTAGTAGTAATATTAGGTAATAAAATAGTTGTTAAAAATATAATTTATTTAAAATAGCTTTATTACCTAAGAAAGTCAAGATCATCATCAACTTGTTTCATATTATCATTGGCTAATTGAATATTTTTCGATATTAGCTCAGTTGCATCATCCAAATTGTATTCTAACATGACATTAGCCTTTAAAGTAAAAAAAATTAATGTATATAAAATTTCATTATTCAATATTAAAATTTAAAGAGACATACACCAAGCCAAAGGTATACATTGTCAGTAGCATCTACATGAGCTTTTGTATAGACATCATCTGACAATAAAAAATCTGTTTTCAATTGTTGGTCTTTATGTGATTTCATTGTATTAATCATTTCTAATGTATGTTCCAAGTCTGGTAGCTGAGACTGCAATCTGTATATAAACATTTTATTTATTTTTTGTAAATTTGAATAATATTAATAAATTAAGACATTATGTTGTGAGTACGTCACTGAATCCAGATGGTTAGTTATCAGTAACCACCATAGCACCTTGGGACGGACACAAGGCAGTGGGAGATGGCGACTGATAATTAACTATCCAGTTCCAGAATACAAAGATGGGCATCCTATACCATCAGGTCATAAAGACAAATTATTTTAACATAAAAAATAATGCATACATTTATTTTAGGAAATGCAATGATTTTTAGTTATCATTAATCAAAGTTCTCACCTCTTTCGCTTTGTAATCAAATTATATTCAAAGAATTTATATTTGCTGTGTTGTTCATCTAACCGTTTAAGAACTTCTTCTACATTACTGTTTTCTGTTTTTTTCATAAACTTATCAACATCATCCTAAAAGTACATAAATGACAAAATAACTTATTAAAATATTGAACATGTTATTTATAGTTTGGAGATACATATAATTTCAAATACATGTCACATACTACAAAAACGGCAGATGGTATTCTAGGATTTGTATCCTGTTTGCTACCTTCTTTCTCCATAATTAACAAATTCCAAAGATTTTAACACAACTGTATTTACTTGGCTAATTAATATTACAAAAAAGAGAAAAAAGGGCAAAGTATCTGTTAATCAAATGGTTTAGTTATTATATTTTAATTATAAAAAAAAATATATATTATTAAAAAAAAGAAAATAGGAAATCGTGATTAAGTAATAACTTTATAAAAAGGATAATAAGAATACCAAATATTTCAATGGTTTTAGCTGTAACTGCAGCTGTATTATAACTTATAAGTTATAACCTGAAATTTATTTCCATGGAGAGAGAAGAGCAGCAAGAAATGTACATAATAATATTATTTAAACACGTTATCTTTTAGTAGAATTCTTTTTCCCAAGATAAAAGATAAGAGTTTTTCGAAAAGATTTTTTAGTTGAGTGTAATTTTGAATATTAAACATCACATTTAATAGTATTTTAATTTAAGTACAAGTACGGTTACATGTATGTCTGTACATTTTTATATTATATTCCGCCGTTTATTATGCTTGTTAAATTTACATTTATGTTCCGAGATCTCATTATTTTATAGTCAATTCTCTATTTAAAATTACTTGATATTATAATGTCAGGTAATGAAAATAATGATTGTGAAATGACTGCAAGCTCAACACTTAGCTGCGTTGAATCCAACCATATTGACAATATCTCTGATGTTATATATGACGAAAACGGACTTGAAAATTGTCATACTAACTCTTTAAACAATAGTTTATCTATTGAAAGCAACAATGATACTTGTGCCTTAGTTTTGGCTCCAAATAACAGGACCGATCCAAATGATAATTGTGATATACAAATAAAAGACTTATATAATCAAAATGGTTTAAATTCAATAGAAACTATTCACCAAAGTACAATTAGTAATAAAGAGGATCAATATGAGAAAAATAAACATGAGACTATTTCTGACCATAAAGAGGATCTCGTAGAGAATGATAAAACAAGTGTTGTTACTCCAAAACTAGAATGGTCAATTGGTAATAACTACTACTAATATGATTTTGTTATTAAATTAATTTTTAAGCAAATTAATGTTTTTTCTTTTAGATTTACTAAAGGAAAGTTCATCAAAAGTTATAAGTAAAAATGACAGTAATGTTGAAGAAATCAATCTTAAAAATGTGTCTCATAAAAAACAAAATAAATTTAGTAGTTCTATAGTAAATGATCAAAATCATAACCATGAAGATTCAGGGGTGCAGAGTATTGAAATACACAATGAAGTTCCTGTAAAAATTAATACTAGACCTCAGCGACAAGCTGCAAAAAAGGCCGAAAGCCAAATTAGAGTATGTAAATTTAATTTCTAAGTAGGTATGTTGTGGCAGGTAATGATAACAACTGTAAACTTACAGGAAATAACAAAAGAAATAACAAATCCTGTTGATACCATTGAAGAAAAAATAATAGAAGTTATAGAAGAGTTATCGTCACCACTAAAAAAAGTTTGCTGCCAGTGTAACAGGGTATTTTTATTGTTTCAGAACGTTTTTGTTAAAAATTTGATTTGAATAATATTACATTATGTATTTATACTTTCAGTTTCGTCTATGTAATTTTACTATAAGAAGTCACAAGAACATGTTTTTATGTCAAGAAGAATGTGTAGCAAACTATCAAAGAAAAACTAGCCAAATAAGTGTAGAAAAAAAATGTGAACACTGTCAGGCAACTATTTTTCAAAATGATGACAAATATTTCAATTGGCAAACTAAGTATTTTTGCTCTGTGAATTGTTTAGGTTTGTTATTTTATTATATTAACTTTATACATAAAACATATTTATTATGTGTTGGTTAATTTTTATTTTTTATAGATCAGTTTCAGCATTTAATTTTGGGGTCAAATTGTAGTAAATGTGAACAAGTTATAACATCGGACACTAATTTTGGAAAATATTGTCGATACATTAATAGAAATATATTACAATTTTGTGGCAATGCTTGTTTAGAAAGTTATGAAGAAGGACTTAAGTTGTGTACTTTTTGTCAAAAAAAGCTGCTAGAAAATGAAGCTAAAGTAATTATTTTACACGTTAAACATTTTTTTTAGTTTAACACAATATTTTTTTAAAGGATTTTTGCTCATCATTTTGTCAAACTAAAGACTATGAATCAAGAAAAAAAAAAGTTCTTCCTATGAAATATAGTAGTGGCCAAAGTTTAGATGACAACACATCTTTAACTAGTAAGCATATAATACACATTTTTTTAATATAACTTACCTTAAGTAATGTTTAATTCAAAATGATTACAGACAAGTGTAATATCTGTTCTTATAAATTGGATAACTTGTCTACAAATATGATCCAAATCATAAGTGATTCTAACCTTGTTATCCAGTACTGTTCTAATGAGTGTTTAAATAAATTTTTAGTTTTGAAAAAAAAAACTGTTTCGTGCGTTACATGTAAAGTAAGTATTTTTCACAATACAACAAGTATGGCATATAATTATGCTAATTGTCGGGCGTTACATTATGCATGCATATTTTTCTTTCTAGTTTAAAAAGTTCAATTTTGATATGATTTGTACAAGTAATCTGGCTTCCAGTAGTGTTGTGGTGTACTTATGTTCATTACATTGTCTTAATCAGTGTCCGGAGCTATCTCAAAAAAAAAATATGAAGTATGTTGATGATTTAGTATGTTTTTTCTGTTTGAAAACGAATACATTATTTTTATATTTTTTATCTTTTTCAGTTAAATTTTTATGTATAAAGCTAACAATATTTTTCAGGGTTGTTTGTGATAAATGTGGAACACAGTCATTAGTTTGTTATAAAACTATTTTCAATACTAAACCGTTTAATTTTTGTAGTCAAAATTGTTTAAATCTATTTCAAGCTAGTAAAAAGCAAAAACAAAAAAGCATCTCCAAAAACTGTATGTATCTGTATACTATTTTAATAATTTTTCGTTTGTCTAATCAATTGTAAATTTGATATATATTCCAGCTGTGGAAAATCAAAGTTCAAACTTACGAGTTTCTACAAGGAAGTCTGCACGTAAAGAGGAAAATCACTACACTAATGTAAATAATGTTTATAATTCATTATGATTTTATATTATTTAAATAATTTTGGTTTCAGAGCTATGGAGGTTATAGCTCTCAATCGAAATCTCCAAGAGGAAAGAGTAAAGTTCGTAAAAAAATAATTTATGAAGAAACTAGATCGTCTACTTTGGTAGACAAAGAAGTTCAAACGGGTAAAATAAAATAAAAAATTGTGTTATTGTAGATTTGATTTTATATTTACTATTGCTTATCTAATAATGTATGTTTTTTGTTGCCACTTAGATCTAACAGGCAGCAAAGGAGTTATAATCCCAGTTCCAGTGCCTGTTTATGTTCCGATGCCTATGCATATGTTTACCACACCATACCCAGTACCCGTTCCAATCCCTATACCTTTACCCATTCCTATATTTATACCTACAACAAAAAACACTATAAAAGGAATCTTTAAGGATATAAAGGTAGTTTTAAAATCTCAATAAACCTGTTTGTTTTAATATTAAAAAACTATGACAACTGCATTTATTATATTTATTAATACTATATAGAAAATACAAGAAGAAACGCCAACTGATCCATTCGAGGCAGAACTATTGTTAATGGCAGGCATGGTGGCTGAAGAAAAAACTGAAAATCATTCATCATCAGACAGTGAAAACGATACAGCTATTGGTAATATATTCAGAACTTTATTTCACGTTTATTTTACTTTTTCTACAATAAATTATTATTCTTTAGATTACAATGATGACACTAAAGTGGTTTCGTCAAGTGCTCGAAACCATAATTCATTTGGTGATGATGTACTTGCAATGGCGTTTAATATGGCTGGTGGAAATTCTGATAGCATAAATGAAACAGACAATGTTTCCAACATATCTACAAATAATAACAGAGACCCATTGATTGACGATGTTGAAGCAAACTTAGTATCTTCTACTATTATGCCTCAAACATCAAATGCAATTAATGGTGAGCCTTTTTTGAGCTGCAATTGGTTTCTTAAATTGTATTCAAAATAATTAAAAATGATTTTAGATGTAACTCAAGACGACATGATTACCTCTCCGCTAGACCCTTTGCGTCGTCTTCCCAGAAAACGTGCACCTCGTTCTCAGTCACAGAGGAATCCAAGCTTAAAGCGAGCCCGTAAAAATGACTATCCTCCAATATCTAGTGTCCCGCTGTCTAATACTAGGCTAAAATCACAACAGCAAGAAGTTCAAAATTCTCATTATACTATGTCCACACCAGTTGTCAAGCCTGATGCAAACATGTGTCTCAAGTTTACTTTAGGTGTAAATGCTTGGCGCCAGTGGGCTTCTTCTAAAAGCATAGAATTTGAAAATACTTTAGCTTTGAACCTACCTGTCGTAAAAAAAACCAACATATTTAAATTAGATCTCTTACAACTGACTGCCAGCGAATTAAATTACTCTTTGTGTTTATTCGTGAAAGAATTCCGTAAACTTAACGGAAGTGAATATGCACCGGACACAATTTATTATCTTTGCCTAGGCATTCAACAATATTTATTTGAAAACGGAAGAATCGATAACATATTTACAGATATAGCTTATGAAAAGTTTACGGATACTCTAAATGAAATTGCCAAAAAGTTTTCTGAACTTTATATTGATGCGAGTGAGTTTTCGAATAAGTTATAATAAAAAAATATTAACTTTAACAATTGGGAACATATTTTTGTTTTAGAATATATCGTTACACGTGTGGAGGAGGAATATCTCTGGGAGAGTAAACAACTTGGAGCTCACTCTCCCTATGTTTTACTCTGTACGCTGATATTTTTCAATACAAAACATTTCAATTTAACAGTAAGAATATATCTAAAATTAACTAGATGTTTGTATGGTCAAACATTGATTTATTTATTTTTATATAGAGTGTGGAGGAACATATGCAACTATCATTTTCTCATATTATGAAACATTGGAAAAGGAATCCGAACCAACCATCTACATCTGGCACTAAACCGCCTAGTACTTATAGAAATGTTTTGTTACGTTTTTACCCTCCACAAGCTGCCTTAGGTGTGTACCACTTGTAATATAATAGCAAGCTCAAAATATTGCTAAACGGGGGTGCAGAGTTAAAAGTTATTTATGTTTTCCATAACTTTTAACTAACGAGTTATTTTTCTCATCACAAATTGTTAATCCTTGTGTAATTATTCTAATAACATGTTAAATATTTAAAAATTGAATTTTGTTATAAAACTATTTCCATAAAAATATAAAAATTAGGTTTTTTGGAAAAATATTCTCATAATTTATTTGCGATAAAACATAATCTAATACAATATAATTATAATTATAAAATTGATTTATAAATAAAATACATATTGTTGTTAGTAAAAACAATACTTTTTAAAAAAATGTTGGTCATTTTTTATAAAAGATCTTGGGACAAAGTTTTAACTGCAAGTAAAAGTAATTTTAGTTAATTATTAACTGAATAATTTTTAATAAGTTAAGTTTCATTAAGTTACTTTTTTACAATTTAAAAAAGTAACGTTTAACTTACTAAAGTTACCTTTTTTGATAATTAATTAACCTATCTTAAACTAGTTAAAAAAAACTGACAAGTTTTGAACACAGATAATTACATTTTATAGTACTTAAGTTTATTAAATTGTTTTGATTAACTGTGTAGATTTACCGAATTCTCGAAAGAAAAAAGTGTATGAACAGCATGAGAATGAAGAAAATCCATTAAGGTGTCCAGTAAAATTATACGAATTTTACTTGTCCAAATGGTAATTATGTGTTTGACTAATAAATACATTTTATAATGATTATAAATATGTATTAAAAAAAAAATTATTTATTGCAGTCCAGAAAGTGTTAAGACAAGAAATGATTTATTTTATTTAACACCTGAAAGATCTTGTGTACCCGACAGTCCTGTATGGTACTCAACTATGCCATTAAATAAAAAATCGTTGGAAAAAATGTTGTATAGAGTCAAAATGGTAAAAGAAATTAATGTGGCATTATTATCATCTTGATTTTCAACTTATAGTTAACATAATATTTTTTGTTTTGTCTGTGACTAAATTAAAAAAAACAAAAACAAATTGTTCTTAAAATTAGTTAAGGTCAAATTTCTTCCTTATGCCATTTAATCTTTACATGTTAACCGAAATAATTTGTACAGATAGTAAAGTAATATATATGTTAATTATTTTCACGCATTTTATTTTTTTCACATTTTTTTTGTTCACATTAATTGTGCTCTATCTTTTACTTTATATATATTATATGTCATGTTAAATTTGTTATTTAAAATTAATTACTTTTTCCTTTGAGGTATAAACCTATGTTATTTTCGACAATTGTACCATTATTGATTCCAATAAATTGTTTATTCCAATTACATATATTAATGTATATATACGTATTAAAATGTGTACAGGTATATTTTTAGATAATATTGTATTTAAATTTTAAATATTTTTTTTTTACAATAGGGTATGTGCTTAAAGGTGTTAAGGTTTTAAAGTTAAAGGTGTTAAGTAGCATTGAATGTGTTATGTTTATATGTTATATAAAAGGCGTTTGCGTTGTAAAGATTTTCTGTAGTGAATTAGAAGTTTAAAATGCGGAGAAACGATTTGTGTATCGAGGTTACCCAAATGTTCAATAGCAGGAATGTTTTTAATTACCTTAATATGAGTGTAATAAAATTGAATTAAACTTAATATTTATTATAAATATGTACTAGTAAAATTATTTTTTCAATTTAGCTTTGAAATGGTTTCAGTTGGTAAATTCAAAACAACTATTTGAATCAAGTCCAAAAAGTATCAGTTTATTCAAAGATAATAATAATAAATAAATAAAATATTGCACATCGTTTTATTATAAAAACAAATTTTATACAATTAAATTGTCGGTTCAGGACAATTATCAGACAAATTATCTGTAGGACTTGTACCAAATTTGTAACAATAGTATTCCCGAGTGGAATCTGTAGAAAACTAGAAGTGGCAGCGATATCCTCGACAGCAAACCCCAGCTAAGTAAGCCCATGAATCGCAATTGCCGTTCTTGACTCATCCAGCTCTGAGTTATGAACGAGTCGAATAGCCACAGGGCCATGTTGCTACAGAGCAAGTACGTTATCACCTAAAAATGAAATTCCAATAATCGCAGAGGTAATAAATAACACTTATATATTTGACTATAGAACCTAATATTTAATTCACAAACATTTTATGCGCCAAAATCCAGATAAGAGAGGCTAAAATTGGAATCCAACTTTTAAGAGATAATAAAATATATCAAATGATACATTAAAGTTTTCCTATTTTATTGGTATTAAATTTAATAATTTTCGATAGGGAAAAACAAACCAAAACTTGTGGTTTATATATTTTAGACAAGTTAAGTAATAAAATAGGTACTCTTTACGGCTTAACCAAAAAACAAATCTATATAATTTGTCAGTAGTATTTTCTACATTGCAACAGAATAGACTAAATCTGTTAATCTAATTCAATTTAATCTATTCTGTGGCATTGCTACCAAAATACGCGAACACGCTATCGTGCGCACACAAGAAACGCGAAAAGATGGAAACTATGTACTAAAAAATGAATATTTTAATTTAGTTTTTTTTTTAATATAAAATATTTCAAATAATTATCATTTTTTTGGACACTAAAAAAGTATATCAGAAAATAATCTATATAATTAACAGTACATATACCTACTTCTTCGTAAACCTATTGTACGAATATGGTGCATAAATAATTGTTACAGATAAACATGAACAAATTTGAGGTCTTATAAAGTTATTTAAGAAGAGTCCCGCTTATAAATGATAAACTAATATTTATGTTACCTAACAGTTATTTGCTCCTTTTTCTAATGTTTTGTTTTATTTTAATCTTACTTTAAATCTTTAGAATTTAGAAGTTTTTTTACTAAAATTCAACACGCATCTATTATTACACCCCCCCCCCCCCCTAAATCCGGATCTGGACTCAGGTTTTTTCTAGTACCTGCGTCTAATTTTTAAATCGCCTTCAAAGTTATAAAAAAACACTCGTTTGAATAATTTATTAAAATGTATCTCAAATAGAGTTTGTTTAATCTCTAAACATAAAAAGATATGTGATGGTTCTTATTCTAAAAAATGCCTTGTACAGTGTTGTTAGTTATTAATATTATTTGGGCACCTGTCGTCCGGGTTTGGTGAACAGCTGGTGCCTAGACCACGAACTCCTGCGACAGGCTTCGGCGATGAGTGAACTTTGTATGGCCACTTGCACGAGTTGCAGAGTACTCACAGCCGTCAACATTGTATCCACCATCTGTTCCGGGCTGTCCGGTTTGCCGGTGAATACGCCGACGGCACCAACCATTAAGCTGAACACGGCGTGCAACACGACGCCCGAGCTGGACGCTGTGGACAGCATGGAGTCGAGCGCGGTCATCCGGTTTCCGTTATGGCAGAGCTTGCGGATCTGGTAGAGGCCCACGCAGCCCAGCAGACTGCCGGTGAACAGTATGGTGGCCAGCGTAATGGATGTCATCCAAAATAAGGTGTTGGGAGCGAAATCCTGGTCGTCTTTGACCACCAGGAATATGATGACAACGACAATGACCAACACGAGTGTCAGTAGCCCGAGGAACAAACCTTTGTTGGCACCCGAGAAACTTACCCCTTGCGATACGTACATTCGTCCGGGTTGTGCGTTCTGCCCGGACTTCTGGTCTTTGGGCTGTGGTGATTTTTGGTCTCGTTTCATCGGTTTCATATGGTTGGCGCCCACGTTTTGACCCATCACGTACGTCACTCCGGCGGCTATTAAGCTGTACAATTTACAACGAAGAATTGTTTAATACCTTATATTGCATAATTCACAAAAATAAATAGTTTGTGGTCTATTCACAATTATTAGGGTAAACTTTGTTTGTTTTTGATAGATCTGGTCTACCATGTGGTAAATTACCAATTTATCATTAGTATTCTCTCTTCAGAGAATCGGTATTTTTATTATAGGTACCTACATATTATGCGTTAGTATTGACACCCACATGAGTGCATCCATAGCTATGTACATATTTTTTCATTGATTTCAATTTTTAACGTGCCCCAAATAAGCAGAGTTACTGCGAGGTGGGGCGATGTTGTGAAGCTAAATCCCCATAGATTTTACCTAATTGCGCTTAGATTAAAGCTTGACATTACTTGTTACTGTTTTCTTGTTTTCGACGACGATTTACCTGAATTGCACGATAAACGGATAAAGAAACGGCATGGAAGACGTCAGTAGTTGACCCAGAGAGTTGGTATTGAGACAATGATGGAGCGTTACCACTTGTGCCACGTGGTTTTCTGATACCGGCTGGTAAACCGAATTCTTAAATGTCCCGTTATAATCTATGTACATGCTATTCGTATGAGTATCTGCACAGTAAAATTATGTTAAAATAGATTAATAAAACGCTATGTGGACAAATACTTCATAGATTAGTACTTAATCCTAAATTGTCCAATCAACTATTAGATACTGTAATAGTGACTTTATACAGGATGGCTAAGTCTGGTGAAAATATACAGGAGTAAAATTCGATTAACGAGTTCCATTAGGACTTAAGGGAAAGTAATACAAAACAGCAATAAGACCTGGGGACTTGAAAATGGAAATGAGAGAGGACAGTGTGAGGTATGAGTGTATAAGAGGTAGCTTAGGTGTGATTACAATAGTAAAACAAATAAGCTATGGTGGTACGGGCATGTTAAAAGTAGTGAAAACATTGGTACAGTAAAAAAAAGTAACTGGAAATCAAATGTGAATTTAGAATAAAAAGAGAGACAGGTGATTGCGGGTGAAGTTAAGTTCCGTAAGTGAGACCGGCATTACTGTATGGGATATAGAGGAGTGGATAACTGAAGATGGTCAGTGAATATGAAGTTAGTGTAGTAGACAAAAAAGTGCTAAGGTAGATTATTGAATAAAGAGATTCGATCAGAAATTTACCTGTTCTTAGGTCTCGAGTGTATCTTGCACTGATGAATCTGGGGAATCCACGGAGCTGCAGAGGTGTCGGGATGCCTGACTCATAGGATGCGGCTGACACGCCGATATCAGATGTCTGAGCCAAGTGAATGAAGTACACCCATTCGATGCCGCTCTCCCAAATTATGAGCCGTATCCACAGCGCAATGTTAGTGGCAGCCAAATGCATGAATCCAAACCTAGCAGCCAAGCCGAACCGTTCAACCAAAACCTGTTGGTCAAAACGTTTAAGACTTTTGAAAGGAATTTTCCAGGTAAACCGGTTAAAACATTGAATAAGTTTATCAAACTTTTCGCAATTATATTTGACCAAATTCATATTGTACTATTTGACGGTTTTAGGTTAATTATTTTATGACAGATCACATCACCTGAGATCGGAGTAGGTAGTTGTATTAATCATGGAAACTTTTGGATTACACATAATCCACCAGTAGAGGCTAATATGATTTTTAAGCTTCAGGCTAATATTATGCTTTTTACGATTATGAGACATTATTATTTATTACCTTAGCAAAAGTTTAAACGCCATGATATTGATTTTCTTTAAGTTATTAGCAATAACGTTAATACTTAAAAGAGTTGCTTAGGCCGAAACGGTTTTGTCTGGATAATACTGCACCAGTGTTTTGTGCACACAATATATCTTATATATAATGCTATAACTCTACCACAGGCGGTCAAATATTTTACATTTTAGTAAATAAAAAAATTAGTCGCAGGCCGTGACGAAACGTCGTACTAAGATATTACGGACCACTACTCAGATTAAACGAATATCGCTGTGCACCGTCGGTGAAAAAACTGATGGAGAGGGTTTTTTTTATACAGAACGTAAGTAAATAATTATTATTTTCTAATGTCGATCGAGGTAAAAATAAATAATAAGGTGGAAATATTTTTTTCGCAATAATTATACTAGAAATTGAGGATTAGTAATGTAGAAAATTACAGATTTCAATTCTTACTTGAGAGTTTATGAACAGAAAATGCATTTGTAAGAAAGTAAACAGTCCGTGGAGTATGGGATGCACGAAAATGACATCGTTCAAACAGTTGATATCCATCATGGAATGCATGGCCATTTCCAATCCGTTGAACACTAGTGTTCCCAGGCCGAACACTGTGAACGAAATTAGGTTAATCTCTCGTTAGGCATAACTTACAATATTCAGACTCTGGACAAACGGGTAACGTCGTCTGTCTGTTTTAAATACTATACTCACTCAGAGCTCCGATTCTAAGGTAGAAACTGGTGTCCGACGTCTTAGACCGTGAGATGTGGGCTCGCTTTAAAGAACTGAACCGATTCAATGTGAACATGCCCGGCGACGAGGAGTCGGTGGTGACCATTTCAGTTTCGTCAGACGTCAGGCTTACACACGAATCGATCAGCACCCAAATGTAAATGCAGATGATCACGGCTATGCTGCCCAAGTATAAATACATCAGGTATATACCCTGCATGGAAAGCATCTTGACCGGGTTGTCCATGACCTCTATTAAGCATATGGCCAACATCAGGACGACCAGCAGCGTGCCGTAAAACGAACTTAGAGTGACCCAAAAATGATGGCTGGAAAAAAGAACGACCCGAGTTGTAAGCATAAGTTTTACGCAAAATGAAACATAACTCAAAATAATGTAGTTAAATACAGGACTCACAATGATTCGGCGTGCAGGAACATGTCGTTTCCTCCCTTGCTGGTGAGCAAATTCATGATCGTCCGGCTACTCTTGAGTTTAGGTCTTTCTCCTCGACCCATTTTCGAAGATCTTGGCACTAGCTTACGGTTTATATGTGAACAGTGATCATCAAGACTGTCTTGTTCGGATACCTCACATGTGCTGTGTACTAAAAAAAGAGCGTGCATAAGATTTTTTTTTCGGAGGATATTAATATAAAATAGGCAGCAGGCATTTGGACCGGTTATGTACCTCCCTACTATTTGTGCCATTGTCGAAAACCCAATTATTTATACATGAATAACGAATCGGTTCTAATGTATTATTGAGTAGGTATAAGGTTGACAGAGAAAAGTAAAACAAGCAACAAGTAAATTTAACCACTTCTGTCTCCTAGACTTTAGACTTTTGCAATATAAGCTAAATAATTGTTCTAGTGTTCTACTATATTGTTCCTCCTAAAACTAATTTTAGTGTACACGATAGTCTATATAATTTACTTTGCTATATTTTAATCTGCTTAGCGCCATATATTTTCAGTCCTCGTCATTATTATAAGAACAAAAGGGAAATTTTGTGTGTAAACGTGCTCTCGCATGCGTGTATTAAAATCATATGGTCTTCATTGCAAATGGGCAACGGGTTTTGTGCATCCAGGCGTGATAGCTATCCTATCCTATTCGAAAATTATCTTTGTACCGTTTCTGTTAGCCGACCCAAAACATAAGCGTACGCACATAACGCATCCGTCCATAAGCTGTTTAAAAACTTATTTCAGTGTTTTCGCCTGTAAAGATCATTATCTACCTCGTAATCGACTGTAATCTAGATTGTTGTAATCGTATAATGCAATTTGATCCTATACTATTAAACGAACCAGATAATATATTTAAATTATTGTATGGTTATATAAAATGTCATTTTAAAACGTGTAATATCCAAAATGAACAAAATCATTTATTTGAAAACAAAAGTGAGGATGCCGCAATTCAAGAAATTATGGACTGGAAGCCCGATGGAAAAATAAAAAAGGCTTAATAATAAGGTCTGAAAATTAGAACGTTAGTAGATCTGAAATGTGGCTATAAAATTTATAATTTTCTCAAAAAATTGTAGTCAAACATTTGTTGTTATAAAGAAAACCTGAAAAAAGGGGGGGATTATACTTAGTACAGTTGTAAATGTCTGCAATGTGTGACTGAATCAATAGTTAACAGGTATCCCAAAAAATATTTCCATTATGTTGTCCATTTGCCTATCGGTAACGAACCATAAGGAAAAATAGACTTTCAACCCTAATCGTCGCCACCCTCATATTAAAAATATATTTTAATTTAAGCTTATATAACCTTATGTTGTCAATGCCAATATAAAGAGTCGTCTGCTGATATTAATAAATAAATACACCTTCTCTGAAAAACATTGAGGGGAGAGTTATCCTAAACAAAGTCGCTGGAGCACGATATTATATTATTATTTCACTGGATATAAAATATAGTGTTTTTAGTCAGATTTCGATAAAGAACTCTTGTTTTTGCTTTCGGAGTTAATTTACGAATAATTATTCTTTATGTCGTCGTAGAGCGTTTTAGGTCACAGAATATGTTTGTTCTGAATCGTCGCAGAACGATATTGTCGACAGAATATTGAGGTAACTCATAATAAGATAGTTCAGTTTTTGTATGTAGGTAGACTACGCGATAAAAACTACACTACTGTGACGTGACTCAGATTAACTAGACCGCTGGTTTAACATGTAAATTCTGTATATAAAATATAAAGATAGAGTCAAGCGTTTCGTTTATGGTTTGCTATTCTAAAAAATAGTATTGTTGATTTCGATTACATATAAGCTCAAGAATGGACAAAATAAGCTTTAATTTATATGCAAGTAAATATAGAATATATTTGAAACAGTTAACAAAAAAACACCGAACAAATTCTAAATTCTAAGTTTGTTTAATTGACTTCACCAATAGCGCCGGGAAATTGGGAAGCTATAATGGGAAGTTCTAAATTGTCGGGGCTATTTGGGAAACATGCTTGTGCCTACATAATAGCCCAAATCACTAACCATAAATCATAAATAAGCGTCATTTGTAAAAAAAAAGTGTTTCTCCCACACGTTACACGTTTTTCATGTATAGATATGTTATTTCTCAACTGAGGAAACACGAGTCATCTGCAAAAGTAATTTTACATCTCGTTCCGGGTCTTAATCCTTTACTTTCTCACATTATACTGAAGCGGGAGAAATTATAGCGGTTAGCGGTTTATGTTGAACAACATGTGTTAGATAGATATCAATAACGTAATGTATGGCCCGTGTGCATTTATTAAACAATTATTTTTTTGTTTTACTTATTAAAATAGGATCACGGCCAATCTTGGCCATTAAAATCCGCTTAAATTATTCTATGTTAACAATTATGTTGCGTACCAAGATATTTTTTAATTTAATTTTGTTACAAAATTTAAAATACTTATTATTAGGAAATACATTTGAATAATATTTAAAATTATGGAAATATATTTTAAGCTTATTGTATGAAGTTCCAATATTGTTACATAGTAGAGAAATTAAGATTTATTTTCAAAAAGTGTGTGCATTACTACAGTATAGCATACTTGCAAAATGAATTCATAAAACAAGCGTCTTACAAAATAAAAAATATGGAATACATTTTCTGATTATGCCACTAAAACGGTTTAAACAATTATATTGAAACCGTATTTAAAAATTACCGTCACATGCCAGTTTTTTTGATCCACTAAAGACTAAGGACACCAGTATAGCGATAGAAACAATTTTTTTTTAATCCTCCAAAAAACATCAGCAAAACTTATCAAAAGCGTATCGAAGCTATAAATAATAGTAGTTTTACTATGTTTTATATAGTTTTTCTATAGTTTTATTAATGTTTTTAAAATATTTACAAAACGATAAAATAATAATAATAATAAATAATTACGTTCTGATTTAATCGGGAAATATATTTTAGTTATAAACTTGACAACGGCTGTACAGAAACAAGAGTAAGAGTTTCGTTAAGCAATATTTATGTTATAACTTATAAATTATAACATATTATACATTTACTAGGTGTGTTAAAAAAAAGTGTAAGAATGTCATCAAAATTCTGATAAGGTTCGACATACTTGTGAAGATTTTACTTAATCTGTAAACGTTTTAAAAATAATAGAAATATAGTAGAATCAGTATTTTTTTTTTTTAAATAAATTGTTCCACTGAAGGTTTCTGTATAAGTATGTCAATTTACTTCAAATAATTAAAATACCGATCTACATTTTGTATCTATACAAACAGATTATTGAATCACAATTATTTCTGATTTCTCAAATTGAACCTAATAGTATTCGGTTACTATTGCAGTGTACTTATAGGTTAAGGGCTTACGCATAACGCATTAATAGGTTATCGTATTTACGTTTAAACGAGACGGATGGACGTTAACAAACGATCAGTATATATGTATATTTACATATATTTTAACGACTTGATCTAGTGATAAAATTATTTAAAAAGAAAGCGACATTATGATTTTATTGTGAACGAAGTAAAAATATAATACCAAAGAGAACCAGTTTTTGTTTCGATAATGTTGTAGGTACTCACCACTTTCCCTGAATCACTCTTGATTAATACATTAGCTATTGTAACAGACTTTTTTAACAAATATTTATTAAGGTATGGTAAATAGATAGTTTATTATTTATGTATACATTATATCTAAACTTCTTACAATTGATGTACAAACAAATGTTGTTTACCCAAACCAACTATAACAGTTATACTTGTTAGTCAAATTAAAAAATGATTTAACTTCTAATGACTGTACTCAAAGTTACAGTTCAACCTATACCTAGATTTAACTTTTATTATAATTAAATTATCTTTAAGTGTTAAGTATAGTTTGGGTAAACACTAAACAGTCATAAAAGTTATCAAATACACATACAAAAAGCAGATAGCCAACAAAAATAAGCGAACGTACAAACAAATAATGTTTTTTTTTTGTATAAGTTTAAAAGTTTAATGTAGCTCCCAAAGTAATGTCTAAGGTCGTACTCACCATTTCAGCTTAAGGGGCCTCTACACTATAATTTATTAAGGCGCAGTGTATAGGAATTTCTTCGCTAAAACTTAACATTAAGCTAAAATTGTTCAATGTACATATAATTATTTATTAACATGGGGAACAAGGATATATTTTGATATTTCATTTTTTTTCAACTTATATAACGCGTGTAGGATCTATTTTTGTATAAAAACATAAGTTTTGATGTTTCTACTTCGAACATAACTTACCTAAAAATACTCCAATTTAATTTTTAAAAACAAATTTTGAATTCTTTATAAAATGTTCAAGGCATCGATCGTGGCACAATTTTAAAACTATTTTTAGCTAATTAACTATTTCAATGTAAAAGCTGCAAATTTTAACTTTTTTAAACTGAAATAATTAATTAACAAATAAAATAATAATTTTTAAATTATGCCACGATTGATACTTTGAAAATGTTATGAAGAATTCAAATATTTTTTTAAAACTTAAATCGGAGTATTCTTAGGAACAGTACGGTTGAAGTAGAATGAGTTGTTTTCGACCAAAAATACGCAAGTTTAAAGGCCCCTTAAAAATATATAGACTAAACTATATATATTTTGTTGAACAACTTATGAGAACGGCTATTAGGAAGGTGAGCTATTGTTTATATAAAAACACCTAACCTAACCTTAGGCATCAACCTCCCCTCTGGATATATCACCAATTAAAAACAAATTTACTAGTATAGCTGGTACACTATTTATAGGTATGAATTTATGTTTTTTAAGCACGTTTGTTGTCAGCAGTGTAGTCATAGTCAATGTTAAAGCCAAATAATTTTTGTTTAATGTATACCTTTGGAGATAATGTTAAAGGTTGTAATAGGAGCGGGTGTCAACAGATACTTTGAATTATGCAGAAAAATGGGGTATCAACTTAAAAAAATTCGTGAAAACCGGTGCATCAGTGCATCATCAATCTGCATTTGCACCTTCTGTGAGTGAGGTAGACACAAAATTATAAACAGACACAAGTAAAAGTTAGAACCGGTAAATTTTGAAATATGGGGCAAAAATCCGACTAAATAAAAAATAAAAATTCGGTTCCACTGATTTTAGGTAAACCATTTCAACTCACTTCTCCAATCGCCAGAGCCGACGCCTACCGCGATGGCTTCTCCTCGTTCTGCCTGTTGTGCCAGCTTCCAGTTTTCTCGACCCACCGGGTCTCCGCACCCGACGGACACTTCCACCGCAGACTCCACGCCGGACACCACCGGTGTCCCGGCCGACACGCCGGTCCGCGAGTCCGCCCTACGCACTACACTCATGGTTCGCACTTTGCGCACATCACGGATGAGCCAAACGTACGCCACTGAAGCGTGGGACCGACGCCACGGCAGTCGGCACGCGTTGTCTGGCACGGCTTAACGCCCCACTCACTCTCTCCCCCCTCCCCCTCCCTCACACCACACCGAAAATGTCGTTTATCTTCCACTAATCTTCTGTTGGAAATATATGTACCAGAGTATACATGTTTGTATTTTATACGCCAGCAACGAACGTCACACAAAAATGATATTTTTCTGAACAGCCAAACGAATACGAATATATATTTTGTTCATAGACATTGGAGTTTGCCAACTTTGCCGAAAATTATAAACTACCTGTAAATCCTAACCTAGCGCCAGTATACTTACCGCATGATAATAAGGTATACAAGTCGACTGTGCCAAAATTAAAAATAGATCTATTGCTGCACCGGAGAAAAAACTGAAATATGCTATTAGTTAAGAGGACGTGACACACCCGTTATTTTCTTTAAAAAACCCGCCTTGCGCGGATTAATTATACAAAGGCTATAATCAAAACTAAGAAACCAGATTTTTACATAATATAGACAACATTGTCTGTGTTCTACCATCGCCTTTTTTTTTAATATTTCAACCAGTTAATGAGTAATTAATTAATTGAGAAATTACTTTTTTGACTATTTAAAAATGATATAGCGTTGGTTGTATTAGGTATATCGAAAAAATACGGATGATGGAACACAGATAATTTTGTCGTAAATAATATTTATGAATTTCTTTCCTTAACTGTTTATGAAGCCTGAGAGTACGCGCAAAGCGCAGTTTTGATGGCAAAAAATTGTGTTTTATCCTATAGAAATGACTGTAATAGTCTGAAAAAAAAATGGCAATCAACAAAGTATCCTCAATACTGTATTAATAAGTATACATTATAGTTCAAACTCTAAATTATGATTTTTCGAAAAATTGCCTATACTTTACTCCTTAGAAATGGCCGGTGTGGCGTCCTCTTAAGATGTTATCCGTTATCTTATATTCATATTAATTTTACAACTATTCGAATATTCGATTACTTCGAAGGTTCGAATCCAAATTACATCCCTACTATAAGCCTATAAACATTTCATTCATAATTTTAACGATACAGCTTAAAAATAACGAAGAAAGTAAAAACAACAATTTTAAATCTTCTGATTTTCTTAAAATGAAACTTTCATTTTAGTTTTAACTAAAAGTTTTTTTTTCTTTTCGACGCTATTAGTGTTATAACAATGTTCTGTCGACCGAAATCGATCGGCGGGATCGATAAATAACCTTTTACTGGCCTTTTCAAAATGTTTTTTTATTTGTGATTTCTGGTGCAATTGACGATTGTATACATGAAAAAAATATCTGTACCAATTATAACTATAATACACATGTACATAGTTTTTAGATTTTTAAATTTCTTACGCCCTCCGAAATAAAAATGTTTATGCAGAGCGGATTCAGACTGTTTCAGACATTTAAGAAACGTAGAAATTACATAAGTGCACTTCTAATTCCATGAAGTAGTGGTTAAATTGAGAGCAAATTTACATAACAAAAAATTAAACATCGGGAATCCCTTTCTCGAGAAACTGAAGAAGTAGAATGTTATGGGATTGTGACAAAGCCTAAGTTGTGAAAAAGATGGTGTAGGTTTTTTTTAAATGATTTCTGTTCTAACTTCTAAATGTTGGCTTATGGAATTAAGATGGCAGCTTTGTATATGCTATTTTGACAAATGACTAATGCAGAAGAAAATGAAGTCCAATTAATTTACCAGGCTTTAACTATTATTAGTTGGTGTTCGTGACGGGAGTTGGAAGCCGGGATTTTGTTAGGTGATAGTAATATGAAACGTGGCTGTCGCCTGTCACTAGAAAAGCTATAGCTTTGTTGTCAGCTAAATTCCTACAAAGGTCTCTTAGTGTTTAGAATTGAATTAAGTCCCATACAATTATATTAGTATGCGTATTAATGGTAGTTGTATTCTAAATTTAATAAATAGTTTAATTTCAATTTTCGAATGTAGACTTGCGTTTATTTAAATCGATGTTTTATAGTTAATTTGCATTGTCACTTTACTTGCAAAGAATAAATGCGGTATCTAATTGTTTGACAGTTCATAATGTTTTTAATGAGTTTATTTTTAATGTCTGATAATATTTTTACCAATTATTGGACTAATATTTGACTGTGTCGCTACTATTTGTTTTTCAAAAATTGAAAAATGTAAAAATAGTAGAACTAACTGTTGTTGTGCTTTAACATAAACAATTATGTGTTAAATGGTGTACATTAAATTTTTGATTAGAGGTACCGACAATTATTTTGTAAGGCATTCAGTAGTACTAAATAAGAATTGTTATTAGTTGTAAGTAGTAAGTCAGTACTCAACACTCGGCCAAACTTTATTCTATTTATCGGTGTTTAAACCAAAACGATTTGTGGATGACAATGTTAAAATTAAATTATTTTGGATAGTATTGGCATAATGTTTAAATATTTCTAGCGTTATGAGTTACCATGTTTCGAACAGTTTTATTAAAGTCCATTAGATTTCAAAATATTAAATAAGTCGTGACTTTAGATGACAATGGCTGGTCAATTTATGTATTATTTTCTTTTTATGCATAATCATTAAATTAATCGTGACTCGCGTATTATTAAATTAATCAAAACAATTGACTTCCGCCAATCTAACTATATTGATTTCTAACAATTAATCTTTTCGTGACTTCGATCGATGGTCGATGGAGATACCGAATGACCCAAGTCCAATACTGTGGGTTAATGTAAATCAATTTTTTCATATAAGGGGCGTGGAGGGGCGGAGCATCTTTAGAGTCGAGTTAGGAAATTTTTTTTTTGTAGGGATTTATCCCCTCTAAAACATTTGACCGCGCTACACCCGGGCAGTAATTAATTAAGCGATTTTAAGTACAATATCATAAGTATAATTACATAATATTTTAATATCGCACTTACCGCCGTGGGTCTTGATGATGTTGGCGTACATGTGTGAACCTAAAGGTCGTATAATATGTTCGTCACACACCGTCAGCTGGACTCCACTGAATGTGAACTGATGAACCGCCAACGGATTGACATACATATTTTTTAAACACTAAACGTTTACAACCGGATGATGTGTTTTCCCGGGGTCCGATATTCGAGACAAACCGGTTGCTGTGGCTCGCTTCGGGTGATTCTGCTGGATGCACCTACCTATATCAAATACTGGAGCGCCAAGGATGATATTCGTTCACGGACAAGTCTAATAACGCTAATAGAGTGGTCGACGATGACGACAATGACTTGTTGTTGTTCAAAGGTGTTGGCCCACATCGTATAATATAATATTATTGACCGTTCCAGATGCGAGTCTGGTCATGTTACCCGGTCCGGTTCGAAAGAAGAGTGAAAACACAATCGGTTCTATTCAAAAGTTTCCATCTCGTTTGGCTCTCGTACTTACTATTGGTTTTATATTTTTAAACATAAAATATAATATTGGAAAGCGCAATGTACAGGTAGGTCGCATTATAACGATCAGCACCCGGCATGATGGATAAGAAATTTACCTTCGGTAAAAACCCGAGTATTTTCCGGAACTACACGTTCGACGTTTTTACCTTCTTCAAATTAAGTGTATATTTTATTTAAAAATCAAAATTAAGGTTACGGCATTTGTTAATTTATTTATTAATATTTAACAAGACTAATGCGGGGGCTGTAGGAACGTTTTATTAAGTGTTCAACGAATCTTTAAGCATTTAGAGGTACTTTAAACCTCAAATAACAATTCGTGATTACTGGATAGTCTACTAAATAACGGTAGTACTATGTCTTAAGAATATATTCTTAAAAATTTGTAACTAATTGGACTAGTTTCAAAAAAGTTATAGTGCATCGTAATTTTAAGTTAAAAAATATGTACATTTTTTGGGTGTTTTTTTCTCGATTTTACTTTGATATAGTCCAAAGTACTATAAACTGATGGTACCGTCGGTTTTTGCGGCATTGCCTGAGATTCTGAGACTATAACGTTTTCTGATGTTTGTTTGTGGCCGAACGCAAACTATTTAGGTTCACTTAGTACATAATATAAATAATATAGACTTACCTATACTTTGGCGATTCAAATATACACTTACAGGTCACTAGTTTTCCACAGGGAAAGTCGGACAATTTCTGTGCTGGAGGCATAGCAATTATTTAACCCAGATCTTTTGCTCTTGATCATTGCTGCTTATAAGTGTTTTAAAAATCTAAAATTATTTTTTTTAAGTAGACTATCGGTCGTAAGTAGTATGTATATAAGTACTCATTGGTTACCACACTAACTTGATTTCGAAAAATCGTCGGCCTTTCAAGATCTGTTAAACTCCGTTTTCGAACATAAAAAGAGAAAAAAATTCGTTAGTGTTGTGAAAGCTAAGTCTAACATTTTTTTAAACATTTTGATAATACAAAATTTGTAATTTTCAATAATAATATTTACTGGGTTTTATTAAAACATAAACATTTTCTGTTAAATTGTTTCGGAATAAAACGACCGAAGATTTCTGAGAATTGGAAAAATATATTCAGATTTCAAAACACAATTAAAGAAAGTGTAGAAATTAAAAATTCTGATTGGTTTCCAAGTAAACTATTTGTAATTTGTAGTCAATATTAGACTTGTACGCGCTTTTTTTTATTAACATAATGTACACAGGGGATGAAAGTTGATCGTATTTACTAAAAATTGGTTGAATAAGTGACAACCAAATAGTTTATAATTGATCCACCAGACATTAACTAAATTAAAATTGACCAAACTAAATTTCCAGTCAAACATATTATTCATTCAGTAAAGTCAATTATAAAATTTGTTATTCTTTTTTTTATGTTTAATATCTTTATCTTATAAGTTATATTAAAATATGTAAATTTTAATTATATTAAATTAGTTGAGCCGTTGAGAGCTATGTTTCCTTAATCGGGGTAATCTTCCCAAATATTGACAAGTTTTTGAAAAATGTTGCATCAATAGACTGGTCTTGGATTCCAAAAGTGTTTTTTAAACGATTTACTACTATTTTAGTATACCTAACAATCTAATTTAATATAATATATACATATGGCCTAAATAATTGTCATTTGCCATACAAAGTACCATAATTTTCAAATATACCTATTTTAATAAAATAGATATGACTATATGATTTTAAGGAAAACTATACTCTATAAAAAAGAAAAAATGTTGTACAGCATTCCATAAATTATTTCAACAGCACCTGGGCAACCGTCTACATGGCGCCTATGTGTTTACCGTAAACACGGTTTGTGAATTAAAACTTAACACAGGCGCGTTACATTACATACACACATTATTTTTATTTATTTGCTGGACGTGATAAAAATATAAACATACCCTGACATCTAATAACTAAATAATAACGCACACTAAAAGAAAAATTATTTAATACCAGTACAATAGTATAGTTTAATATATAATAATACAAATTAACTAACACTGTGGACACGAGTGCATTTCGAAGATTGTTATCGTGTTCGTATCATTGTCGGATTTTATTTTTCAAATTCGGTATTTCTCTAATTAAAAAAACAGCGGTGACTATATTAAAGCCTAACGCAGTACGCAAAAACGGATTTTGAACTACAACATTTAATTTTAATTTTTTTACACACAATAATATAATAAATCTACTGCATAGAAATGCGGATTGTTTGTTAATGCAATATATGGCTATATTATGATATAATATTTGATAATAGCGTTAAACGCAATGTACATTATAAAAATAAAATAATTATGATAATTCGCGTGTTGCAAGTGAACTCTCAAACACCGTAACGGACGTTCAAACTATATTAGCATTTATAATAGCGTTGTACTTTTCTTAACTGTAATATCAATTATAATTCTATAACAATAATAATAATATTAATAAAATAGCAATTTGTAAAATAAAATAATATACGCGGCCAGGCATCACGCCGTAATGTTATATTACAATTTAAATTATACTATGATTTATTATACACGTTTAAATACATTTTCTCGCGTTGTAAAAATCATAACAATTATTTAAATTTAACTATAAAAAAGAAATATAGGCAGGCTTAGACTGAATAGTTTTTTCTAAACATGCTGCATTTTTCCATAATAAATTAAATACAATTAATAATTATAACATTGTAAATGGACAAAATAAAAGGTACCGCGAAAGATGCAAAACAATAATAATACATAACATCATAATAGTATATATAAGTATATTAGATTTTGTTTCATGCCAATGCTGAGAGACTCTTTAATTGTTCCCCGTTTAACGCCAACAAAATAATATTCTGATTAAATTCTCGTCCAGGCAACGACCTATACACACCACTTCGGCTACCACTTTCGTTTAGGCTTACAACATTTTTACAAGCATATTTAATTGAATTACTTATTAATACATATTACATAATATTATTATTATCATCTTTGTACCGGTCGTATTCGTGTCTACTGCGTAGACGCCTTGTTGTTAAACTGCAAGCAAGAATAAGCCGGCTATGCAGACAGCGACGATCAGGCGTGTCACGTACGGTTGTGTCCGGCCCGACCCGTTGCACATGCTGGACGTACACGAACAGTGTGTGACATCGGTGTCGTGCGAGCCTAGTCGGCTGTAACAGTCCATATCGTCGTGAGCCGGGTCTTCGACGTACCCGCAGTCCCTTACTATCCGGATGCTCCTGTGGACTGTTGGCAATTCGATTACATGAACATCACGTCAAAATCTGTAATTTTTGGGACGCTAACCGTGATGGTACACACGGGGACGGTTTCCCAGTCCGCTCCAACCCGTAGGCGAATACCCGTTTTTTGGCTTCGATGCATAGCTGAGAAGATATTAATGTGTTCTTTTTTCTTTTTTTTTTTTAAGGAAAACCCATAAAAACAGGGGAAATTTTCCCTTTGACCTTTGTAAATTTCTAGGTTGCCACGTGTTAGTGAATCGACAATCAACAGGTATTTGAAAATATTTTAATTACATTGTGTATTACCATAATATATAACAAGGGAAACAAATTATTATAGACATGCGATAAACCCAGAGGGTGGCCATAGAAGTTTTAATGTGACGCAAACTGTAGGACTAAAGTCAGTCTGATTAGTTCGAAGACAAAAAATACTACTATGGTAAAAACTTTTTTTATCATATAGACTACCAATCGCTTAACAATGTGGACTTTTTTCCTTTTGTGCGGTCATACTGATTTTAGTCCTCCTATTTACTTCATTATCGAATACAAGCTAGTATATTTTAGTTTATCTCTTTATATTATTACTATATGGATCAACCCTAATCATATTCTCCCTAAAACTCCAAACCCTAATCATATTCTCACTAAAACTCAAAAAATAAATATTTAAGTACATTATAGATTTTACAAGACTTTTACCGTTTTTTGTATTTCTACCATCTACAGATAGGCATCGAAGCATTTATTTAAAAGTAATTCATGCCTCTGATTTCCCCCCAATATGCTCCATCCCCACTATGTCTCTACTCCACTGTACTGACTTTTTTTAAAACTTATAGAATGAAATATGTTTTTTTTTAAATATTTTATAAAATAGGTATGTTTTACTCACTGCGTTGAACGCTTTTCCGGCATAGCACAGGATAGTATCCATTTAAATGGGAAGGTACTTCGGTAATGTTACAGTCTACTAAGCCGATTGTATAGGGATCAAAAGGATCTCCACATCTTGAATCGTACTTAGAATTACATTTATAACATATTATTGACTTTGCACCTGCACGAAAAAAACATAAAAAAATTAAAATCAATTATTAGTTAAATACATATTATAATTTATTGGTAAGACTTTTAATAAATAACGGGTAATACAAATTTATAATATAGGTTTGTGTCGCTATATTATACAGTTATTAAATTCGTATTATCGGACTTCATTGTTTAAATCACAACAAAAAGGATGCATAATTATTTTTACAGCTAAATTCATGATAAAAAAAAAACCACTTCGTTAAAAATATCTTATCGATATATTTTCGGTATCCATACTGTAAACAGAATATTATAAAAATTAATAACGATTTTTTTGTAATTTATTTGAGTGATTTTTCGGCTTGCCAGTTTTTTGGCCGCCAAAAGCGCTTGAGCAGCGGACTTATCAGAAATACCATGGCATTATGCCACATAATTATAATTTATAGGCATATCAAGTGTATATAGTATACAAAAACAAACAACTGTTATAACTTATAGTCGTTGAAAGCTCTCATGCCAAGACATGAAATGTCATCAGAGCTGTGAGTATCGTTAATTTGGGCTTTTATGAAAATTTTATAATATATTGTATACATTGGCATGTTGCTGCAGTTACACAACCGAAACTTTATTTACCCGCAAAGCTCGATTTAATATTAATTTTGAAAGACTTGTAAAAACCGCCGCTGAGTTATTTCTTTGTACCGTTTATGCTTTGAATTGTCGTTTAAATACTTAATATGCCTTTAGATGAGAACCGGAGCCGAGCAAGAGACCGTAACGCGTTAGTTTATTTACTGTTGTATATTAAAATACACTACCGTTGTGTATCTTATATATGGGAAAACGTTTTCCGGTAACTTTCCAACGAGAGAGCATGATGTATTAATTTGTATCTATCGCGGTAATACGCTGCACATAACGACCAAAAGGTCTTCGGTCAATTATTTTGTTTTAGAAATCTGTTAAATCTAATCTTCGTACTCGGATAATAATTTACCAATTGTTATTATAGCGTAGGCCTAGACGAATAATTTACAAGCATAGATGATTTTTCGGAAGTATTAATCGCTCGAAAGTCGACACATACAGTTACCATACTACTTAGCCAGCACTACTGTCTACTATACAAGCAAGCGCCAAATAAAAAAATGGGTTTAGTGTACTTTGCATTTCTTAAATATCTGATTAGGTTTAGATGTTAGAACGCTATCCCTTGTCCATATATTCAGGGTGTCCCATTTTAAAATACTAATCGATTTTTCTCCAAAAATACTAATTATACTCAAAAAGTTGTTTATTAGTGACTTTTAGAGTACAAAGGAGGACGTACAAAAAAAAATAGGGTCCAAAATTCAACATGGCCGACTTACGGTCAAAAACATGTTTTTTTAATGTAAACCATGTTTTTTTGTTAACCAAACAAATGTTCTTATCAAAACTAACAACTTTTGTAGAAAAATTGTTTGGTTAAAACACATAATTTGTTAATTAAGTCTCTTTAGCTATTTTTAGTTTTGTTATCATATTTTGATGCATATGGTAACCGTGTCATGTGTGGTAACCTTAGTATGTGTTTTATTATTATATAAAACACTTGTCATTAGAGTCTAATCCTGTGTATTCTCAGCCAAATGCTCAGCCTAAATTATTGCTTCCTCGACGTCTAAAATGTCTTATACCTACTTCGTTTTTCATAGCTCATGCCTTGTTCTGTCACAACCTATATCCCACGTTTTATTTCTCGAAGCCTCTGTTCAGTGATCAAGTTTTAGGTAATATGACCTGTAATTTGAATCCGACTCAAATTATTTAAATAGCTAAAAATATGTTCACACATTTACATTACAAGATGTACAGTGTTCTGGAAATTATTTGTTATAAACTATTTGTTTTTTTATAACATGTCAATTTTTTTTTTTTTACTTACGTTAGTTCTTGTGATAAATTACGGAATCATAGTTCATAAATAACAATATATTAAGAAACACCGTACCTATTTATACTCAGACTTTCGGCGTAAGCTTTAGTGTAAACAATATAAAATATTTATTTACTTTAAATTTTGCCAACAGATGTTTTAGCTCTTCGTGTCAGGGATCAAGATGAAAATAAATGTATAGATGTAGGAATTTAAAGTTTATGAATCAATTTTTTAATTTCCTCGTCACATAATCCTGCATAATAACTATACTAAAATGTTTTGTGTATGTGTATTATAGTCAGTGTTATAGCTTGTAAGTTTCGGTAAAACGACTTGGACTAGAGGGGGTAGTCTAAAAATTAATAACTAGGGGTAATCACGTAAACGCTACTCTGTAAATTTCATGTATTCATAATATTAAGTCACCTAAATATTGTTATTATATTATATTTATGTACAGTATCCGATATCGATTACGTTCTCGTATTATGCATTGTAGTTATACAAAGAGTTAAATTAAGGTCACCGCCCGGCGGCTTATGTGCGATACCTTATAACGATATACCTATAAGGTACACATTCATACATATATAGGTATTATTTGTATTGTCATATATAGCATATTTGGCTGGCGTGGACGCAGTCGTATGGCTTTTTTGTCAACATTACTACAAACGGGTCTTGTGATAATATGTAACTTGGTAGACGCTAAAATCGACCCTCCCCCGAGTCAAACCGACTGAAGCCTTTGCCACGACCCTAAAATGCAAACAGAAATCGATAACGTTTGGCGCCGCAAAACCGAATGAGATACATGCATTATAGTCTTATTTTATGATTTGTGCGACACGGAAAAAGCCGGCTGTGGTAAATTCTCCCAACGTCCAATTTGAAAAATCTAACACTTATAACACCCACCATTGGTGAGAACCTATACGAGAGGCGTTGAAAAAATATAACGTTATAAATAAAAACTCATGACACTTCATAGGTAGATAATATAATACATTATTATGAAAGTCAGCTAGACGTGTACTTAATCATAACCGCGCGGTAATGTCTTTTGGGAGTATACATACAAGGGTGAGGGACCGGAGCCAATATAATTTATAACACGAAGTGTGCCTATCGTGTCTATGATAATAAGCTCAATTTCCTTGAAAGCCCAATAGACAATATTCCCTCTCACTCTCACTCTCTCTTTTTTCTCTTACTCACACAAACATACACCCACACACTTGTTTATACCTGCGTCTCTCCAATCGCCATGGTAATCATATTATGTTCGTAGGCAACACAAATATTGTAATACATTTGAAATCGATTCGCTGCCAAACTTATTATCCTAACAATGTATTTATTATTAGAACATAAAACAGTTGGGGAAAATTGTTTTATGGAAAAACAACTCAATGCAAAATCGTATGATTAATAATACAATTAATCAATAATGTACATAAAAAAAAAACAGAATGTTTAAACCCGTTTATAATTGTTTTAACAATTAATCCTAATTTTTCGTTTGTAAGACTCGTGTGTCGTATAACTTGTATGTGTGTCTAAAGCACTATTGAAGGGTAGCACGAATAGGCTAGAACATGGCATAGAAAAAATAGCACAATTTGTAAAATTGCCTTATGAGATTTTTAGCGATAACCAGTAACGCCGACTTCGTGATGATTTTTACTATAATATTATTTCACAAATTTGTTTAAGATAAAATACTATTTATTTACTTTTGGTACTAGCTTTAATGAAAAATGTACACTAGTACTACAGGCTAAGTGAATATTACAACGGTTGTTTGTATTACTTTTGGAATTATTGTGCAGATACAAAAGTAATAATTATTGCATAACAATAATAACACATAGAAACGCTATGTTAGATAAATTAATTTTAAAATAATGGCAATGGACTTGTATCGTGTTACCGGATAATTGCTATTTAGATATAGTATTGTAATTTATTAACATGATACAATATTATTGTTTTCATCGAGTAAACGGCAACGTCAAAAATGATAATTAAATAATAAATACAATGTAAGTGCTCGTACCTTTGACGACGAAAGCGAATAGGAACAGGACGGCAGTGATGCACGCGGCGCATTTAGCGCCATTCATTTCCGGTGTGTAAACGGATTTTAACGCGCTCGGTTTTTTTTTTTACTATGGTATTTTTGTTGTTTTGTAAAACTTTTGCCTACACTTGTGGCGGTTGATGTGGAAATTAATTACACAAGAAAAAACATACTAACAGCACTAACATGCCCGTGTGTGTTTGTAAATGTTCGGTACTCGAAAAGGAACAGGGTGTGCTTGAAATATGTACGCTGGTGATAAGCTGGCGAGCACACGAACGCCGTGCGTTTGACGACCACCGGGAACGCCGCGCGACGCTGTTGACCCGTGTAGCTGCTGTAGCCGCCACCGTCGCCGCCCATGGACTCATTATTTTGGTTTTTTTTTTACATGGTCCCGTCGCAGGGTTGCCAACCCGTAACGCGGTAGATAGGTAAACTTTCGACAGCGAGTCGATTGCATAACGTTTCTCCATACCTACTATATTTTCCCCTCGATTCATCGAATCCGATTAAACTTAATAATAATGACCCAAACGGATATCGACCAATTTAATTACAACGTACCCTGTTACCTGTACGATCAGTGGCGGCTGTCTTGCAAAATAATGGTGAATCAATTTTAAAGCCATAAACCACCCACCCACCCTAACACAAAATTCTAAGGACTATTAGGTACTTAATATGTACAGTACACATTCATAACACAAATATATTATTGTTTAATTCTATAATTGTATGACTTTAAACAAGTCACTCATTCACCATGACTATCCACCCAATTTTTAAGGTGTACCGACGGATACACCTTTAGTATAGAATAGCCGCCACTGTATACGATATTTATAACTGTGTTGTTCTAAAAAAAAAAACAAATTAAAACTCTGAATAATGGACGACCATTATTTTTTCTAAAATGGTAGGTACACGGCAAAAATTGTATGGTCCGACCTAATCGACTTATAGAAACCGACCAATCTACTTATTTTCTTACAATTATTTTACTTAAGTATATTTTGTGTGATAAATAATGAACAAAATATCTTACAAAAAATGGACTTAAATTTCTAAGAAAGTACCGTTTACTTTGATTACGTTTCGAATTTCATGTTAAAAAAAAAATTCACGTTGAAAACCACATTAAAATGAGCCCTTGCTAATAACTACTTAAGCGAACTAGTATTTTATTTAAACACTAAGCTGTAAAAACTGAAAAATCGAGCAAGTATGTATAGAATCGTGTTTATAGTGTTAATGTGTAATTTGGCATCACTACTATAGTAGTTTTTAATTAAAATTTTGAGAAAAATGAACCACTCACCACATTCATTTTTTTTATAGTTAAAATGTTTAATTAAAACTGAGGTTATACTTAACACTTAAGTAATGTGGTAAAGTAATAATAAAATTTGTAAATTATTAATGGGTATAGCTCTCCAGTACTTGATATTTTTAGGGTAAACCGGTAAACGTTATAAATTTTAATTTGTTGTATGCAAAAAAAAGTATGAAGTATAAACAATCTGCCACGAAAGTCGAATTAGTTCTCAGTAAAACGAACTAGTCGATACTGCACTGGACTCTGTCCGCAGTTCTTGGATACAGTCATCAATCATCATATTCATAGTTAAAAAAATTGTTAACTAATAAATTTAATAATCTTCTCATAAAATGAAACAGTCCTCCAAAAAGGTTTTTATAGTTTATTGTTATTGGATAATTATAACTACACTACCTACTATTTATAACTAATACTTACTTATGATTTTTCTCTATAGCTGACTTGAGCCTTTAATAAAATAGGTATGGACATTTGAGTGCATATAAGATCAATGTAGAATAACTTAAATTTAAATAACTATTTTTCTATTATGAATAATTTAATTAAAAAAAAAACTGTAATTTAGTCAACACTATTTTAAATACATGATACTATAAAATGTATTTATGGGAAAGTATGTTGTATGTTGCAGATATAGTTAAATAAATATTACAAGAACATTGTTTGTGTAAAAAGTATCTCTAAAAAATGTTATAAAACCTTATCACGGTATTTTGTAAAAAAAAAGGTCTAAATATTTTATAAGGGGACTGGAGTTAAATTAGATTAGCTATGAATATATCTATATTTGTGTTACTACTTGCTTTTGGGCACGTGTCTTGGATTTAAAACATAAAAAAAATCATGACTATTTAATAACATTATATAGATGCGCGTGTGTTTTTGTCTTAATCTAAATTCCATTTAAGTGCTCTGTTGTAATAATGTCATATTTAATTATACGACTATAATTTGTTTTAAAATGATTGTGGTGTGGATTTTCACAGTCTAGCTAAGTAAAAACGTATACAGTTATAATCACAGATAACATACTTGGAAAGTGGAATTATTATTATGGTCGGCGGCTATAAAAAAAACTTTACTGCCTGAGAGTGATAGGAACAGGCTAGCAATACATTTGCGATTAACCGCTAGTTAGTTATATCGCATTTATATTGTTGTTGATTCGTAAAAATATGCGAATTTCAAATGGGAAATCGCTTGTCCGGGGCCATAGTTTCAATAGTGAAATTTCTATTACCTGCTATAATGAATTTCAAGTTTAAACTAAAAGTAAAAGGTACGTTGTCTTTGGTTAGCCGTTGGAGATGACTAGCGTTTTTATCGATGAGTGTATAATTTACACGATTTATTTATTAACAGCGCTTTAGGTATGTGTATAATTTGCTGCTGTTGTAAGTTTTTACATGACAGACTAAGAAAACAATGAAACTCGACTAATAATAACATAAAATACAACCGTGCCACATATGAAACGAAGCGAAATATGAAAAACAAAACGAATCAAATGTGTATTATAATATCTGAGATGAGTATTTCTACATAATCATCGTGACATGTTTTCAGTGTACGTTTCAAGCATAAGCAAACGTCCGTACACTTGGACACGCATGTGTTAACTGTTGACCGTATAGACAGTAAAACGCAGGATTTTCTATACTTAAACATAATTTGTTCGAGGAAGTGCGGTTAATATTATATAGAATAAAACAAAAACGCTTTGATTTTTTGTAAATAACTCAACTGATATTTGGTATTTCTTTGAAAATAATTACTACAGCTACACGCACTTCCTATGAGCTCCTCACCAACGCAATAGCATAATATGCAAAAACATATACATATGTATTGTAAGCAAACGGATAAAAATAGGTCGACCATAAAATAGCTGTTTTAATTTATTGTTATACATATACTAGATGTCATTATACACATAAATGACATGGTCATGGTAATAAAATTTTGTTTTGCGTTTCTCTTGTAAATTGAAATAAGTTTAAGATTTTATGTAAAATATCCGATGAATAGCTTAAAAGTAAATGTCATTTCCGCAAAACAGAAATAGGCAAATAAAGGTTTTGTGGATAAATCGTAAGTTGTAATGAAAACCGGTTTTCAAAATTGAAATCGGAGCATTGGTTTTTTTCGTACAGGTTATGATGGCTCTCGTAGAATAACCAGTGCAAAATAACGTTTAAGGCGTTTTGAGTAGGCAAGTTTTTATCTTTTTGTTGAGAAGCAAAATCATTATTGACAGTGAGCGGTTTTTAAGGACCTTCATATAGGCAATATTGAAGAAAAAAAGGGGACTACATTTTGAATAATTTTAACATTATTTTGTTGGATTGTTGTGAAATTATTGAATTTTACATTTGTACAAAATCCATTCATTTCCTATGATATTTTTTAAAAAATTACTCATCTAATTTTCAAGATATTTTTAACTTAAAATTACGGCGCTCCATAACTTTTTTTTTAAAAATAGTTCAATTAATTCCAAATTTGTATAGAATATTCTTAAGACATAGTACTACCGATATACGTTGACAACCCAAATATCATAGATCCTATCTACTAGAAGAAGTGGACATTTTTTCTTTATTTCGCTATTTTAGGTGAAGTTTTAGTGTTTTTGGTCTGAAAATTAGACCAAAGGTAGAATGGGGCTATAACATTTATAATTTTCTTAAAAACCTATAGTCAAACTTTTTTTTTTTTAAGGAAAACCCAAAAATAGGGAAAAATACACTACGCAAGTAGCGCCCTCTTAGTTTTGCGTTAAGAGAATACTTAACAGAACATATTTTTTCATCAACAAATCATCTGTGGAGCAATAATAAATAACTAATACACTTGTGTGCAGTAATTATATGTTCAATCATTGTACACCTTAAGTTATAAATTTAATATTAAATTAAATAGGATTCAAAATTAATATTCAAAGTTTTTAGTTAAATTATCTTTTATCTTTTTGTATATTATATTTTGTTATACACACACAAAAATTGATTTTCTGGAGTTTTAATATTATTTTCTACTGTCTCAATAAATTATGATATAAAATTGTGCTTTTGTGCTAACTATATTTTTTCAAATAAATACTTTTAGAAAATTCGTGTTATTCAATATCTGTTTAATGTGTGTTAGTATAAAATATTTTAATAATTTAACATAAGTTAGGGTGGCCAATTTTTCAAAAAAATTTTTTTTTGTACCAGTCAATTACATAATCAAGTCAATTTTTGGGTGTTTTTCTCGATTTTGCAGGGGAAGGGAGGAATTATTTTTGGCCTAGTTAAATAAATTTCAGGTACGATTTCTATCTATACAATTAAATCAGTTGAGCGGCTTAGAATATAGTGTGGGTCTATAAACAAAAAAATAAAAACACATCATTGTTAAAACAATATCACATCAGCTCAGTATCGAAGCTAAAAATAATATTACTAATAACAAAAATCACCATTGATCATACGGTACCTTTTTTTTATTATAATTATTATTTTATATTTATTGAAAAACAAAATTGTCATCAATTTTCAAATTTTCCCGGCTGGTAAAAAAGTGTAATAATAATAATATAATAAAAAAATTCATAAAAACAATAATAATTCAAAATTTCTTAACTTACAACTATATTAATGGTATAGTAAATAAAAACACCAAGACGTACATATAACAACTCAATACAAAGTGTCAGGCAAGAATGAACCACATAATATTATTATAATATGTAAAAATAATGACAATTTAACGATAAATCTAAGAACCAAATTCTTCAGTTGACGAATCGATCTTATTGAATTGGAACGTTCCTCGACCATCCATTTGTAAGTAAAACTAAAACAAAAAAAAAAATTATTTTTATCAATTAAACTGTGTAAAAAGTGGAAATTCAAAGGACAAATAATTGTGACTGTAAAATAGTAATGGTCATACAACACTGTTCATTTTTATATAAAGATTTAAAAAACAATAAAACATTTTCTACTATGCTCTTAATACATTATTGTGATTTGTGTGCAAAATTTTTTGGTTGGAAAATCTGTCAGAGTACAAAAATATCCAAAAAAAAACTAAGTTGTAAATTTATAAAGGACATTGAAAATATAAAAATTATGCTCTAAGCCATAAGTATTAAATATTTTGACAACATAGTATTACGAGGTAAAAAAGTAAAAATTAAAAAAAACAAGATAAAAAAGCATTTCAAAAACATTGTTAAAATAATTCAAAAGTATTGAAAAAGGAGTTGGCACAAATTAACTATCTTTGAATGTATAAAAAGTATAGTATAATTAATTAAACACTTAAAAAATATACATTCAAAGCGTGTAACTGTAATAATTTGTTCTTTAAATCAAGAGGCACTTTGATTTGTATTGTAAAAAACAGTAAATTGTTAAGATGACATTTAGTGTATGTCTTATGACACTGAAGTGACACTTACATTGAAAATATAATACATGGATTATTATTTTTTAACAAAACGAGTGCAGTTATTTAATTGTATGGTTTCAATTTTAAGGTTACTTATGAATATTATGTCAATATTATAGTTTGAGACCTATCTTATAAATTTACATTAGCAGTCCCACAAAAAAAAAATGTAAGTGGTTTTCCCACATACCAGACTAGTCAATTCCGTATAGTGATTATTGTTCCGTATTTTATTGCGATTCCAAGGTCGGAATACAATTATGACTTTGGCTTTGAATTGAGCGACTCAAAAAAACGGAATAGTTAACTAGTCTGGTCCGCCAATCTACTTTTTTGTGGGGCTCTGTTATTAGAATAGAATAAATTCATAATTTTAGGATACGACATTTTTAGCTTTACTGCAAAGCTATAAAGGTTATATTTTATATTAATATAATATGTTTAAAATATCTTACGGGATAATATCAATTAATAGGCAGTTTATAATATGATAAACATAATATAATTTTTAAATTAAAAGTTGTCTTGAGACATTTTTAATAAAGTAATAATAATTTTTGCAGTGTATTTTAAATGTTTTCATAGGGTGTTTTAGTACATGAATATTTGCTACTTACATCATGATGTTTCCATAATGATTTACGATGACTAACGGTAAAAAGAGATATGCCACATTCTCGACAATATTGGTACATGGAACCCTCAACATCCACACTGACGGCACTGGTGCATTCATCTAAAATAGCGAACTGTGGCTTATGGTAAAATAATCTAGCCATTGCAATTCGCTGTTTTTCACCACCGGACAAGATGTCCATCCAGTCGGCCACCGTATCCCAACCCTGATCTCTCTGTAATAAATATGACAGTTGCACCCGTTCCAAGTGCATTGCAAGATCTGCATCAGATTTACCACGCCTCTGCATTTCTTCCCTGCAAGAAATATTTTAAAATGTACTTCATCATAGTATGTGCAAGGTCATAAACAATTTGTTATCATTAACATACTTTGTATGTGGATACGTGACTTGGTCTCTAAGTGTACCCAAAGTCATATACGGCCTTTGTGGAATATAAAACAGTTTTCCTCTAGGGGGTTTTGTTAATGAACCTCCAAACATTGGCCACAGCTCGCCAAGAATTCTAAACAAAGATGACTTTCCACAGCCATTTGGTCCACACACTAAGACATTCATTCCTGATGTTACTTCAAATGATAATTCTTCTATAAGTACGTCCCCATTAGGCGTTACTAATGGTACTTTGTCAAACTTAATTATGTTATCTTTGGTAATAATGCGGCCCGAATTTGGCACTAGACTCTTTTTATTCTGTACTTCACTATCTGTCAACATGGTGCGTGTATATTTGCCCTTGTTGAGATCGTCAAGTACAGTCATTATTTCAGTAACTCGCGCCGTAAATCCTGCTAAGCGTGTCATGTCTCGACCGGCCAATACTAGACGACCGATAGCTTCAGCCAATTTGACCAACATTCGACCCATAGTGTAGTAATTCTAAAATAACAGAAACAAATTATATTAATAATAATAATTGTGAGTGCATATTCGTACATACTCGGAACCGTTCATCCTTTGAAAGTTTTGATAGAGGCGAATTAGAGTCAATGAATGGTAAACTGACGGCATAAAATCCAACAACAGTAGCGATATCTAATTGAACAAACATTTATATGAAATATTTGCAGTAAAAGAATACAAAAACAAACTTACATTTTCCAATTATGTTATCAATTACACCCATGAAAACTTTGAATTCTAAAAATTTTCTTAAATGACTTGTCTGCAAAAATAAAACCCGAGTTTATCATTATGTTTTTTACTGTTAAATATGAAATAGCTTTTTGATAAAAATAAATAAAATTAGGAATAAAATAGCTAATTTTTTTAATTATCAGCTGCACGTATACAGGTAAAAATTACATTGAAGTACTTACTAATTTATTAAATGCACTCAGCATAATAAGTTTTTCTCTATTGTTGCCATTGTAAAAAGCTATTTCTTCCGAATTGGCAATTAGTCTTGAATTAATATATCGATACTCCCCTTCCAATTTTTGCTCTACAACAGTCATCCGTCCAGTTGGTCTACGGAGATATGTGAGAATACTTCCAGATACAACTAAGTAACCCAACATAACAGTAGGTGTCTACATAATAACAAAAAAAATATTAATAATAATTGCAGTAAAAATAATATGACTGTAATGAAGTGTGATTATTGTTTTTGTTAAGAAAACACCTTACTTGGAATCCTAATGTTCTTGTTAGTTTATATACATAAATCACAATATCCAAAAAAGGTTTACAGACATTCGAATAAAGATCAGTGAACATTTCACAAAACTTATCGACGTCGGCTGTAAGAAGTTGATCAGGATTTGATATCCGAGTGTCCAAGTTATTCATTTTGTAATATGTGTAACCTCTAAATAAAATGAATACTGTTATACATTTATAAATATATTTAGAAAGAAAATTGCCAACCTTAAATAATCTTCATACAAATGATGTGTCAGTCTAGTTCTAAGCCTAAGTTTTAATTCTCCAATGCTCCACTTCAAAACATTATTGACTATGGAAATCTACAAATCAAATTATATTATTAGAAATTAATATTCGTAATAGTTTAATTGTTATATCATAATTTTGTATATGATATGGATACAATACTTACAATTGGCATTCCAGCAAAGAAGTACATTAAACGTTTTATAAATAATTGTTTATCGTTATTTACTATGGCCGTTTCAATATTAGTACCATTTTGAATCATCCATATATCACTAAATGATCTGGCAGCTAATGAAACAGCCACAAGAACAAGGAATCCGAATTCGGCCGACATAACCCCAGGAATGGTGATTTTTAGTATTCGACATAACTGCTTAATAAAACGCCAATCGACATGTGCCCTATTGGTATTCTTTGCTGCAGTTGTTTTCTACATAAAATAAAAAATATTTAGAAAAAAAATACACAAGTGTTGTATCGATTTAAAAAATTAATATATATGTATGTATTTTTTAAATACTATGAAAAGACACCATTTATACTGTTCACACATTTTTATTTAGTAGATTTCTACTATAAACAATTAGTCACACGATTTAGAGCCTGCGTCAATTATTTATTTAATAGTACTCATTCAAAACTGTGAATTTGATCAATTATGTTATTTGTATTATGTATTCATATCTGACTTGTATTTTAAATTAATAATATATTATTACTATATTAAAATAACAATACATTTGTAATTATTTAACGAATAAATACAATAACAGGTTACTGTTTCATGCCATTCAAAACCATCAGTATCCTGTATCATTACTTGGACTCCAAGTAATTCAAATCTTGGAGTACAATTATTGTCTTGTAAGTTCATATAGGTCACAAAAAAATTAGACACGTGTACACAGAAATGGAGAGGAAACGAGTTCAGGTAATTAGTACACGATTTTGTAGAATAGAAGACTACGTTATATTTTTACGCCATTCAGTAGTAATCGAGATATATTTAGGTATTTTTAGTTTTCACTATACAACTAAGGCCGGGATGTATAGTTCCCAATATAAGTCGCATTTTACACTTATAACGTATATTAAACACAACCATTGAAAAAAATAAACCGTTATAATACAAATTTTACTTATGCCTAGTATACCGATTATTATCTTTTTATATTAAAAACAAAGTTTACGTTTCATTATTATTATTATTTACGGTCAATGATAAGACAATGAATTATTATAACTAGGTGGTCAAAGCAACCCAACTCAATGTATTTGTAAAAAATTATAGAAGCATAATGCACTTATTAAACCTATAAAAAATCATGGTTGTATATTGTAATTGGCAAAACGAAGGTCAACCTTCGTTTTGTCAAAAACACACTTTAATAGATACGTTCAATCGGAGTCCTAATTGGAAAATAAAAATGATTATAACATGCTAAAACAACTGAAGAAACCGACGTCCAAAGTACTTTCACCGCTCAAGTCAACCTTTAATTAACAGCTACCAACCCACTGCCAATATCACTATTTATTAATTAACATTTTTTATAGAAAAACACGATATTCAAGATTGGTATTACAAAAATCAGCAGCACACTGTACAATAATCGAGTATTACAGTCACTGTCAAACATTCGACACGAATCTTTAGTTTGAAAGAAACTAGTTAGTGGAAAACGCAGTTAGGCTGTAAAATAATTGTTGAACTTTTCAAACAGTGTTTAAACGAAAAAAAAAAAACCATATTTTCAGAGGATTACACGATTGGTTAATTTAATAGAATTATATAAAGGTATATATCTTATAAATGTACAAAAATGAAAATAGATCGAGGAAACATATAAAGAATTTTCTCAGAGTTTAAGAAGAAATAATGACTTTTTCAGTCCTTTAACCGATTGATCTAACGACGAGATAAGCAATACGACTTCCTCAGCCTCTCATGAGATAATATGACGTTTCCCCCGTTTTTATACTTGAAGAGTGGAAGTGTCAAACGTTCCAAGTGCCAAAGTATAAAAATTGTACTTTATAATTTGATTTGTATTTTATTCATTACCGGAAACAATTTTGTAAATTTTTCAAGTAAATAATAGTTATTTATAAAAAAAAAACAATCATATTTAAAACTCAAAAATATGTTAAGTGTATCCGGTAATGAATAAAATACAAATCAAATTATAAAGTTCAATTTTTATACTTTGGCACTTGGAACGTTTGATATTTTCACTCTTCATTTTTTTTTATAATAATTTTAATCGGAAATTCAGGTATTAATAAACCAGTTTCATTAATGATATAAAACGTAATTATTCACTATTATCGGAAAGCGTATTAATCAAGTAATAATTAGGTGAAAGAGTAGGTAATTTAATAACGAATTCATCACAATTGGTAAAATTAATTTCGTATCCACGTGAATTTAGCTTTATGAACTCTAGATGAACAATATTGCTCTCTTAAGAATTCATAAAGCTAATTTCTTATACTATAATAACAGCCGAAATCATAATAGTTGTTTAGTATGACCCTGAGAAGCGAGACGCGGTAACAACATGTACTTAAATTGGTACAACAGAAAAAAACATGGTTAATGATACATGCCTAATATTGTTCGTGTAGAAATAAATATACATGCACTTAATAATGATGACAAAAATTCATGACGTTGTTAGTGACGGAATACATAGACATTCCAAAGAACAAGAAATTCGGGATTGCGTTTAACGTTAAAAATTATATTTTTACTTAGCTTATTCCCGTGGCTATTCGTAACAATCATTATAACATTCAAAATTCAAATTAACAATAACGAGTTGTATAATTAATGTGTTATTCGTAGATTTTTTATTATATTTAATTTAAAAATTCTTCTAACAGACGTTTGATATTTAAATTTAAAATTCCTTTAGCATGTATGATGTAATTATGAAGTGTACAACATTTATTGTTGAATCCTTAGTAAAGTTTGTAACCATCTTATTTTATCTACCAAGTACCATCGAAAAGCAAGATGTTTTTTTTTTAGTAACTTACAAAGGCGCAAATAGCCTAAAATTGTTTAGGTGTCTTCGTGATATCACATTAAAAATGTTAATTTCCAGGCGGTGAGGGATGAAAGAATTTTGGGAATTAGATCAAGCGGAGAAAATGGATAGGACTTGTTTAAAAATTATTAATTTAATGGATAAAATGGTAGACAGTGGAGACAGTGGCAGGTGGATTCAGTAAGGTTTATTAGGTAGGTAAGTAAAAATTTAACTTATTTAAGAGTAATAACTGACTGTAGAGCATTTATTTCAACAAGAATCCGTTGGTCTTCTTAATGTTATACAATTCAGTATAACAAAATATTTTAGATACTTGTTATTAACAGAATTCTTATGTTTTCATACAGTTATGAATATTGACTTAAGAGCACACCACAAAACTATATTATCGATGAACTCATTTGTATGTTTTACAGGGTGTACTGAGATTGATTGTCATATAGTGTTATGCTGCGTGTAATGAATAATTCAAATATTCAAAAATTGTTAACTTAACTCGAACACTTGGGTTTTTAGATTTTTCCTACTAAATAAACATAGTTGTTAATAATTTAATAACTTGTCAACTTGGTTCATTTAAAAACGGTTTTCTATGCATACTAAGGCCGCTAGCATACACAACAATCTATTGGATGTTGGTACCCAATAATATCGTTATTGGTATGCACAAATTCAACTACTAGCCATCAATCCGACTGCTACACCGATATTGGTACGAAATTTGTATTGGATCAGCGTTCATGTGCAACAAGTTCATAAAAATCAATGCATATGTAATGCACCCAGCTCTGACACCAATTCTAACATCCCATAGTATTATCGTGTGTGCAAGCGGCCAAGTTCTTTTCACATTCTTTTGTTAAATAAATAATAAAATTAAGATAACAAACAAATAGGTTTCCAATGACATGCAATTTTTTATAAACATTTTGCAAAAGTTAAAATTTAAAAAAATTTAAACTATGTAGAGATAAATAAAATTAAAAAAAAATTTCTGTCTATTGTAAAGGCTATGATCATTGGTCACATATAGACCAAATATGAATTTAGCTACACTCATTTTAGGAATTGTGAACACGTATTCAAAAATGGTTTAATAATGTTTATTTGTTTTAAAAATAAAACTTTTGATTTGTGATGAGACAAATATGAAATACTATTAGTCAAAATATTAATGTAAAATTGCAATTCATTGGTATAAGGACTTTAATTAAAATTGAAAATATGCATATAATATAGTCATAAAAATATTATTCGTGTAACCTTAGTTAATTCATTCTTCAATGCATATAATAATTTTAATGAGCCAAGTCATGGTGAATACTATTAACATTTGACTTATTGTTGGTTACACATAATTACTATTTAAAAATGTAAATGCCCTAGGAAAATAAAAAATTGTTGTAGGATAAAAAATAATATCTAGACTCTAGAGTATTTTTTAGTCTATCGAGAACCAGTCACAACATCGACCAACTATTATTATTAATCTACGACTAACCACAAAATAGAAGATTATGTATAACGAATACTAGTTAACAATCTGAATTACTAAATAGAAATCAACAATATAAATATTATTTCAAATACTGAATGTATTATGAATCGCATCACTGTTGACATACGAGTAGTGCTGCTATAGGATATAAAATAATATTACAAGAAAACAATATCATTCCTTACTATTAAAAAATATATTTGGTATAAAAAATCTAAATACTTATTATAACATTGGTTTTCGTATAATGGAGTGATGAAAATAAAATGTTTTTAAAATGGTACTTTATTAAAATAATTTTGGTAGGAATTAGAAGAAATTTTTTTAACTTTACTTTTTAATGCAATAATGATTTCTTTTTGTTGAAAACTTGGCTAATTAAAAAATGTATTTCAATTATTTTTTTTAATATCTATTCAAGCTTAATACCTAGTGTAATTAATCAAAAACAATATCTTACATCGACTATAAGGTATTTGATATCACTCTGAGGTGTTGTCCTGTTAAACAAATAAAAAACAAATTTAAATAAATGCAATCAAACAGCGATAATTAATGAAAATTGCGATTTTTTGTTTTTACATACCTTCGGTTAGACGGTCTTCCGGTGGCTGCATATTTCTTTAGTAGATAAACAAGTATAGGAACTCCGGCAACAGCACCACCGATCAATGCATTTTTCTGAGACACGTATTTGCTTAGTGTCGGAGCCATAGCATATACGTGTATTTATTCGTGCAGCACTGACAGTCACAGTTTTCTATGAGCAAACGCCATTAAAACAATTATTGATTGAAACAGGAATTTTTTTTTATTTTTGATTAATTTTGAGCTGAGTATTGCATAAAAAAAAATTACACAACAATACAACTATAGCAACTTTAAACGCGCACTTACACGGAGATTTGAGTAGAATGTGAGCAACAGTGACCCATAATTACGACGACGGTGGCTTAGTCGGTTTGCTTCATTCAAACGTGACGAGTAGAAAACACGTTAAGCGAGTTTCCACCTCTCACCGGTTTGGTAAAAAAAAAAACTGCAGCTTAAGTAGGTAGGTAGCCTAATCAATTATTACTCATACATGAAATAATTAGCTATTCGAGTACCTGTATAGCAGCTGCTGCTACATTGGCCCGCAGTGATTTCAGGCAAGACGTTGATTGCTGTTATCATAATGCGATAACAGAGCGCGGCCGCCATGGAAGAGAGAAATAACGTGTACGGATCTGATCAGCAGCAGCAGCAGCTGCTCTAACCACAGAATAAATGGAATTCATTTGATCTGTGCTTTAACAGCCTAGGTCTGAGTTGACTGTAAACACAAAAATACATTCGAGAGTGTAGAATTGCCTATATTACTTGATCTCGTTGGGATAACAGCTTTTTTTTTGTTTTGTTAAGCGTTCTACCTATTCCTGTAAACCAATTATAGGCTATAGCCGATTATACTTGACGTTGGGTTGTTCGATATTTACTCCTATTTCATGACTAAAAAAAAAATTACCCAACTATTTAAAGTTTTGCAATAAAAAAAAAATGCACACCTATCAACACGATTATTTTTGTATCAAAAGAATCGTACACGTGAAATTAAATTTACACAGCTCACCTAGTTGTATACACGTATTTTTTTTGTGTTTTTGATTTGTATACGTTTAAATAATTATTGTACTCTAGGCTTTTTTCTATGGAATGACATCGTCTTTATCTATAACCAGAATGAGTGTAATAATTAAAATGGCATTAAAGTAATAAGTGAAAATGTCATAACTTTATTCACTTAATCTTTAATTAACTATATCTTATGCGAATCCCGAGAGTACTATAGGTGCTCATGGCCTTTAGTTACAAATAATAATTTTTCAATATTAGTTGGCTACATGAATTTATTTTAAAAATATAAGTTTTAAATTAACTATTTAGTAATTCATTCGAAGATGTTAGCTTTTTTTTTGCTGTCGGTAACTATGTTTGATTGATTGATTCAAATTGTTCTCTGGTTATAACTTCTAATAATGTAATATACTTATTTAGATACATATTTCTAACGAGGATTAAATCCAAATTTAAATATTTGGAGTCCACTTATAATATGCTACATTAAAATTTAAATAATGTAGTATAACATGTTCGGCAATGAACTGAGAACCTGTCCCGGACAGCGAATTTGTTAAGAAACCTTCATTGTATGATGCAACTGTCGAGTTTTTATTACATGCAGTGGGAAAAAAAATTCTGGAATTTATTCTGTTTTGGTATTTTTCTAAATTTGTATTGTATAGCCTGAGAATTAGTTTATTAAGTTTTTTTAATTGACTTTGTAATTACACATTATAACACACTATATTACGTAAGAAAAAAAAATACAATACATTTAATATTTAAATAAAGAAGCTAGCACAGTTTATTAAGTTGTTTGAAAGTTTTTAGTACTTCTAGCACGAACCTAATCTTGATTAACTTGGGATTTTTCTTCCTTTAAATTCGTCTTAAATTATTTAACTATTTAATTAATGAGAACAAAATCATAGTACAAACAAAACATGACATTTTTAAAAAGACAAGATTTTTCTTTTATTTACATAGTATTTTCTAGTATTCAATTTGATTGTATTGATTATCTTTGTAATATTAAAACTAAAAAGTCATATATATGACTTAGGTAATAACTAATAATAACTACCAATTTATAAGGGATGAGCTGTCATTCCCTGTAATTTACTTAAAAACATACCTAGTTTCTATGCGTTTATGATAAAAATTTAAAAAGTTATGAACCGAAAAATAAATTCTTGTAAGTTGTTAAATATTTTGTTCCAAACTGACGATTTTACCATAAGTTTATGCTCGCCAATAAATGTACATTATAATGTTTTTCATTATAAGAATCAATCAAACACCACATTGATATTAATAGATATTTGTTAAAAGGGACCTAAGTCACATACTTCAGCAAAATAGTTTTACGATAGATATTTTCTCTTCTTATTTTATCTTATTATGTGTTAAAAAAACCTCACGTTGTACCGTTTGTGTTCGTGTGTAATCATTTTGAAATATTCATAATATGTCAAGAGTAAAATAGTTTTTGTGTCTCAAGAAAAGTTGCCGAAAGTGTTCAAACGTTTTTGTAATGATTGTTAATTGTTTAAATACGAATGTCCTTTGGTGATTAGAACAAGAATAATAATAATATTGCTTTTGTATGTTTATCCTCATGAACAAGTGTACAAAATATTATTTATTGTTGGTTTATGCTCTCCAACGAATAGTATACATTTTAATTTTAGCTTCTATTTGGAGCTGAGAAGGTATTGTTTTTACAATGATTTGTTTTTATTTTTGTCTCTGGACTCAAGATATATTTTAAGCCGCTGAACCGATTTCTTCGTGTAAAGCAACTACAGATCAGAAGTCGTGCTTGTAAAGTACATTATTGGGCCAAAAATTAAAAAGTCACCCCTTCCCCTTCAAAATCTAGAAAAACACCGTCAAATTTTACATATTCAAATTAAAATTACGATGCTCTATCACTTTTTTTAAAAATAGTCGAAAAAGTTCCAAATTTATATGAATTGTTCTTCAAACATAGTACTATCCATAAACATTAACAAACAAAAACCAAAAAAATATCATAAACCCTTTCCTCTAGAAGGGATAGATTTTTTTTCTTAATTCACTTTTTCAAGCGAAGTTTTTGGGTTTAAGTTTAAAATACCCTAATAGTTTTTTTTCTCTACTTTTACCATTACTATGCCCTGACCTCATTGTGTCTGGTAACTGTGTACCAGACCACTGGTTTTTAATTTTGTTATAATTCAGTTATTTTTCAGGAACTTAATTCAGTATAAACCACAAATTCGTTAAATAAACGGTATTAACTATTACCTATATTTATTTCATTTCAATACAATAATATCACTGTCTGTAAGTCATAATATGATAAGCTTTACTGAATTTGTAAAAATAATCAATTACATAATTTTTTTTTAATCAACATTCATTAATTTGTAATATTGACATTTTGGTAAAAGCATTAAATAGTAAATAATCAATGCAACAAAATTTGTACTTATAAAAACGTTTTTGATAAAATATACAAGATTGAAAAACTACGATGGTATTTCTTGCAAAAATTTAAAAAAATGTTAACATTATCTATACAGAGTAATTTATTAATGATAAGACACTGTTTTCTTGTTTTTTTTTTTAAATAATTGCAGTTTTGTAGTTGTTCTTTCTGAAAACATTTTCGTTTTATGATATTATTAAATTACTAAAAATTAATCTTTTTTAGATTTTTCAGAGTTCTATTTTCTTTTGAACCTTAATTATATTTTTACTTAAATATTTAAATTAATAATAGTTTTCTAAAATGTATTACTGGTCCATAACCAGTTTGGATAATTCTTTCTTTCAGTTATTCAAGTTTAGTATTACTTTTATCTTACCCACTTCTACTTTACCATACTCCAACTCCCATTTTAAAATTAATTAGTAGCTATAAATGTAATTATTCAAAACTGGTTATCGATTAGTAAGCGTTTTTAGCAAATTATTCTTAATTTTAAAGCTAATTAAATATGTACGTTACCGCTTAATTTTAACAATTTGAAAAAGCTCTTAAAAACAAATAAGCATTTAAATATTGTAAAGTAACATAAACTAATATTTCTCTAAAAAAAAAAACTACAAGTGTCTAGTACTAGTGTCTCTTAGTGTCTTATCCTTAATGAATCAACCTGTATGTACCTAATGGTTAACAATACAATTTGTTTCAGTATAAATATTTATTTGTAAAAAACAGTATTTATTTAATAAACAATTATATATTATTTAGGTAAATATAATAAACTTAAAAAATAATATTTCGTCTGTATAATATTTGTATTATTTATTCAATCATTAATAAAATATCTGGCTTTGTATTATTAAAACAGTGCACACATTATTGTGGCACCAATTTAGTCATACCTATTTGATATTTCTAGGAAAATTTGCTCACTATAAAACTATAAAATATTCAATAGACGGCAAGCTATTTTAAATATTATACTTTTTAAATACTTATTGTAAGGATGAATATTAATTAAATTACATTTAATTGATTACTTTAACTAATAAACTAATCACTAAAAGTTAGTGTATAAATCACGTATTAGTTAGATAATAAAAAAAACTCTTATTTTACATTTCTAGATATGATCAAGAGTCCAAATTCCGGCAATCCTTAATACTTACAAAATTTGTAAGACGACAAATTATTTAAATTATACTTATACGTTTTATAATATATTATTTTTTGCTTCTATTTTTAAACTAATGAAATTGATTAATAAAACAAACTTATTAATATAATATATATATCTATAAGTAATTGTACATTACAATATGTAAAACAATGTTTTTTTTTATAATTATATAAACTATGTTATTCTAATAATAGTGTTCAATATATTCCCATCAAATATAATGCTAATTGTATTGTTATAAAACAACGATTAGAAGCTAAATTCAAATTAAAAATATACAAAGACAAAATGGAAAATTTAATATTATATAATAAGTATAATGTTTTAATGATCTTGTGCATATTATAATATATGTATTGGATATATATTTTGTATATTTATTCATAATATATTATATGTATAATAACATTTAATTTCGAAGCTGATACAAAAAAAAAATCACACTTAATTAGCCCACGTTTTGAGGTAATACTTATTTTTATACTACATATACTTGTTTTATTTAAAACTCAATAATTATTAACTAGTTTTATCTCCTAATAAAAATTATGGTATATTTTTAAAATAATTATACATTTTTAACACAAATCGCTTTTTTAATCAATTCCATGTATAGGTAACCAGTGTATTTAGTTTGTTTATTAACAACCCAATAAATTCTAATCACAAAGCTCATTTCTGGTGTACACATTTTCCTTCAATTCGTTCTTATAATTATAATTAATTTATAAAAACCACCCTTAATTATCCGTAAACTGTTTCGTTTAATGAATAAAGCTCCTATATTTCGTTCCGTGTATTGTACTAAGGTCAATAATAATATGTAAGTTTGTTGAGGGAAAAAATGCATTAATAATTGAATAGAAGTATAGAAGTTTTCTTGGACAGAAAACTTTGCCTCTTGAAATGTCTAATCAAAATCTCTACTTTCACGGTATATTAAACATTTTTATCATAATATATATGTATATAATATATACGATATTATAGATTAATATAATTTACATAACACATAGGTTTTAATTTATTACTATCAAAAGGTGAATTATTAGCGAAAGCATTACAGGACCATTCAGCCGGTAACAATTACCATTGTTATGCTAAGCACAAATTTGAAAACGAACGCTGACCTTTAGCTGCTATGATCAATGTACAAACAAATGCGGTTCAACAGGGAAGGGGAGGAGGGGAGGGCTAGTGACTATAAGTACAATATCGTGTTAATATTCTAAACATTGTATCGTCTAGGTACATACAATCGGGATAATATGTTACCTAACTTAATATTGTTGCAAATTAAATAGTACATTGAGTAAATATTGGACGTTGTTCGTATTAAGCTACAGTGCACGAATTCCTTTTGAGCATATAACGACCTTTGGCTGAACCTGAACGGTTTTCCACGTAACTAGGAAGTGACATTCGTCTGCGTTTCACGGCCGGGCTCAGATTGTATTGAACCTAAATTGAAAACGTTAAATACATACATATCAGTTATCCATAATGTCGAACATATTATATAGGTTGTAATTGTTACAGTCAGGTTAAACAATTCATTAATCGTTAGTGAATTCTGGTTCGCAAAGTATGGTAAATTGAACATATAATTTCTTAATTCTTTTACTACTACAACAATAATACATTTCAGAAGTAAGTAAAAAAAAAAACAATTTTGACTACAGCGCTTTATTCATTATTTAAATATTTATTATATAAATTATTTATATTTTACTAATTTTTAGTTTTCTTATTGTTTTTTCCTCGACTTTCCTAATTATTATTTATATTAATGACATTCTTAAAGTATGTACATATTATTTTATATTAGAATGTACAATGGTCGTAATTAAATTAGTTTTTCTGGGAATTATGGAAACATTAAAAATTTAACATAGGAAAAAACAAACAATGGATGGGAGCCGTTTGGGTTGCATCGGGAATTATAGGACGCATCTATGACCTTCGGCCGTTTTCTCTGTGCTGTTATTTTATTCTTACATTTAAATCTAATTTATTCTATCTTTCCTTATTTATTACTATAAAAGTTGAAATTGTCTGCGTCTAAACCTATAGAGATATAGAATGCAATATTTAATATGTACAATAATATAACGCAATATGCTAATTTGTTGTTAATACGCATAACACCATTATACCTAATATCTCATTACTAGAACTTTTAACCTTCAAAATAATAATATAGTATAAAATATAAACATTAAAGAAAATATTCTATGGTGATAACGATTGTTCTAAAAAGGTATTGGTCACTCAAAATGGGTAGCGAACTAAAGAACACTGTTGGCTGTTTACAAAAACGTCTTGTCCTTTTAATAATAGATTACGGAGAAACAACTAATGGGCCAGAAACTAAAACATTATTGAGTAAACTTATCTGTCTATGATCATCAATAGACAAAAGACCGGCAATAAAAGCTTTTAGAACTATGGCAATAAAGCGTATTTTCGGAAAAGTTAGATGACCGCATTTCCAAAGAAAACGCACTAAGACAGGCTCAAAAAAAAAAACATTAGAAGCCATAACAACCCTTCAAGTGATATCTTGTAATCACATACAAAAATATTAATCAAATGAAACTCATCTAGTCAAAGAATCAAAAGTAACTAAAAAGCGAAGACCTTAATCTCACAGAACGAATAAAAACTTAAATTTACCGACACTCGCTTGGCTATTGAAAATTACTAAAAGCATACCTTTGTTCTCATAATAAAACAGATTATTCGATAAAAAATGTAATAAAAATATATATTCCTAAATTTAGTTGTATAAGGCTATAGCCTAAACTAAATAAAATGTATTGCTTATTTAACTTAAGACAATTTTCTTCATTGTAATAATATGTAGACTGTATTATTGAATTTGTGGTAGTACACTCAAAACATCTTTAATGGTGGTCATAGTCAGTAAAGTTCATAAATGACTTTTAATCTGTTACGGTTAGGTTAGGTGCATTTAGGTAAAAAAAAAAGTATGCAGTTCAACTCTCAATCTCTATATACTAAAATTTTAAAATGAGCTTTGGTACTAAATATTTGTATACCTTTGCTTGAGCTAACAGTTCCTTAAACACTTGCACGATGTTTCTATTGTCTTTAGCCGAGCATTCCACGTAACCACATTCCCAGTCGTATCTGGCAATGGCTTCAGTAATTTCAACTGGCAAAAACCTATCTGAAAGCTCACATTTGTTTCCTACGATGACTATTGGTATCTTTGGACCTCGCATTTCATTTATCTATAAAATCAAATAATCATTAATTGTATATTATGGTTAAATTTTACAATTGTACATTCAGACTTCAGTGTTTCACCTGTTCTTTAAATCGTTTCACTTGATCCCAAGTATCTTCTCGGTCGACCGAGAATACTAAGAGAAAAGCATCTGCTGTGCTTATGGATAGGTCTCTCATAGCTGGAAACTGATAGGCTCCCGATGTATCTAAAATTTCCAATGTCAACCGGGCGCCATCGGGCAGCTCGTAATCACCTATAAATCAACGAATATGGATAAAGTAAAACTACTGTCAAACTTAAAACAACAAAATGAAATGTTTAAGTATAGACTAGTTTCAGTTTTTGATCGAAATTTAAGACCGGGCTTGTTTACATTTGTATCGGCCATAAAAATAAATCATACAAAATATTCCAAAAATACAGAGAGTATAATTGGTCAATAATACTTTCAAGATTACATTAAAATTACAGAGAAATGGACTTCAAAGAGATCATAATATATTAGTATATATAATATTATGGAATCAACGGAAAAGTCAATAAAAATTGCTTGATTAAAATTTACTGGAAGCAAAGATGAGCAAAAAGTATCAAAATATGCAAATATTAACAAGTGTAAATAATATTAAATTGATCGGTTATCCAAAAAGTAGAAAAATCTATTATTTTTCACTAAATGTAAAATATAAGAAAATTAAGTTGTAATAAAATGTAACTTTGTAGGTGCATTATGATTAATAAATAAATTAAGTTTTTGTATCTTGTATCTATGTTTAGCACTAGCTAGAATCAAGATATACATATTTTTTGAAATTCTGCAAAAATCAATAACTTTGGACACATAGGGTAGTTTTGAGTACACATTTTAATAATTCAGTAAAATGTATTTAACATTTTTTCTCATAGTATTATTTGGGAAAATGTCCATGAAAAAATATATTTCACCTAAAAGAGAAATTTTAAATACACCTTAGTGGACTAGTTCCCAAATAACTCATTTATACAATATGCACGCAAGTTGTAATAAATTTGAGTGCGATAAAATTATTTTTATTTTTATAAATTGCAAAATTTAAGGCAAAAAAAAACATCACGACAAACTTAAAATCTTTAAAACAATACTTATGATTAAATTTGTATGGCTTTATCTAACGAGGGTTTCTTGTGTTATTAACCACAAGAATATCAGTAAAAAATTATTTTTTGGTGGGTAATAATTTCAGATGCCTGGGGAGGGGGGGGGGGGTACCGACTATGATTTTGTAATTAATTTTCCGAATTTAGGATATTGGATATCATTTTTTTTTAACTTGCAGAAAAGCAAGGAGTGGAGTTGTCCTCCTCTTCCTCGCTCCTCTTTGCGGGCGCCCTAGGTTTTAAATTATGCACCAGCTAGACAAGAGTATACAGCCAGATAAGAGATACGATATTTTATTTATTAACTACGTATATAATTTCGTCACAGGGTATTATCAAATAACAAATCTTACCCCTGTGCAATTCTTCGATGGTCTCCTTGTATCGGACTGGAAACCGGTCGTAAAGGAACTGCGTAACAATGGAAGTCTTGCCCACTCTGGCTGTACCCATCATCACTACACGGTGTCTTATCTTCATGACCGAATTGCCACTGCCACCGCTGCTGCTGCTGTTGCTGCATGTCGATTCGCCACCCATCGATGACAACCGAATGCGCTCTTGCTGTTGGCTCGGCATTGTTTCAACGTTTTTCTAATACATTTTTAATGAATACAATATTAGTTAATTTGTAAAAATTTTAATTTGTTTGACGACGACTTACAATATTAAAATATGAAAATTAATTTACGGTGATAGCGTGACAGATACTATTTGCACAGGATCGAAAAAATCTTTCTATCCGTTTATTTAATTAACGTCAAATTTAAAATATTTTTACTCGATAACTGCGTAATAATAACGTTTAACTGCATTATTATTTTAGTAATTTAATATTATTAAGAACAAAAAGCATAGTATTAAATATACATTTTTAGTGTTTTAAAAAAAAAAATCTAGTATAATCATGGTAATTTAATATAAAAATATTTTAGAATCGACAACATAAGACGCTTGTTAAATGTAAATTTTAATAAAAAAAATGTTTTATTTTAGGTACCTAGTAATAATTTTGCTTAGTACTAAAATTAAATAATACTTATCTAATTAAGATAATAGCCGATAAGATAGTTTAATTACAGGAAAATCCGCTACACATCATAAATGAATTTTGAATTCAAATCAAAGGAGGAAATTGATTAAAATGAGCTCATTGGATAGAGCGTACAGGAGTGATGACAGAAATGTTTCTGAAAATATAACAATTTAAATTATGACATCCATAATAATAAAATAATTTTTTTGATCAACTTTTGTTTTATTTGGGACGTGATTAAATATTTAATTTAAAATACTAATTACAATTCTCAGACAAAAATAATTATAAAAACTATAATTTAAAAAATCATCTCATGATGGCAGCGTTGGGCCTTCATGGCCCGTTAAGCTACATGATGATGATGCTAATTTAAAAAATATCGTGGAAATGTTATAAAAATATATTTGAATAAATAATAACACTTTTATTGTGTTTTAAAAATATAAAATGTTTTTTACCATAGTAACAATTTGAGAAGCTATATTATGTTTTATCTATATATAAATCAATATTCGATATTGGTTAACGTTATTGGCACACGTGGTAAATCGAAATTAAATCACATTATGTTATCACAAACTTAAAGTTCATTGTATCATAAGCTAATATGAGCATCGTAATCCTTCAATGTGAGCAATCGTTTTTACGAAGTGAAAGTCGGTAATCATCTCAAACTTTTTTAACCCTCAACAGGCAAGACTCGGTCACCTGTGACCGGAACGATTTTTAAAATACTCCCAACTAGATAATATTATCAAGAACCGATTTTACCCCACCCTATACCTTTTTGTAGACTATGAAACAGCTCGTCTGTATTTAGTTTGCTCATCTGCTTTACCACAGTGCGCTTCCTGCTTCGGTAAAATTTCAGTTAAAATAGCCTTGCCTGTGGAGGGTTAAGCATATACCTTACTATATTACCTACTTATATGTTCAATTACTTTTTGCTTCTAATTTATTTAAAAGACGTTATATAGGTATATATATTTTTTAAATTAACACCGAAACGTCTATTTTGTGATGTTGGATTTAATTTGTTTTTTAAATTATATATTATACACAAAAAACATTACTAAGAACTTTAGTACATTCATTAACTTTTTCAGCGTCTGGTTAGTTACTATTTCATTTTATTTTTATGAAATATACTTATATTGTTATATTACTTAGTTTTATTTGCTTAGATTAATATAAACTGTAATTATAACTAATATGTCTGTATATTTCAAATCAAACGTAGGTATTTGAAAAAAAACCGTTCCTTAGATAATTACACTTTTAATTTCTGACATCTAATTATTATATTTTAGAATAATGGAATAGTAATAATATTATTATTGTACATTGTACATGTTTGTTTTAATAATTTAATTATTAGTCCACATGACATACCTTTATATACCACATCTGATATATAAAGTTCTTTCAACCGTAAGAATAAATAAAACAATATAGTATGGAATTTAAGAACAAAAGCCAAAAAATAATAATAATAAAAGAGCATTCATGCGCAACGTCCTATTTCAAAAAATGTAATTTACAACGTCTGTCTTAGGCCATAAATAAATAAAAATGTTTTTTTTTCATTCGAGGTATTATTCAACTATTAGATGTTCAGATATTTGTGAATAGTAAAACTTTACAGGTTAATAAATATATAGAATAATAATTATTATTATTTTTTTATTAAGGGGATTAAAAGCCAGTGGGTTGATCTATAATCCCCTTACGAATTATGATGATCGTATAGTCTTAATTATATGTGCTGGCCAAACGTTTGCATGACAACTACGACTCGTTATTATTTCGAAGGCAACTAATATGTTATTATACTTTTAAAGTAGGCGCGCTACTTTAGTATCGCTATTTTGTGTCATTTTTCGGACTGGGGGGGGGGGGTCAAGGCTAAAACATGTTCCATGCTAAAAGAAATCTAGTTATTATTTTTCTTTTGTAAATTGTTACAGACTAATAAAGAAAAGTAGGAAAAATTAAATTAAGTTTTTTTTTTACAAAAGCAAATTTTTTTTTTTTAAACTCTGAACCGTTAGATTTTCTTGATCGGATTCAAATAGCGATTATAGGTGGCATTATATGTGGCATAATATGTGGTAACAATTTCCTTTGTCTCTTCAGCAGCCGTTATTCGCTTGACCAAATGCCAATGACCCACCCATTGAGTACCCATGTTGTAAAGGGCTTTTTTGTGCTGAGTCGGGTTGACAGGCTGTTAATTTTAATCAACCTCATGTGTATTCAACACCGGACACGTCATGACTCATGGCGACCTTTTAGTTTTAAATGCTCATTATCTAGTCCCTAAATTCTATTAAACACCGCTAATTTAAATGCACGATAAAACAATACCGTTTAGCCGACTTAAGAATGTATTGATTTTATACAAAGAAATCCTAAGTACTATAATTTTATTTTGATGACCGATTAGGCCACTTACGATTCTAACAGCGTAAAAAAAAAAAGGTGTACTAGTAGGGTGACGAGAGAAGATAGGATAAGGAATCAATAAGTAAGTGGTAGCATAGCAATAAGAGTGATAATGAAAATAAACGCAGGAGGGAAAGAAGGGAAGAAAAAAAGAGAGTTGGATGCAATTGAGAATGATATGAGGACTGCTTGTGCATGCGAAGAACGATGTAAAAGATCGTACGGTGAGTGGAGGTTTAGGACAAGGGAGGCTGACCCCAAATAGTTGGGATAAAGACGAAGTAGTACAAAGCAATAATAAATTATTATAATTAAGTAGTATTTACTCCTGTCTTCTTATGTGAAATCTTTAAGTATTAAATACTATTTAATTTTTAACTTTTCGAGGGAGGAGAATAAAATAAAGTGCTTATGTGATATTGTAAAAGTAGAAACAGAAACGTTCAGTTTAACGATTAAATGCAATACTTGCGTTTATTTATTCTGTATGTTTTTTTCTTCAAATACAAGTACCACACGTGGATACCATCGGTAAGCTTTAGACATTCAGTATTCAGCATTCAGCATACACACAACGGATCGAAACCGCACGTTATTGTTGGTATTTTTCTTTTTCGGTTCTCAATCTAATTTCGATTTCGATTCGTTTGCGTTACTTTGTACCGTACATAATGCTATAAGCCTTGTGTAAGAACCAAAGAATGAGACCGGCAGAGACCCGTCACTCCGTTTTTATGAGGTAAAAAACGTATTAAGCGATTATTGTCCCATATCTACTGCTTTACAACGGTGAATTCGCCATAAGAACCCTGCAAGTGCCACTGGGGGAAAGCGTGAACTCTTTAAGAGTTCATTTTTAATACTTCATGAAGTGGACCATACAAGAACGCTCGACTATATTCAATACTTTAGTGTACAGCTGCCGTTTACCGACTTATAGAAAAATTTGGCAACGAAAGACATACAATTTTTTAAGTATTATGATTAGCTATACCATTTAGATAAATTCTCGATTTAAAAAATTTGATCGAAAAAATTGCTGTACATTTATTTTAGATTTATTATGGAACTAACTCACCGAGGCTAACATATTGACTTGGTAAAGATCGCTTTGTTAAATCAATATGTATCTAAAAAAACTCTATACAAATATTACTTTTATTTTGAAAAAAATATAATAAACATTAAAAATGTATAAGAAAATTGATTATTGGAGTTATTATCTATGTATACTACAAACCACTATTTGAGCTCTTTTTGTACTATTCTACTATTACTAAGAAAAAAAAGATAAATAAAATAAAATTAAATACGTTTAAGATTTCTAAAGTAACCATTACAATAAATGATTACCAAAGGTATGTACAAAACTTAACGCAACTCAACCGCCCTACCAGGAATAGTAAAACATGTAAGTATAAATCATAAGAACTGTTTTTTCCTTCATATTATGTTATTTTTATTATCAAATGGAGTTTGCAATGCGTTTGTGTACTTATTTTATCTATACGATGCGCCGTTTTATAATTTTTATCATGACAAAGAAGGTGCAACTGCAAGTACCCTGCAAAACGGACGTTTGTTTCTTATCTATTATTAGGATTCTATCCTATGGACTATGGGGATAACCCGTAGATGTACTATGGAATGTGGCTAATTTGTATTAATGTTATAATACATAATTAAATGGAGTATTGTCACAGTATTACCCCCCTCCTCCCGCCAAGGCTTAGTAAATGTAAATAAAAACAACATTTTTGAAATGCTTCTATACTATATTATGATATAATGCAATATAATACCTTCACTGTTGACAACGATGTCACGTTCGAGCATTAAGTTGGTATGCAAATTTTTTACCTAGAAGATTAAAGACAGATTTTCAGCTTTTAAATCCTTGGCAAGTACGCTTAATGTACAAAAAGTTTAAGAATTTGGATTTTTTTTACTATTATGATAATATTTTGTATATATTGTTGTTGGTTACGTATCGTACGACATTTTATAACCAGACCTAACCCAACTTGTGACTGGGAGTAGTGGTGGGGTAAAAGAAGAGACGGGTTAGTGATTGTTAGAGCAATGCTAGTGCTCTATTTGCTTTATTAAT